CAAGCGGCGAATTTACTATAAAAAAACTAGATGAAATTTCTAATAAGGCCATCGCTTCAGTAAGTGCCAGTGACTGGCAAAAGGTTATTGGACATGTTATAAAAATTGAAGATGAACATTGGGAAAAAGACAGTCTCATTCAAGAAATACAGGAAGAAATAATAATCAACATAGGAGGTGAAAGTGATAGCAATGACAGTTCCTCAGACAGTGATCATGACTCTAATCAGGATTGAAACTATACTAGATTGGCTACCTTTTAGAATTTTTAGATATTCATTTATTATACTATTGGTTTGTGGCTTTTAGTATCTCAGTAGAAAGTCTAATTCTATGTGTTGTTTATGGGTTATTTCATCAAGAAATTACTTTTTGTTTTCCTATATTTTTCTATTCAGTCAGATATTTTTGACTTGTTGTATTCTATTTTAGAAGAATGCATAATTTGTTTTGCTGTTCAATCATAATGCGTACATAGGAATATTACTTGTTGCCTAAAAAATATATTTATTTTGTTCTCAATATTCAGTGTTTGTGTATATTTATTTCTTATAATGTATGTTTGGTATCACGTCATTATGAATCGCAAAAAAATATTAATACTACCAGTTGTAATAAAATATAAATTCAATTAATAATTCAAGTCTCTCCGATCTCCGCCTATGACTCCATATAAAATCGTCTAATGGTAAGGTTTTTTCATCGCATTTCCCCCTTTCGTCCCTAGCAATCTTTGGCTGGTCGATCAGTATAATTTGTGCCAGGCACATCATCAGTCGTAATTCGTTATCAAATGATATCGGCGGTGTTTTTGTTCGGTCGGTCGTTTCGTTATGATTACGTCTAGTGCTGATTTCGGTCTTTTTTTACCTGAAAAGTGAGAAATAACGTTTTTGTTTTAGTACGTCTAGTGTTAATGTTTTGTGATCATATTTTTTACTGTTTTATTAAAACTAGTGAAAATGAATAAAATCGGGATATTAAAAAACTCATTTAGTGGTTTTTCGCTGGATCAAAAACTGCAAATTAAAGAATTAGGACGGCCAATACCCGATTTAAAAATTGAGAAACAAAGTGGTAGCGGACAAAAATCGCGCTGTCGCAAATTTAATAAAAATGTGTACGATAAAAACAGCTGGATATGTGGTTGTGAAGAAACGAATAAACTATTTTGTTTTGTATGTGTTCTATTTGGAGGTGACGAGACTTGGTCAAAAAAAGGTACAGATGATCTTATACATATATGGGATAAAATGAAGACCCACGAAAAATCTAAAGTCCATATGAATAATGTTTTTAGCTTTTCTATTCTTGGTAAATTAAATATAAGGACTCAACTCAATTCGGCTTATCGCAATGATCTAATTAAACATAATAATCAAGTGGATAAGAATCGATATGTATTGAATAAAATTATTAATTGTATAAGGTTTTGTGGAGTATTTGAGTTAGCCTTAAGGGGTCACGATGAAAAGGAAAATTCGGAAAACAGAGGCATATTTAAGGAGCTGGTGAATTTTAGCGCCGAATTAGACAACGAATTGAAAGTCCATATTCAAAGTGCCAAACTTTTCAAGGGTACCTCAAAAACAACTCAAAACGAGCTTCTTGAGTGCATGCTAGATGTTTATCATGAAGAAGTTAAGAAGGAGATTGCAAATTCTCCTTTTGTTGCAGTAATTGCCGATGAAACGACTGACGTAGCCTGTGAATTTCAGTTAGTTATTATTTTCAGATATTTGTGTAAAGGACAACCAGTTGAGAGATTTTGGAGATTTTACGTCCCCGACGGACACGATGCCAAATCAATCGCTGCATGCGTTTTAAATGTTGTAAATCCATTAATAGATCAAAATCCAAACAAATTAATAGCTCAAAGCTATGATGGTGCGTCTGTTATGAGTGGTGAATTGAATGGCGTTCAAAAGATTATTAAGGAAACTTATCCACTTGCAAATTATGTTCATTGCTATGCACACCAGTTAAATCTAATTATGACAAGCGCATGCTCTGTCAATAAGCAGGCTAGAATATTTTTCCATAATTTATCTGGATTGTGCTCTTTTTTTTCGACGTCTCCTCAAAGAACAAAAATTTTGGATGAAATAGTTAATCGCAGATTGCCAAGATCTTCCCAAACACGTTGGAATTTTCAGTCACGAGGTGTTCATACAGTTTATGAAAATAGGAAAGACCTGATTGAAGTTATGGACAATATAGAAAGTACTTCACGCGATTCTTCGTCGATTAATCAAGCCAGTGGGTACAAATTAAAGCTGCAAGATACAAATTTTGTATTTTGGCTAAGTATATTCCATAAAATAATGCCACATGTTGAAATTGTCTTTAACCAATTACAAAAAGTATGCACCGATTCTGTTAAGGTCAAAAATGATTTAGAGAATTTTGAAGCAGCAATTCAAACTATACGAGAACAAATGGATAGCATTATTGACGAGATTGAACGAGTGCAGAGAGAAACTGATGAACCGGCAAGAAAAAAAAGGCAAGTTGAAGAAGGCAGCAAAAAACGGGAAGCGTTAGAAATATGCGATGCAGTATTATCGCAAATAAGAACAAGATTTAACTTTTCTGGGCATTTAGTTGCTTCTAATTTATTTGTGTCTGAAAAGTTTTCTGTTTATAAACATCAGTTTCCTGAAGCACATTTAAATGACACATGCACACAATTTTCATTTTTAGACAAAAACAGGCTTAAAACTGAGTTACAAGTATTATATCAGAGAGAAGAATTGAGTACTACTTCTGGAGCTGTTCCACTATCCATTTTATTGAACGAGGAAGGATTAAATTGTACGTTTCAAGAAACTCTTAAGCTCTTAAGTATTTTAATCACTATACCGATGTCAACATCTGAAGCAGAACGCTCTTTTTCAATGCTGAAACGGATTAAAACTTTCCTCAGAAACACAATGAAGGAAGAAAGGCTTAGTGCTTTAGGAATGCTGTCTGCAGAAAAACATTTTGTTAGTGGCATTGAAAATTTTAATAATAAGGTAATCGAAAACTTTGCTACCAAAAAAGAAAGAAGAATGGACTTCATGTATAGAAAACTTTGAAGTTATAGGTACTTCTCCACACTTGTTTTATAATTTGGTGCGCGTGTGTAAATAGTTTTATTTTTGATTTTTTTTTGGACATATAGATTTATTGAACCTCAAGAACTTTGACCACTAACTATCAGGGGTAAGTTATAAGTTATTCTTTACAATTTTGAATCGATTCAAAATTATGGCTTCCATTCTGGCACTACCTCACTGAATTGGCACGAGCCGCCACTGCACTAATCCCCTGTATCTCCGCCAAGTTAATTTTAACTAAAGACTTTCGAATGTGGACAATACTTAGGTTAGTCCACATACCAAATTTTAGATCATTCCAGCTGACGGTTTTGAAGATATTTTTAAACTTCAACACCCCGTGTCTTTCTAATGAAGCCCTCGAGGAAAAAATGTTACATTGAAAACTCCCCTTAAAATGCGGTTCTGATGTTTCATTTTTGGTCACGACTTGTGAAACACCCTGTATACTTGAAAATACAAATCCTGTATATGTATAATATATATTTTCAAGCGCTCTTATCCCACCTCACCACATTAAATGCATTCCTCTACTCATACTTTTGACTTTGGAAAAAACTAAGGTCAGAGTTTACGAGCTCATCACAAACATGATGGTATAACTCCTGAATTATGCGCATTTCCAACCAACCATCACCCACCTCACGTCTATAAATGCATTCCTCAATTTTTGTCTTTGACCTCAAAAAGTATCTAAGGTATGTATTTTTCCACTACTTAATTACAGGGTGGCGAATTTATAACTGCCTGATTTAAATTGCGCGCCATTTTTGATACACGCATTTCAGTAGGTGGCGCCGCAGTAATTGTTTAAGGCACATGTTTCCATCATGGCATGATCCCACAACGTGTCCGTATTGTTAAAACGTTTTACTTAAATAATGAGTCGATTTTTGCAACGATTCGGAAGCTACGACAAGATTTTGGTTGAAATAATTTGCCCAGTGTCAACACCATTGGTCAGTTGGTGCAGAAATTTGAACAAACAGGTAAAGTTAAAGGCTTGCCGTGGTCGAACTGTTCGTACTCCGGAAAATATCGAGAGGGTTCGTGAAAGTGTGGTGGAGCGCCCTGAAACGTCTACAAGACATCGTTCTCAAGAACCGACAACTGATAGTGAGTGATGAAGCCTACTTCCATATGAACGGATTTGTTAATAAGCAGAATTGTCGTATCTGGGCATTTAGAGAACGCTCGTGTCATCCATCAACGACCACTACATCCTCGTCGAGTCACAGTTTGGTGCGGTGTTTGGTATGGAAGTATCATTGGACCTTACTTCTTTGAAGATTCTGCAGGTAATTATCTTACTGTCACTGGCGAGCGCTTCCGTGATATGGTGCAAAACTTTCTGGCTCCTCAAATCCAACTGCAAAACATGTGGTTCCAGCAGGACGGAGCAACTTGTCACACAGCTAAGGAAACAATGAATCTTCTGAGTACAATATTTCCGGGACGTTTAATTTCTCGATTTGGTGATGTCATCTGGCCACCAAGATCACCCGACTTAACGGCTCCTGACTATTTTATGGGGATTTTTTAAAAATAGGGTTTATGGCTGCAAGCCAAATACTGTAGAGCAGCTGAAGAACAATATTACGGAAGCGAATGAAAATATTCCTCCCGAAACCTACCAAAAAATGATGGAAAATGTAATCAAGAGGACTCAAGTTTGCGCGGCTCCTAAAGGCGAGCATTTGTCTGACATTATTTTTCATACATAATTTCTAAGCTTCAATAAAAGATTAAGATGGAAAAAAATGGACGTATTTTATTTCATTTCACAAATATTCAAGATACAAACCAGTCAGTTACATATCGGCCACGCTGTACTAAAATGTTGATTGATAAAAGTGTCCCCTTACGTTTTAACTGATCTACTTTATGAATAAAACTCACCGTCATTATAACTTCCGTCAATATTTTCACTTGCATCATTTGCATTCTGTTCGTTGAAAGCCCCTAAACTGTCAGCGCTTGAGGCGACCGTCGTTGCAGAAAACCTGTTTGCATTGTAAATTGTATCCAAGGAATTTGTAGGCTCAGTACATTCAGTTACTCTACCCAAACTATGCCTGTTCACCAGGATGTTCTCTAAGTTGTTGGAGAAATTGTTATCTTCAAATGGTAGATGCCTGTATAAATAATGTTTATGTTGAATCACTGTATTTTTTTAAGAGAAAAGTCTATAACCCATTCGTAGTCCATTTACGCCCAGACAAAACACAACATGCCCAAAAGCGAGATTGTGCAGGTTCGTATGTTCCTCAATGGTCTTGGAATAATCTAGCAAAATAATTATTATGATTATTTTTATAGAAAGAAGTGCACATACTTTTTACAATTCTTTATTCGCTGGAAGTACTTGAATCATCGTCCAAATGGTTAATATCAATTATTACAGGTTCAATTTGAATATCGATCATATTTTCCAGATCCCACATCTTTGTTTCGATTGTCTCTTGAACGTGACGGATCCAATCTTTCCAATGGTTTGCCGTCACTCTGTTGACAGCTTCATAAAACAAATTTTTCGCATCAGAAAATTTGAGTGTTCTATTGTTTGAAGCCACTTAGTTTTTTATATTTGCCCAAATCATTTCAATGGGATTTAATTCGCAGTGATAAGAGGATAGTCTTAAAACGGTCTTATTTTGGTTTTTGTCCATTTCTTCAATAACATTAAGATTATATTTATATCTGTACTACCTGACTAGATGGATAAGTTCTGCTTTGACCGTATTTTCATTGAAACAAATGCCTATGGACATTGTGGAAATTTTTTCTAGAATTCTATTGTGGTATGCAGCATTATCAAGGACAATGAAGGCATTGTCGTCAAGCTTTGGGAGCGTTTCTTCAAACCATCGTTCAAATAAACTCCCGTCCATTTCTTCATGGTAGTCGGTCATTTTCTTTGAGTTAAATGCCCATAGGGCAGTGGGCAAAAGCCATCTTCACTGCCAAATGATATCAAATCATTTTCCTTTTCTTGGAAACAATTGTTTCATACAGTATTCAAGGAAACTAATAATAATACAAACAGAGTATCTATCAGGTGTTGGTTCCAAATCTACCAGATATAGCTAAGTTTAGTGTAGCTAAGTTTTCAGCGTGAGCTCATAGATTCAGTCTACATGACACCATCTTTACAGCACAAATGACAAATTCTTTAGGCCAGTGGTTAGTCCATCTAAGAAGACATTGTCTTGCTGATTTAATTGTATAGTCAGCCCATACTTTAGGGTTTGTATGTCCAGCATTTATCCAAGTTTCATCCAAGTAATAAATCTTCCTGCCCTGGTCACGGTATTTCTTTATTGATTTTAAATAATTTCTTCTCAAAAAAAAAATTATATCTTGGCTGTCCATCAAAATACTATTTCTGTCTCGTTTTCTATACTCAAAATGATGTTCTTTGAGAAAACTATAGAAAGTGGTCCTTCTGAAAATAGGTAAGTTACGGCCTTTCAAAAAATTAATGGACTTTGCGTCAGATAGCATTCCGATCAAAGTTATCAACTATATCCAGCAGCTTCGTGTAATGAAGCCTCTTGTGTGGTGGAGACAATTTTTTGTTTTTTTTTTATATTCCTTAACAATGTTGAAAATTGTCTTAGGACGTCACGTCAATATCATGAATTTTCATTTCATGATGCTCTAAAATTTCGCTCTTATAAACGTTAAGGACAATTTCTTTTGCCTGAATATTCAAATGTCCCTTCTTGTCACGTTTTTGGGGAGGAGACGTCACTGAAGAGGAAGAATGACTGAAGGAAGCATTGGGAGAAATATTCTGTTTCATCTGCTGTATCCGTAGACGACATGCTAACGTATAAACACAAGCTATGTATATGTATGTACCGAATATGAACAGCAACTACCGGCGTCATCCCGAGCCTCAGTTCTATCCTGTCCAATCCTGCACTTGTTCGTACTTTTACGGCAGAATGACCAATAGCTATTGCAACGTTCAGGTGGCTGCCGCTTTGCAGCGCTATATCTTTGTTGTATCGGGGCGTAAATGAACTACTGAATAGGGTATAGTCATGAAAGCAAAGTGAAATCTTCAGTAAGAACACAGAAAACGTTTTATCAGGATAGGATTATCATTACACAATTCAACGTCGTATGCCACTTTTTTCAACAACCTGTTTGATGGAGGATTCTAAATACTTTTCGTCTGAATGTGTGTGTGTGTATAAAGATGACTGAAAAATAATGTTATCTGTTTCCTTTTTGCATGTTTTCTTCAATCGTAACTTGTTAACAAATAACAGTTCAGCTCTAAAATTACATGTGAATATTCCACCATTATGGAAGAATGGAGCAGGTAATTAATTATTTGTTTTCTTATCACTTTCTCTCTTACATTTTTTTTGTTTTCTTGAAAACTCATTTTGCTGCAGAATGAGGTTTCGAGTAAATCAAAGATTTTTTCAAAGAGAAAAGGTGATAAAAATAAATGTAATCACCTGTTTTACTTCCATAAAAGTGGAATATTTACATACACTTTCAGAAATCTACTAACATTTTTGTTAACACGTTACGATTAAAGAAAGATGCACAATAAAATGCACAAAAATGCTTTTATTGACAAAAAACTTATAACAATGTTTTTTAGTCATCTCAATATACACCATAAAATAATCAGATGAAAAGAATATAGAATACTGCTGCAAGTAGGTAATTGAAAAAAGCTAAAAAAAGCTTCTGTGTGCTTTTTGCTCCTTGTTTCTTGTGCGCATATAATAACAGCTGTTATTTCATTATTGACATGCTAGATTACCACAGGTTGTTTTTATGAGTTTGAAACTGATCACGCTAATTCTCTATATGCAATTAGCAGCTGAACCACAGTGTTACACAAAGTCAAAACGACGTTAAAGACCCTAAACTTTAATATAACAATATGTTTAATGCATAACAATTATATTGTGCCTTTACCTATTTGTAAAATTGACGATCTGTAAAGTACGCTTTGTGGTACATTCACAATCTAGACTTTCTGTATTTATAGGACTATTGGACAGTTTTGGACTCTCCGTTGTTTCATGTTCAGATACGTTTTGAATGGTTGGTGTGTAGGGAATATGTAATTCTTTAGCTAATCTTGCCAGCTGGAGCTCCATCTTCTCCTGTGAAAATAAAATAATCTTTTGACTAGTACCTGAGATTTACAGTTATTGATAGTGACAGTACTTAATCATAAATAAAACCAATGATAGAGAAAGTCAATCGAAGATTGAAATCGGGTGCTTGTGAGATCTCTCTACAATCACCTCCCGATTTATCGGCATCCGGTATGGGTCACCATATTCACAATGTTCACAATAGTATATAGCATAATACGAAACATAAAAACTTGTTTAGATCTTGCAACTGATGAAAAAGTGATTTGCTCGTCAAAAAATACACCCTGGCATAACAAAAATATTAAGGCAGCTCAAAATTTGAGAGACAAACAATACAAAAAATGTATATTCACAAAATCAAATGATGATTGGGAGGTATATAAAACTCTTAGGAATAAATGTTTGTATGTAATAAGAGAAGAAAAAAGGAAATTCTACGATAAAACAAATCGATAATAACAAGCGCCACTGTGTAAAGATGTGGAAAATTTTAAAAAGACTGATCAATTCGAAGCCGCATGATTGTGTAAATCAAGTTCAATTTGGAAACGGTACCGAAACAAATTCTTTGGTGATTGCAAACAAACTAAACGAATTTTTTGTGGATATGACTTCCATTTAATGACCAACAAGTATAACATAAGCTACAAATCTGGTTCCATCAAAGGTTGATTGAATATAATAAATTATACACAGGGATAAAAGACCAGAAAGCTTTGACAAAATTTAAAGTAAAATTGAAGAATCACATGTTAAATCTACAATTATAGCTTGCCCAGCATTTACATCATACATCATATGGCTTGAATTTACTAATTCTAAGTTGTTCACAATTCTTCTGTTTATGTAGCCAAATGTGCTAAATAAATATTTCTACTACTACTACTATTTACCAGTAGACCTAAAAATTGTAGAAGTATGCTCAAAATTACAGTACTCCTAGTCGGTGGTGCAATTTCTAGGTCATTTAGTATATTTAGATAAAACTTGCTTTAATTGTCATTTTGATACCTACCATTTGTAACCGATCTCTGTTAGCTTCAATGTGACCTTTAAACACCCGTTGAATGTCTTCATTCTTAAAATAGTTGTTCATGATTACGTCTTCGGTAATGCGCAACAAAAACTGAAGATATTCATGTTCGTCTGTCCTGGAATTATTTCTGTGTCAAGAAAGCTACAAGCGAAAAACCGACAGAAATGTGTGAGTGAGACAAGGGTCAGATAGAATTCCTCCAGGAGAAACTGATTGGTAAGAAATTATGTTTCATTTAAGCATCTTAGGCACGTGTTCCCTCGCTAGGGCCCGTTCTTATATGACATGTCCTGTCCAAAAGCTACCTTTCTGCCAAACTTCATGTACAAAGATGAGCGATTCAACTTGCACAAACCTCTTACATTTTCTGGCCTCCAAAAACTACCGAATTGCAACGTTGTATTAGCGCCTAAGTTGGTCATAAAGCATCTAGGTAGTGTTGAAATAATATGGACTATAGAAGAAAAGCGTCACTCCGTCGGTAAAACAGTTTTTGGCGGGGTGTCTGAAATGTTGTGGTATCCAAAATCTTACATGCAGTTTAACTGCGATATAGCAGGTAGTGAGGAGGTAAGCATCCAGGTAATGAAGGTCACCTGCAGAGCTCTGTCAGAAGTGTTTCACGTGTGACAAAACAAGCAGAAAGTTGGATGCCGATGTAAAGGTGAGTATTGTCATTCCAATATATTTGGCATTTTAGGTATCATCACCTATTTTTCAAGCCGCAATATTTTCCAGAAAATGTTATTTGTCGTATATCGTTTAAGCCGTAAAAATAATAATCTCGATCACCCTATATAAACACGATTACTCTTGGCATGCCAAACTACGCGTTACTATGTAGAAATCAATAAAAGGTATGAAACTCTCTTTATTTGTACATAGGTTACATAGTTTTCGACGATCATGCTAAGAAAACGAATGTCGAAATGCAGTAAATGGAAAGATGCGTGATGCAAATGCCCTATTTATATACCCTTATTCATTTCGGTCGGACCAGTATCCGAGTGCGTCCGTCAAGATACGTCAAATTCTATTAAGCCGTTGGAGCTATAGCCCGTGAAATAGATTTTTCAAACTGATTTCTCGGCAAAAAAAAGTGTAACCTTTGTGCTATTGCAGATTATAATCTATCTCTGTACCAAATTTCATCCAGATCCGTTTAGCCATTATAGCGTGATTGAGTAACAAAGATAAACACTTTCTTATATTAGTAGGGATAAACGTTGAAATTGTTTTTTTCAATGACTAGTTTCACGTGGTTAAAAAATGATTTTCGTCAAAAAATAATCATGGCTCGATTCCCTCTCCAAAAAATAAAAATCTCCCAGATATAATTATCCACCAAAATTTCCCGAAAGGTGTAATAATCCCCCAAATTTGGTGCCAATATGACAAGGCAGTCTATTCACTCAGTGAGACAGATTATTATGACGTTGAGATCATAGCACGGGCGTAGCCAGGGGGGTGGAGGTTCAAACCCCCCGGAAAGTTCTAAAAATATGTTTCCTAAACTATTTAAAACTATAATTAAATGTCTATTTGAGCTACTCTGTTGAAGATAAGTATGAGTAGTTCCAGATACTACATTACCCAATTTTGAAAGAGGAGAGACGAGGAGTAAAGATGGCTGCCTACGTTACAATATTTAAAATTGAGGCGCGCCCGCCGCCATTATCCAATACCTACTTCAATCTAACCATAATAAAGAAGCAGCACAAAAAGTAGTCCAATTGCTTTACACACTTCGATCTTCAAATTTTGTGATGCGCTTGGTGACTCTTCAAAAAGTATATACATTGTCGCTATCTAAGCAACTGCAAGCAATCAACACTGACCAAATCACAGCATTCAGCCACGTGGACGGTGTTATTAATGCTTTGCAACTCTTAAGGAATAAAACTGACGACGAGTATCCTCATCTCTATGAAGAACCGTCACAAGGCGCTATCGAAATCAATTTCAACGGTCGAAACTCATTTAGAATCAAGCCCCTGGTATTTTATCTACGAATTTTGCGGCCAATTCTGAAATCGAAGCCCAGATAAGTGCAATCAAAAACTATATCCAAATATCTACAAATTGCTACAAATTTTGGCTACCATACCTGTTTCCACTGTCACCCCAAAGAGGTCTTTTTCAAGCCTAAGGAGACTGAAAAACCAGTGGCGCAACACAAGGAGTGGAAACAGACTGAACGGTTTGGCCCTTATGAACACTCACTGTGAGACTGAAATTGATGCCGACGTAGTAGTGGATATATTTAAAAAGAAAAACAGACAATTAATTTCATAATATTAAACTTTGAGGTAGATAATGGTAGGCAAGTGGGTGGGACAGCGCGTGCTCTCTGAAATACACTTTCCTTTTTTGAATGAATAAGATTGTCATTTGGTGTATATTTTTGTCATTTTATTTCATAAACCGCCCCCCCCTCTCGAAACTGAAACCTGGCTACGCCCACGGATCATAGGAAGCCCAAAAATATATTATCTTAAGTTTATCCTGGATACAATACTTCCCTGACTCCTTGCTTATATGAGGAAGGTAACCAGATCAACAACTCTAAGAAACTGATCAAGTTTAGTGAAGACATTTGGACAACTCATTTGGTGTCGTTTGGTAATAATAAATTAATATACTCAGTGGTATTAGAAGTGTTACACTCAGAAAAAGTAATTTCTTCAACTTGTCTCTGTGGCAACAAAATGACTATATTTAAAGCATGATATGGCATCAATATCAACGTTTTATCTTTGTCTTTATTTGCCTTTGTTAAAATGTTCTCTTAGTTTTTGTGAAGAAAGCAGTTTCTGAGAGCTGAGTAGCACAGATATTTTTAGTTATTGCCCTTTCATTTACTAATGTTAAGCAAAACAAAATGCCTCGTCCAAATTATCACCATGTTAGCCACTTTGACAGGGGTAAAATTATTACCTATCGAGATGTTGATTTGTCCGAAATTGGCCGCCGTTTATTAGCACGGTACAATTATTTACTGCAATGACGATAATGCGTGTGTGTCGTGTGTGGATAGAAGAAAGTAGAGGAACATGAAGAAGGCCAACTGGTCCATCGAGGCGTACCACAGAGCGACAAGATAGACGCTTCAGACAACTAGCCATACGAGACTGTTTGCTACTACGCGTCAGATCGCTAACCAATGGTTTGGAGTTGAAGGTAGACCTCTGCTATGCGTACACTCTATCGCCGCATTCGAGCCTTTGGACTTTTTTTATACCGTCGGCGGTTAATGCTTCCTCTGATTGCGGACCACTGTCCTCAACGTTTGAACTGGAGCAGAGAACAGCAACATGGGGAGGCAGAATGGCATAATATCATCTTCAGCGACGAATCGCGATTCTGTCTCGGTACGAACGATTATCGTAGAAGGTTAAGACGCCGCCGTGGAGAACGGCGTGATATTGGATTTGCTGTTGAGAGGCATGTATACAGGACTGTTGCAGTAAAGGTTTGGGGGGCTATTGCCACTGGTCCAAACCACTGAACTGCCGTATCTAGAGGGCCATCCACACGTCCTTTTTCAGCAGGACAACGCACGTCCCCATATTGCTCGTCGTACTACGGACTTTCTTCAAGAATCAGGCGTTAATTTTTCCGTGGCCACCCCGTTTACCAGATTTAAGTCCCATCGAACATGGGATATGATGGCGAGAAGATTATCCACTTTGCACCATCCGCCACAGACTCTGCCACAGCTAATCCACGAAGTTCGAGTTGCTTGGAATGGGGGCCACAAGCAGTCATCGATCATCTCATTTTGTCGAAACCTAGACATATACAGGAGTCTATTCAGTTGCGGGGTCGCCCAACGCATTATTAATTTTGTTTTCTTATTACTTGTCAAAAAAATTTCGTGATAATGTTATCGTTTCATACTTGATGTAAGACTACCTTGTAAAAAGGCAAGTTGAAGAAATTTTTTTTTTTGTGTAACACCTCTAATGTCTCTAATGTCTACTGTAACATTTCTAACTTACTTAGATCTTGAGCTTCTGCCAGTCTTCCTTGAATTATTAGAAGACGTTACCATGCTACTTCTGCTACTATCTGTAGTTTGTGTTCTCGAAGTACTGCCTTCATTGTCTTCTCCTCTACTATTAACAGGTACATCCTTATCTATGTTTTGCTGCAGTAAGGGGATATTCGAGTAACGTCTTGTCTGTTTTGTGTGTTTTGATCTAGTAACGCCCCGTCGCGAATCATCTCTGTGAGTCGATTTACCCTGCATTGATTGAGATTTTGTCTTCTGAAAAGAGTGCCAATCAGCATTATTTGGCAGCAACGAGCAAATTATGTGTCCTCAAAACAATCGGCCAGTGATCCATGATTAGAGTCAAAACACTGATCCAATTGATGGATTTACAAGAAATGGTCAATTTGCATCCATACAGGGTGGAGTCGACTGGTTGCATCCACGCTAGAAATTACTGACTTTCAGTAGCTGAGTTTGAAGCTTTCTTTATTAAGTTCTATGTATTCATTCATCACTCACTGTAACGCGGATGCGCATGACCCATGTTCAATATTATGGACTTTCACGGTTGAAGATGTAAAGCCTAAGTCTATACGAACTATTTTAGTCAAGGTATTCATGGCTATTATTTGTTATAATATTGTAGCGTTTTCCGGGTTCTTTTGGGTGTGGATTAAAACACGGGATTCCACAAAAAGAAATGCACTAATTTATTTATCTTGACTAAATAGAACATTCATGTATACCACTATTTATGTCTGACTAATTCTTATGTCGCGCCATTGACTGAACTATACTCCACTCCGCTCTACTCTACTGTACTCTACTGTACTCTGGTTCCATCTCCTGGCCGTCGAGTTATATAGTCCGCATCGTGGGTCGAGACTATTCCGGTGAGCGACATAGCCGCGTTCCAGAATCGTCGAGGTCACTTCGCGTCGATCTAGAAGGCGAGTCACTGGCACGGTCCTCACAGATGTCGTCAAGCGGCTTGTGCGGTCGTGATCCGCGTAAAAACAGAGATCGGTCATGAAGCTATGGCGAGTAGGAGAGTCTCCCAATAGATGGCGCCAACAATACTATTTATTCTTACCGCAATATGTATGACCTTCCGAAGTTGCAGCCGTTAACCAGATTTTTTACTCAAACACCAAAGGAACGAAGAAGTGAAGCCTGATGAGCTAATCGAATGCAAACCTAGAAGAGCCAAGGTCATGGAGAAAAGCCCAGCGAAACAAATCTTCTTAGTATATCGGCACCACAATGCTGCTCCCACAGTCAGTAGCAACTTCTAAAAATCATTGGTTCCAAACTGCTCCCTGACGAAAAACCATTGAATAAAACGAATACTTTACGACTAGAAAGCAAGTCCTCCGTGTCGCTTTGAAACCTTGTAGATCTTGAAATAGCATTTATTAGTGATCGAAGGCTCGGTAATATCAAGAAAAATGTAACTGGATGGAGTGTGTGCCGTATTATGCATTTGTAATATCTGTATTAAAACCAAACGTTTGTTGAAACTATATTTATCAGTAATCAAACTCTTGAATGTATGTTAATAAAACTGAGCACGCCTAGGTAAGATGGTAACTGGAAACCAAGATTGTTAGGAAAACCTAGATTTGAATCTACCTTTCCATTATAAAAATTGATTTTGTTTATTTCATTTACATTGACGTTTTTAACCTAACTTGACTGAAGTAAACCTGAATATGCATATAAAGCCAAATCATTGGGAAAACAGCCAAAAATATATATTACGAATTATTTCAGAGTAAAAATAAAAATATTTTGTAAGTATATGGCTAGAAATTTCTTTATTTATCGTTGAGATTACGGTAAGTTAAAAATGTATGTGTTTAAAAATTGTGAACCCACAGTTGTGTAAGCTTCTTCAGGTATGTTATTGCTTAGTTTTTATATAAATTTGATACTGCCCTGTAGTCAGAATTTTTGACCGTGACAAAATTGCAAACTTAATGGATGAGGAAGAATTTCTCAATTTATTTTCCACAAACAACCAGCCTAATTTCGTTTCATGTTCTTCAAAAACTAACAGAGATTTTCATATATATTATTTGCGTCAGATGAAAGCTGGAGAATACTTAATTCTCTACATAGCAGTAGTATTATAAATGACCCATTCTATTTTTATGCTTATTAGATATTTTGAGTATTTACGCATATAGGTGCTGTAATGTTAAGTACTTATAAAGGACATGGTTATATTGTTATTAATTTTACTCTTCACGATTTCGACTATTAAAAGTCACAAGGATTAAAGTTCTTTGACCACTCGGTCCTGTATAATAGATTTTGTCACAAACGTGACAAGATGTACAAGTCACTGTCAAAGTCTGAAGCAATCATGAGTTGAAAACGTGACTTTCCGATTTAGTCCTTTCAGGCATTGTTCAGATAATCCGCATTCAAAATTCTAGTATTAATATGACTACAGAGTATTGGCAATCTAGTAATGAGCATATCCCTCCACGAGAACCATGGCTTTACTGCATCTCGAATTTTTTTCTTAGTTTGGTCAACGAAGTTATGATGGAGATCCATTGCATGGAACAGTTCTTCATCAAGCTCCAAAACATCTATGCCTTCGTCTGCCAAATGTGCTTCTTCATACTTTGTGACCGTGCTGTAGAGAATACAGGATACGAGGAAATCAAAGAAAATCGAAGTATTGTAATAGCTTTGACCAGCATACTCTTCTACTCAGTTTTCGGATATTTTGTATCAAGGATAAGAGATATATGTCAAAGAAGCAGATATAGGACGGTTCAGGCAACACCGTCATTAAGAAATTATTTAAAATGGATATGCAAGATATTCTTTGAATGGCTCAAAGCTGTTGTGGTGGTCTTGTGTCTCCGAGAACAAGGAATACACTATGAGCCAAAGAGAAGCTACAGTCTCATTACGTTTTGTTATTATGCCTGTTCAGAAAAAATATTCTTAGAGATATTCCCTAGCATCGTGGAGTTTTTCAATATCGAATATCTAGATAATATGGAGCATTTGTATGTACCGCTAGTTCTAAATTCATTGACCATACTTGCTGGGATTTCTCTAGAAACTTATATCGCTATTGTGAAGTTTTCGAACTTTGCTTTAATCAGCTTCTATTTCATAGTATATCTGAGAGTTAAAGACTTGTATCATAACAACTGGAAAATCCTGAAGGCTGAAAGAGATGCGTATTCTAGTTTCCAAATGGCTACAAAAAGTGATATCCAATTGTGGGATGACATTTGTGCGGTATGTTTAAACCGAATGTCCAGAGCTAGAATAACGCCATGTAACCATTTGTTCCACCCGTACTGTTTGAAGCAGTGTTTAAAAACTTCATTTTATTGCCCACTGTGTAAGCAACATTTTATTAATAAAGAACAAAAATGAAACTGCATTTTTATTATTGAGTATGTAACGGAAGATGCTGTCATTCGAAATATAAGAATAAGCAAGAACTATTTCTTCATCATGATGGGATTAGTTCGCCTATACAGGGTCTTTCCTAATTGAATGTCAGTATCTAAGAGGACGATTTTTTTATCCATTTTAAAAAGAAAACTTCATATGAACGTATGTCCTAAACGACTTAACGTTTGAGATACAGAGTGATAAAATGTTCGATGTAGAAGCCTGTCGCAGACTTCTCAAACTAAAAAAATGAGATCTGGATTCATTTATGAGCAGATTTATTCTCTTGATTTTTTTAGTACGTTGCAAAGTTTTCACCCAAAAAAATAAAAGCTATTTCACTGCATGGTGATATTTTTTTGTCATATTAACGATATTGTTATGACCATGCAAAGCATGGTTTTTCTTTTTTTAAGCAAATACCGCATTTTTAAAGTGATTTATCCATTTTTTCGCTAGGCAATCGAAGTATACCGAAACTAGTGACTACAAAAAAAAGTAGACATAGCAATCGGATGACGACTAAAAGTTAATATGAATTCATGTATGAAAAACCTCAAGATGTAAGGATATACAAATTTTTACCAAAAGCTCTAGATAACTATAAAATGATATAGATGTCGTGATTTAATATCTTGTCACCAACTTGTGCGGGATTGTATGCCGACATCTGCAATGGATTCGGATAAATTATTGCTGAAAACAACAAGATATTTATGTTTATCTACGTATCAACTCCTTTTGACGAGTCCTACAAGCAGTAAAAAAAATGACTCAACTTTGAAAACACCCTATTTAGTTATTATGATATGGCATTGAATTACTCGCCAATCAGCACATGACACCATACGACAATAACATGTGATTGATATTTTTTTGCTCGTAATTCCTAAATTTAAAAAGGGTTAAAAAAGCTTATTGATGCGCCATTATACAATAGTACATAAATTTATATCTTGAAATCATATAAAGCTGAAATTTGAGAGCTATCGGAATTTTTTTTACATATGTCATAACCTCCTTAAACTTTAAGTTATTGGAATAATTCTTTGAGAGTTGTGAAAAATACGAGTTATATTCAAGTGAAACTTGCAGTATTTTCGACTATAGGAAACTTCTTAATTCCCTTCAAACAAAATGTTAATACAAAAATCTATTGTATGGGGCGTAAACAATATCGTCAGTTCACTTACCCGCAATTTAGTGGGAATCTCATAAGGACTGGGCTTATTCTGCATTCTTGGTGGTACACTCGAGGATCGTGGTAGAACATTTGTTGACTTCGTGGGGCTTCGTTTATTTACACAGGTATGTGACAAAATGCGCCCTTTAATATTGCACCGTTGACCAGCCAATGAACAAATATTTCTTCCGCGACTAGAAAAATATAAGTAGGTACATGAAATATATTTTTTCACTATTTCAGTTGAACTCACAAAAGCTCTTCGCCTTGCACGTTCGCTTTATTCAAAGCTTTTTCCGTTGGACTTGAAGATTCCAGATTCTTTCTGAAAACTTTTGGAGGAGAAGAGTCTATTTTACTACGTACTTTGTTCAGTTTCCGGTAATGGTTTTTCATGTGGAAATAAACATTTATTTCGCTATTATTTACAGTCATTGTCCAAATCTATTAGCCATACGTTGAAATGATTTGTTATAAGTTGGAAATATCATTATGTTTTAGGTTTATGTTTGTATCTACGTTGATTTGTAACGCGCATGGCTAATAAAACTAACAATATAAGACTCATAGCTACTATTGATTTTCTTAAGCATGTTGATTTGTACTCACCCATAATTTGTTCTTGTCAAATCCTATATAAAATATGTTCTGAAATAATTGTTGCTTGAAAATTCTTTTTGAATTTCAAATTTGTCATAGAACATGAAACAATGGAAAGAACTGTTAATCCAGGTGCTTTCTAACTTTATGTTTTACGCATGATTTTGACTATCTTGTTCCGTTGTTCCATGTCAGTTATCAAATATTTCTAAAAAAGATGTCACGTTCTAACTTTTGAAAATATTCTAATAAAAATTGGGTTAGTTTAAGTATTATTGAAATATATCGATAAAAGTTTGGTGCAAGATGTGGCTGGAAGTTGACGAAATATTTAAAAACTACCTACCATATTATTTCCTTGTATTCCTCCCGATTTTTATAATAGTCTCCCCGGTAAATCCCGTTTATGGGGCATCTGAATTTCCCGTTTACCGGATGCAGCATTATGACTTACACGGCGTTTCTCATGGTAAGGAATTCATATATTGCATATTGATACAATCTACATAAATCAATGCTTAACCTAATTATTGAAGGATGCAGAAGTGCTGCAGTGAACCTAGAAGCAAAGTCTCTAACAGGATGGACTACATCTAGACATTGTGTAGTGACAAGACTTAAAGATATAACAGTAGACCATTTTCGCAACATCAAATCAAAGGCTGGGGCATTATTAGTAATGCTGCCGGAGAACTGGAGGAACCTATCTCTGGAGGATAAGCAGGTTAATATTACTATTTCTCTTCTATTCAAAGATACACCACATTAGGTACAATTCTTATATAGAAAAATCATCTAAAAAATATGAGGCCTTGACTTTTATAGGTACTGTGTGTAATTGATATTAATTGATCACAACACACATTATATTCAGATTGAGAACCTTCTTGTTTGATATTTTTGAGCTCTCATTGCCTTTGACAAATAAATCCTTTTTGAAGTAATTTATTAATAATGTAATTTTCCTCCTTGCAGAACTACATGGTGCTAGAAAATTCCATGCTGATCCAAGATGTTCCTGTACCTATATATTTTGCTGAATATTCTCCCAGACTGGATTCCATCATCAGTGAATTGTCTTATAGCATTAATGCAGATGACATGACTAAATCATCAACAGAAGCATTGATGAGCTCAGTAGCAGCAAATGGGTATCAAATATCAGTATCTGTAGGCACCCCAACAGCTCAAAATGATGCAAAGATTGCCACTATTCAAGGATACTTGCCTGGATACAGTTTGGATGGTATAACACCTACAATTGCAATTGTTGCACATTATGATAGCTTTGGAGTTGTGCCAGTAAGTACTTTTATGAAGCATATGTTGAAATTCAAGATTCAATAAAATAACTCGCATGTAACATGTGTGGAGGCTGTGGCAAATGCTACATGTTCAGTATTTATTGTTATTTATCAGTATTGAAACATGATATTTATTGAGGTATAGCATAGCTTATTGTAGGATGTATATATCCACTGATACTGATGAAATGGATCAGATTAAGCACTGAATGTATAGGACTCCACAGATTGTGTGGTGGTAATATGCAAAATATTGTAAGGATAATTCATTGGATCACATTAAGCATTGAATGTGTAGGACTCACGATTCACCTATGATAAATTCTATGCTGTATCAAGGATAGCATTATTACTATTAATAATGTATGAGAACTATTTGAAATTTTTTCAACAGTTTTTGCATACTCCATCGATTGTGTTTTGGAAATATGTAAAATATTGTAAGGATAACTCATTGAAGCTGAGGCATCTTGTCACACACAGAATTTTGATGAATGATGAAGCTGGTTAATTTTGTGTTCAGTGATTTGGCAAAAAATATAATAATGACATTAATTTTCAGGAGCTCTCATTTGGTGCAGATTCAAATGGTTCAGGTGTAGCTATTCTTCTTGAACTAGTCAGGATTTTTTCAAATTTATATGCTGATGCTAAAACCCGCGGAAAACATAACATATTATTTCTTCTAACTGGAGGTGGAAAAATTAATTATCAAGGCAGCAAAAAATGGCTGGAGGAGCAGCTTGATTTGTTAGATGGATCTATGATTCAAGTAAGATACTTTTCAATATTTAATTAAAAATGTAGGTTCATTATTCTTCATGTCCAACCTTGTATATTTGAGCCTCTAGAAAGAATAGACCTAAATACCATTGGATGCTTTTAATATATACAAATAACTATTTCAGGATGCTGCATATGTCATGTGCTTGGATACACTTGCATCAAATAGTTCCATTTACATGCATGTATCTAAACCTCCAAAAGATGGATCACCTGCTTCATTAGTATTCAAGGAACTGAAATCTGTGGCAGCTGAAGCATTTCCACATACTGGAGTTGATGGTGTTCATAAAAAGATCAATTTAGCAGATGATATATTAGGATGGGAACATGAAAGGTACATGCTCTATGAAACCAGTGTCTGAGATTACTGGATTTTTTTAATTGTCATACACCAAAATCTCATTTTAAAACTATATAACCTCCATTTTAATAACAATCAGCTGTTAAATATAAGTACCCCATTATTCATCTCATAACTCGGCTAAACTTAACTTGAATATTTCAGATTTAGCATCAGAAGGTTACCAGCATTCACATTATCATCTCTGAAGAATCACAAGAATTTTCATAAGTCAACAATATTTGACACAAGAGATAGCTTGGATATAAAAATCATGGCTGATAATTCAAAAATTATAGCAGAAGGATTAGCTAGGCACATATATGGAATTTCAATGGGAAATGTATTGGGGAAATCATGGGTGAGATTTGAGTTGTTAATCTCAGTTTAAGCATTCACTAAATTAAACTACCTGAAGGTCATCAACCATAAACTGTATTCAGCGATAAAAAACGGATCTGAAAGGAAACTTTATTAATCCGATTTTTGAATTGCTTTAAGGTTATTAGCAATGGGAAAAGCCTCCTGACACAATCTCGATACCCTAGGGACAAAGGAGTGGTCGTATTGTCCAGTTCTGGATGTATGTAGTTTGACTTGGTTAGAATGGGAGGCTGATGTCAGATGGGTCTGTCTGACATGTACATGGCGCGACGGCATCATGAAGGAGAGCTCTAAGCGTTGACTTAGCGGTAGGAGTGAACTAGATCTCTGATCGCCCGTCAATGCGAAAGAGTCCCCAGGTTGTCCATTAGAGAAGAGTCGTCGATCAGGCAGACAGCCCTCCTATGAACAGCATCGAGCATAAATAATGGAGTCGGGGTGGCGGCACCCCAAACATGTTAGCAGTATTTGCGGCCAGGGCTTATCTGGCTACTGTACAAAGTGAGGAGGTCATGTGGAGAAAATTACTTCTTAGTCCTGAAGAAGTAGCCTTGCTTTGCTGCCATTAACGATATATGTTCGTTCCAGATCAAATCTTCAGTGATCTGAACCAGCCGAAATGAATGTCTTTGCTAGAACTCATCCATCCAACAAAACCGGATGAGCACTAGCGCGATTCTTGTATGTCAATGTTCAATATTGTGTTTTGAAGGCATTAAACTGTACCAGATTGTTGCGTCCACAAGCAGTCTTCAGAGAGGAATTCACTGCTGGTATTTCTATTCTCCAGCTCACCAGCAGGGATCAGTTTGTAACTCTGCAAGCAAGCAAGCTGTGGATCATATCAATAAGCAGGAAAGGAGGTCGTTGATGTGTAAGAGAAACACTTTTGGAGCCAAGACTAATCCGTCGAATACACTCTAGTTGACATTGTGGGACGGAGAGGAGAACCCGTCAATTACGAAGGATATCTTGCGGCCATAGAGGATTCAGCCACCCAGCTGCAAAGCTTCTCTGGAAGGCCATAGGATGGAAGTTTGCATAGGAGGGTTTGACTTAGGCTAGGAGGTCCCCGGTGAATCAATGGTGCTGGAAACCATACTCATTGTCACTAGTCAAGACGTGACGTTCAAGGTATTCCAGAAGCTCCCGGTTTATGCACGTTTCCATCACCATAGTTGTAACAGATTGCAGAGCTATATGCCTGTAGTTGTAAGGGTCGGTCTTAGATCCTTTTTGGGAAGGGCTGGACATGAGCAAATTTTCAGTTTTCTGGGAAAGTGCCATATATTCGTAATATATCTGGAAGAGACAATAGAACTGAAGCAAGCTCCGGTGCACATCTCTTCAGTACAGTGGCAGGAATTGTCTCGTAGATGACGCTAGGATTTCTTAGGCCGCTTTTTGGGCGCCGAAATACAGTATATGGTTGGCAATATTGGGGTAGAAGACAATAATCAATGGTTTTAGTCAATTGTTTCAATAACATTCGCATTACAGGACACTAATGAAACACACATAGAAGGATGGCTGAATTACCTATCAAATCAACCTCGTTCGCCTCAACTTTTGAGCGATAAAGACAATGTTTTAGTGAATATATTGAAAGATGCATTTAACAAATATTTGAGGGATGTTAAGGTTTTGTATGTTGTACCAGATAAAAGGGATCCAGATTTTCAGTTCTACACGATCACTAATGGTATTTTACATGTTTGTAGGTAAGCAGAAATGGCTTCTAATTTGAGTTTTGATATCAAGGTAATTTATATATTCCACGTTTACATGAAAACGAAATTTCTTATAAAGCTTTTCCTTTTAAATGCTAATTCTAAATAATTCTTCCTTGTCCAATATTTATGATAGAAATAGGGTTGTAACAAAGCCTAACAGCCTTCCAGAGATGAGATGGTAATATAGAGAATCTGATATGTGGTATTCGCCGTTTGAGATTTACAACTGTGCATTTTTTGTTAAAACTGCCCATTGAGGGGAAGGGAAGGAAGAGAAGAGTGCTAAACTCCCGTGGGTACAAGTAATCAAACGAAAGCCCGCTCAAATGACAAATGTCGCCGCGATACCTCTCGCCTAGCTCCTTCTGAGTGGCCGTGCATCTTAGGGATTTGGTTCGTTCGATATAAACCCCTCCTAAATCCAAGATTTAATTAATGTAAACTAAATTATGCACTAGGCGCATGATACTCGAAAGCTGAAGAAATGGACAGGGTCGTATTCAGAACACGTTTGTAACGATTTAATGATCTTGACCAGGGCTGTCCAAGATACGGCCCGCGAACTCCTTTCTTGCGGCCCGCTTCACGGGTCATGTATACATCACATGTATAAATTACTCTCAAATACCGAATATGCACAATTCTTACATTAACTCTGTAATAATGTTGTATAGAAAGATTTTATAATGCGGCCCTCCAAACTGCATTTTTTTGAAGTGTGGGCCTTGGCCATTAAGTTGGACAGCCCTGATCTTGACGATTGCAGATGCTATTGCTTAGTGAAACATCTCATAATCATGACAGAAAAGGTTAGTTCGTTTTACAATAAAAATGCAGGCAATGTGTATAATATAAAAATATTTTCATTGGATTTTTATAATATTGCATGATGCACGCCCCGCGAACTACTCATTGCAATTGATATCAAATTCGCCAATGAGCGTTGCTCTGTCCACCTTTTGATGAGCGTTCACAAGGTGTGTTACGGTTTACTATATCTTGAATTTTTACCGAGGAATGGCGAAAAAAATCGACGGATGTGATCTGTACATATCCGTTCGTCTGTAGGCCGCTATTACTTTGTTCATTATAGTATTAATATCCGTGTCACTACTATTTCTCTTCTGTTGCAGTGTGAAGCCAGCAGTATTTGACCTCATCCTGACACTAGTGATAATAGTATACCTAATTGCAATATATCTCTTCATTGACAAGTTCCCCATGTTATACGCATTTGTGAGTTCGTTAACAGAAAACAAGAAAGTTAAAGTTAATTAATAGCGCACCTTTTTATTCTCACTTCTATGTGTTCCTACAACTTTTTTAGTACAGTCTTTATTGTTTTTGTTTCAGTAGATTGTATAAAATAGATCGCGTTTTGCCTCTCGAATTAATATTCAATTGAATCGGTCATTGCAAAAACCTCGCTAGTCACATAACATGAATTTTTCAGTAGCCAATAATAATAAAAAACCAGTTTTAAAATAATTTTTGAACTTAATATAGTATTTGAGGCTCTGTAAAATTTGAATTTCGAGTAACCTTCACAGTTTGTTAATAATAATAATGGAAAAAGCCCTATAACTGTTATGGACTGCGTTGTTTTAGCAGGTTAGCGGTATATAACTTAAGCAAAAGAATCATATTAATCATATTTTTCGTTGCTTACTAAAAAGTATGCTTAAATATCGACTATAATATGCCACATGTTTTAATTTTGCGTGTATAATTTTTAAAGAAATCTGGGCAAACCGAACACTGAAGCAACCATTGAGAAAAAATGTACGCAGACCTGTTCATTCAACTTCCTCCAATGATTGATGGTTGTAGAAGAATCGCATGCTTATTTTACTGCAACAACGAAATTGATATCAATATTGTAAGATCGTGTAATTCCATCTTTATATTATCTATATGAAAAGCTTTTCAGAATATTAAGCAAACATTTTAAAGGGCTTTCTCAGTCATACGAATGAGGATCAAGTCAATGGTTTTGCTAGGAAACAAGATAGCACAAATGATTATGGCCCAAGCATATAATGCCATTAAGATTATTTTCATAGTAAGTGAATTTATAAATTTTGTCGCAAATAGCACATTAGTACGAAAATAAAACAAATCAAGGATCCTGCCGCCGTGCTTGCAAAAACCACGTGAATTCCGGACTTTGTGTTTGTTTTTGCACTGAACGTGTATTACATTGTATGATTTGAAGGAGAATGAATGTAGTAATTCACGACGTTGTTTAACCGCAAAAGCATCTACCTTTGTTTCTGGTAATAAATGTTGGAAAAAATGGACTAGAGCGGTTTTCGAAATGACCGATTCAATTGATTGCTTTTCAACTATCTCACGTTAACAAACTAGATCCATACTTGTTTACAAGTTTTGTATTTAATCTATACAATTCAGGTTTTTGAAGCTGAAACGTTTGTAAAATATGTTTTACGAGCAAATATTAGACCTTTACCTGGTAATAATTTGCAATAAATATATGATTACTTATATGTATTTTTATGACCTACAATGTAAATAAATAGATCGATGTGTTTCAAAATATTTATTCCTAATAAATAATAAAAAAATAATTCAATTGCAACATGATCTAAGCCACTCAATATGACCTAAAAATGGGAATACCATAAAATTATTATATAGACAAGTGATACAAAACAATAATATAACAATTACAAATATTCAATATTACAATCAACAGAATAATGTGACAAAATTACATGCTCCATAATTCACAATGCTTCACAATTTATTTACATATAATAAATATAATATATAAAATCAATCGGCTTTTGTACACGTAGGGTATGAAAACATGGTCACTGTTAGAAAAAATGTACTAAATGATCTTGAGATCCTTCCGCTTTTAGTTAATTTGATCATGTCTTTCATAAAATACAGCACAAAAAAGTTCACGAATATGTGATCATTCAGTACATTCATATTTTATGTGAAAATTGAACCGTTTTCTTTCTTTCACTGGCATGGGAAATACAACCGAAAAAAAGCGAATGTGACACTCTTGCAACTGTTAAATGTCATGTAATTATATCTAAATTAAAGCATGTCACGTATTTCAGAGCTACTCGGCATATATCCTGCTACCTATGCCCGTAAAATTTATTCATTATTATCATATCGTCGACCTGAAGTAACAATATCAATTTTCTTTCTTCAAAATAGAAGAGATAAATTAATTTCATGACACTTGACATCACAGAATGTAACCTAATACTGTGTTTTGTAGCATTTGTAATTTCGAAATTCCAAATAATCTGCAACAACCCATATAAGACCGAAATAAAATTAATACTTCACATACTTTGAAGGATACTCGCTCATATATTTACTACATATACAGTAATGGACAAAAGTATAAAGACAAATATGAATATTTACCTAAATACCTTTAGAAAACGAATTCATAATTCATTGCTCCATAAACAAATGCGTTATTAGTAGAAAAACTAAATTGCTTGTTTTTGCATTATCTGCAATGAACACAATACAAAGCTGACTTTTTATGACGGACAAAAATATGTAGACTAATTCTTTTCAACATTAGTCTAGTACAGTTTCATGTCAGAAGAGGATTAGTTTGTGTTCATCAAGTATTGTGGAATAAGTTGAGTGATTTTAAGACCATGCCACATGGTCCAGAAATTTCTTTCGATGTGAAAACTAAGATCATTGAGTTATACAAAGATGGTCAACGTCAAGTCGACATTGCCAAAAATTTGAAGCTTAGGCGTAAAGCAGTTTGGGCAATATTGAACAAATATAAACAAGAAGGTATCTTGGAAGCCTCTAAGAGAAGTGGTCGGCCTAGAGAACTAAATGCTAGATCAGTTAGATTAATAAAAGTAATTTCGCCCAAAAATCCGTTTAAAACCCTCAGACAAATAAACGCCGAAATCTAGACAAAAGGAAAAAACTATAAGTAGAAGATTAAATGATTTGAAGTTATTTGCACGTCGCCCGAGTAAGAAGCCGCTAATCTCGAGGAAAAACCGTAAGGACGGATTACACAATTTGCATCTTGATTTGAGCATCTGTGACTGGAAGAGGATATGTTTCAGTGACGAATCCAAGTTCAATATGTTTTTATCAGATGGTGTTCATTACGTTAGACGTCCTAGTGGACAAAGATTGAACCCCAAGAACACTTTGCCCACTGTCATGGAGGGGGTCTGTTATGGTTTGGGGATGCTTTTCGGGGTTTGGGATTATTTTATTACATAGAATAGATGGCATTATGGATACGTTTGTATACACAGACATACTAAAGCATGTCATGTTACCCTATATGGAAGACAATATGCCCTTAACATCAATCTTCCAGCAAGATAATGACCCGAAGCACACTTCAAATCTAGCAAAGACATTCTTTCTGGATGAAAAAATACCAGTTTTCAAATGGCCTTCACAGTCTCCTCATATAAACCCCATTGAAAATCTATGGGAATATTTAGATAAGCAAATACGGGATAAAAATTATTCAAACAAGGATGAACATTTTGCCGCTTTAGAGCAAAAGTGCAGACAGATTGATGAATCTTATATCAAACAACTTCTACAATCTATGCCGAGACGATGCCAGGTGGTGATTGATAATAATGGTTATGCTACAAAATATTAACACAAACATGGTTGGTTTTCTATAATTCAATGAACTTTGCTTCTTTTTTCTATAATTGTTTTGCTTTGTCTATATATTTTTGTCCTTCATAGTTCCAGTTTTTTTCAATTAATTTTTCATTGAAGGGAGTCTAATGAATTTATTTATGTATAAGTGAGTATTATGCGATAACGAATTATGTATATAGGTTGGTGTGTTAATAATTCAAGTTAAAAAAGAAATACAGCATAATATTAATTTGTCTATATACTTTTGTCCATTACTGGTCATGAGACTCAGAGCTGGATCCGGTATTAGATCCCGTGGTATTTTTGGTATCTTTTAAAAAATTCATTGAACACAATATAAATATGTTTCGTCAATTTTCTGAATGTAATACTACTTATTGTTGTAAAATATGTTTTCTGGGCACAATATATGACAACGGTACATTTTTAGGACCCATAGGCCATTATAACCATTACGCGCAGACTCCGAATGTGTTTTACCTGTTTAACATGCATTTCCGTCCCATAAGATCTAATTTCGATCCCAGGAAAAACCGTATCCACTTTGGAAATATTCAATTTACCGAGCAGTATTCAATACCAAAATCGAATTCGAATTGATATATCCAAATATAAATTTGGTCTTCATAAAATTCCCTCCTCCCATTAATCAGTTAAACTTTCAATAACAACGAAAAATAATATGAACTAACGTTTCAATTTTCAGATTTACCTAACAAAAATGTAACATTATGCTTGGCTATAACTTTCCCATTAACCTAGTTAATATTTTTCTCTCAAGTTTCGTACATATCTATCATCAAGCACATGCCATTTCTTGTTTAGCTGCCTTCAAAGCTGGAAAAAAAAATCAGATATAGTCATGAAATAAATATCAGATACACATAGTTTAAAATACAATGTCTATGAAATTGTTTGAAAGCGAAATATAAATTGGATCATAATAAGTAGGCTGTTTATTTCTCTTCGATACATATTTACTAAGCCTGAGGCGGGTTAAATAATGCAAATACAGACGGACGATTTTCTGACCATTACAGATAGTTGGTAGTACTCAAACCAATTAATTCAGTTTGGAGCTGCATCCTTTTGACAATACGGTTAGTCAACTGACGGTCGCACAATGTTTAAAAATAATTGAAAGTATTATATAAATATTTACCCTCTCTCTCCCTCCTACGAATTTTCTTTCGCCTTCTTTCTACCGCGGCAAGTTCGGCCTTCACGTCAGCATACGTCTTCCTCAACTCCGTCAGCTTCTGTTGCAAAACTGCAATTCTTTGACCGCTGTCTAAACTTGGATCTGAAAATGATATAGCTAAAAGGTGGTACACATTTATATGCAGTAATATTACTAATCCACTTTTTTATTAGCTTCAGCCTACGGAAAAATAGATATAGACGCAAAAATCTTAGGAAAAAACACAGAAGTCACGAATTTTCTGAAATTAATACGAATATTTTCCGAGGGTAAAAGCAAAGGTACCCAATGTATGCAAGAGCGTGTACAACTACATTGAGGATCAACTTGCCCAGTGTGTAATTTTCCTTAGGGAAGTTAAGCTATGCATATGGTACAGTTGGTCAATATAGTCGAAATCACGAAAGATGACGATTACGTCATCATTTTAGTCTGTAGTAAAGACTTGTGAATATTTTTAATGAAGTTTCAGATATGCTAGACAGAGACAAACAGAATTTTATTGTCTAAACAAATTGTATTGCTAGTATGCATGTATCCGACAAAGATAGACGATGTTTTCATGTTGCATGATCGATCACATTTGAAAGACGAGTAGTTAGGTTATGTTAAAGCAGGTTAGGTTGTTTTCGAATAATACTTTGGTCTTTGGTGTTTCTGTCTTAAGGTATTATAATCATAACTGTTTTTTTCAAAACTCCGCACTAGTATTATTACTTAAAACCATGAAATAAAATGAAAATAAAAATAATCCGTGAAATAACCTAACTTCGCAAACTCATAATATAAATTTGTTGTCATCATTCCTGACATCCTGATTTTATCATCGACGTAAAGGTCATCTTTCGTGATTCTGAGTATAGGTTTACGTATTCCATATGACACAATGACTTAGCCGCCAAAAAACGTGAAAAGAACTATAGGTAACATTCACTAGATAATCTAACCATGGCAGTGCTACGATTAAGATGCTAAGTACTAGTGTACGCGACCATTTACTTACCAAATTCAACAAAGAAGTTATATTTAGATGGCCTCGGTGATCTATTGGCTCTGTCATAGGACTGTATTCTACTGCTGCCAGTATTTGAGTGTTCAGACATATCATCGCTGTCGCTATTATGCCTTGATCTATTCTGTGTTTTTCGTCCTCTCTTCGTCATCATGTTCTCGTCTGAACTCCTCACAGATTTTCTGCGCTTTTTGCATGGCGCCATCGTGATGTCGTCCTTAGACTTCTTCGACTCACCCATTTGTGTATCTGAAAATTTTATTCAGCAATGCAAAGCGCCAAACAAAAAAAAACTTACAAAATATGTCAAAATCATATGTATGTTTGCATACAAAAGCAACCCTCAAAGAGCTGCAAGCTTCTTGGTCACTGGACAATGAATGATGTAAACCCTATTTCACGAGTATCCATCACGTTCTGACATCTACTGAGGCGACAGTTGATCAAGTGACATCTTTGTATTAGTCTGTAATGTTGGCAATAATGAATCGGGTGTAAATCTAGTAAAACTAGGCTTGCGGCGTTTTTTTGTGAAAAACTTTTCTAAATAAAATCGGTAGTAAGTACAAAATAAATCTAGCGTACAAAAATCAAAACAAAATACGTCTCTGTCTATCTGGCATTGACTGATCCGTCAGCATTAAATGGCATTGTCGATATGGGGAATTTTGAAATATTACTAAAAAGACAGCTGTTATTATCTTTTTAAGGAGTATGCATTATGGTAGAATTGCATCTGATTATTTAGTAATTTGCCAAAATTCTCCACATCGACAAATGACATAGTTCTAACGAATCCGCCAAGGCCAGATAGACAGAGCGGTATGTTGTTTTGTTTTTCTGTACGCTACAGATTCATTTGGTACTTGCTAACAACTCTTTTATTTGGAAAAGTTCATCACTTGTTGATCAGCCGTTTACCTCAGTACACGTCAAAACGTGATTGATACTCGTGAATTAGGGTTTCCGTTTCTGTTTCTAACTCCATTGAGTGACGGTGTCTCGCGACACAACTCGTGAGCATAAATAAATGTCTACTGGAGCGGCTGCTACAACATAAACGTCTATAATCATAACCAAAATGTGTTTTATGAGGATACTATACCTTCCTCGCTATATGGGGATACTTTCATAGTAGAATTACGCCTTTGTCTTGGATAGTCCGGGTCCACGTCATTCGATCTACAGCTTTCGTTGTCTCCAGTGGGTGGAGACAAACCGCCGATTTCACTGTAAATAAAAAATAAATATATAGGTACTACAAACGCTATAATGAATCGTGAAGAATATATTTTCATAGCTAAAAAAAGAAATTATAGTACATTTAAAAAAAGCTTCACTCTCGTAAACATGAATCTCCATGTGTCATTGTCTAGCGTTCATGTCAGAATAAAGTTTTAATAAAATATAGTGCATTGTTATTTGGTTGGGTAGTTAGGCTGTCGTAAAATATTTTAACTTGTACACTAGTAGTAGCTCACAGGACTCCAAACTGTGAACAACTTCTAAAGATGCCAACCACTCGTGTTGGGGAAACGTCAAGTAAAAATATTTTAATATAACAATAACATGGGATGATGGCCGCGAAAGCCTTTCGCATTTCAAATATAGTGCATGTTTGTCGGCAAGTTACAGCCCAAGATAATTTTCTCATATTGTGATTCATTTTTGAATATAACAAATTTACAATAGATACATACCCTCTAGGAGACAGATTACTGATGGTACTTTCTGGTGTTGTGGGTGGTGTGTTCTCCAACACAGCAGAGGCGTTAGCTCCACTTCTTTCTTGAAGCATTGCAACCTGTTGGGCTTGTTGCTGATTCTGCTGCTGCTGTTGTTGAGATTTCTTCTGTTCTGCTGCCACAGCCGCTGCAGCTGCATGGAGCAGCGCACTTTTACCTGTTATAACAAACAGTAATATCATTGACTGAAACAAGTCAAGACTGATGATGATCATGAATGATTTTCAACCAGTCAACGCACGCCTGAGAAAAAACCCCCGCGATGCTATAAGCGTCCATCAGAATACCGATTAATTCTACGGCTTCTTAAAGTATCTGAGGCGGATTTCGAGGCATACACACACACGAAGGAATACCGCGTCGGTATCTGACAGGCTATGGATATCGAGGTAAGCAGGCAGATACGACGCCATAATATTATCATTATTTGGAAAAATTACAGGGAATTTTCTGAGATTGCAATGAAGATAGTAGGAGAAAGCAAAAACCTCAAAGGTACATCTGAAAGCTCTCCACACACAGTCGCTCCGAAATGCTAAATGACGCATAACTAAAAGCTGGTCATAAACGAGAGAACCCAATTCATTCAGCGCGGTTCGGAGTGCTTTCTTAATCCGAAATCCACCGACCGTTCCATTTTGAGCTAATGTATAATGTTCTATATGAACGAAACGGCTGAAAAATATCGGTACTTCATACCAGATGTTCAAACCTCCCATTTAGGTTATACTACCGCAACATACAGCCTATTTCTCGAGTATCCATCCAGTGACTTCGAATTTTTTCCACAAAATATTCGATGTACACATAGAAAAATATTTATTTCCACTAGCTGTAATTGTAGCTTTAAAAAAATATAGACACGTGTTTCTTGTTAATTCTCCGTCACGAGAGTACCGTAATGCATATACAGGTCAAGTATGCGCTACATTTCTCATTTCCCTCCCACAAACACTACCAGCTTCCACGCGACGTTTTCGCTTCCTTTGAATTTTTGCAGTGTTCAATTCATGACGTATTGCAATAGTTGCACATTTCACTTACATTTTTCTAATTTTTAACTTGTTAGAATTACCTGAGTAATGATCAGACCTAATTCAGGGAATCGAACCTCTATCAATTGGATCATATACTGTCACACATTTTGAATGAAATGTACAAAGGGTACTATAAAAGTTTTGCAATACAGCTTTATTTATTGGCTTCGTTCAAAGTAATTTCCACCACATTCAACACACTTCTCCATCCGCCAAAACCAGTCCTTGAACCGGCTCTGCCAAGTTTCACCCGGGAGTGCGGCACACTAGTCCGAAGACCCCGGAAGGTCCTCAACGCTAAAAAACCGTTTTCCTTTTAGCTTCATTTTCACATGCGGAACAGTCCAAAGTCGATCTGGACTGTAAGGAGGGCGCTCAATACGTTTCAGTCCAGTAGTGGTCAAATACTCGATCCAGGCTTTGGCGCGTTGAGCTGGAGCGTTATCATGGTGGAGGTAAGAAGTGTCCATTCTTGACTTTGGCCGCAGGTTTTTCATAGACTCAATGACTTTAGGGCAGGCACCGTTCCGTGTACCACTTAGCTGTGACTGTCTTCTGTGAGTCCAAAACGACACGCTCCACAATCCTGCTCGTTTTGAAAAATACAGCTATATTTTTTTCTCAACATATCGGAATTTTCTGAAAGCGACGGGTATGCCGTCTGCACCATCTGAATATAGTCGTACGATAAGGACAATCATTCTTTAATGCAAGCACCATTTCTTCTACGCACTGGTCTATATTTAAACCACGCGTAAAGTTATACCGTAAAACTGCCTTTAACTCACTCCGAGACCACGATGCCATAGTCCGCACTTTACACTGTCAATACGAATGAACAACTAAATCAACAGACGCGCTGATGGCGGCTACTATGCACTCATGGATATGTCTCAACATGTAGTAACATGCAGCCTCCTATCTCCGTTTGTTAAGTCATATTGCAAAACTTTTATAATTCCCTTTGTATAACTTTTTTTTTCAACTTTATATAATCATATGCTGTTTCAAGTTCTAAAAAATAAAAACTGTTTATCCTATTTTATTACTACCTAACATGAAATGTGGGATCTTTTATATGCAAAGGAACTTTTACTTTTTTTAAATGAAAGAGTTGTTAGCAAGTCCGTAACTTAATAAAAAACACAACAAAATACGGCTCTGTCTACCTGACGTTGAGGGATACGACAGAATTGTGTGATTCGTCGATACAAGGAATTTTGAAATATCAACAGATAATCAGCTGTTACTCTACCATAATGGATACTTGTGAAAAAGACAGTTTGGCTCACTACCATAATCATAAATCGTGGTTGGAAAGACAAAGAGGCGTAAGTCGGAAAATGCCCATTTAGAGTTAGCATCACCAGAAATCTCTAAAAGTGGATATCTATAATATGACGAAGTGGCGAATCGCTCCTCCTTATAGTTAACGTAATATGGCAAATCAGTATCTCGTTGGACCTCCTATTCTTACTAGTGCTAACAGGATAAACATGCGTAAAGCGCGTCTCCTGTAAAATAGCTGAATTGGAGTTACGCCTCTTTGTCTTTCCAGCGACGAAATTGGTAATAAAAAACAACTTGGGCGAACGGATTTGACCGAATGACAAATCAAAAATACTGCGCGCTGCTCTATTTGTAGATGTGATACTAATATTCATGAAAATATCTTAGATATAATAGAATAGAAATAATGGGAATGGCGGGACGTGATATTTTCTCGCGCCTGGTTCTTTTGACTTTAAGAATGTATATTACTCATATACAGGGTGGCCAAACACGTGACGTCATAAAAAAAATTAGATTCCCCACATCGAGAGGAACCCAAATCACCCCCATATATATGGTCCGATTTTGTTTAGTTTAGGAGTTATGATTTTTTTTCGGATTTTTCGAGAATTTTTGAGTTCTGTGTTTATTTTTACCATAACTTCGTTAAGAATTGTGATAAATGCCTGCTTTCTTCACGATTATGTAGCTAAGACCTAAGGCTTAACTATCATATAATCATTCAAGTCATGTAACTAATACTACTTTTTAATTTTTTTCAAAATCTTCGAACATAACAAAAAAGTAAAAAAGTGCAACAACTTTGAACGTTTATAAAAAATTGAAAAAACATGTTCTTACTATTCATAAGTATCTTAAAAACTTCCTTACGGTATCAGCTATTTACCGTAAAAATTTCATCAACCTAGCTTTACTACATGCTACCGTAATTGTGGCTCAAATAGAACCGAACCCAAAATTGGATAACCCTCTGCTCAATAGAAATTGTTAGTTTCGGAAAAAAAATTTGCAAAAACCACAAAAACACGTTTGATTTTTACTGAACAGCAGATTATTATTCATTTATGTTATTTACAAGAGGTTTTCAAAATGTCTGCCTCTAACAGAAATGCACAGTGTACACCTACGTATGAAATTTTGTTTTAAATCTCTAAATGCTTGTGTGTTGTTTTTCAACACATGTGTCGCTTCTTGAATTTTGTTCCTCAATGAATTTTCATTTGCACATTCTTGGGCGAATGTTATGTCTTTAAAATATCCCCAAACAAAAAAATCAATGGGGTTGAGGTCAGGGGAGCGTGGAGGCCATCGTATCGGTCCGTTTCGTCCGATCCATCTGTCTGGGAACCTTTCGTTTAAGTAGTTTCGCACGATCGTTGCGTTGTGGCATGGTGCACCATCATTCTGGAACACCATGTTCCGTCTGGCTTCCAGGCTTGAATCTTCCAGCAATAATGGTAGGCTATTTTCAAGGAAGCTTTTGTAGGCTACCGAATCCAACCTTGACGGCAGTTCAAATGGACCGATAAATTCCATATTGAATATTCCTGACCACATGTTCACACTAAAACGGTGTTGAAATGTCGACGGCCTTGAGTGGTGGGGGTTTTCAACAGCCCAAGTATGTAAATTATGGATATTGAATATCCCTGTTCTTTCAAAACGTGACTCGTCAGTCCATAAAATTTTATCAAAAAAATCGGGATCCTCTCGTTGTCTTCGCAGCATTGTCTCGCAGAAATCCACTCTTAACTGGTAATCTGAAGGCATCAACGCTTGAACTCTTTGAACATGATAGGCATGATAACCTTCTTCATGAAGAATATTTTGTATCGATGTTCGTGGTATTCTAAGGTTTTGTGCCATAGATCTCGTACTCGTTGAGGGATTCCGGCTAATTTCTTCAAGTACTACTTCTCTGCGATCCGGATCAGCTGTAGGATATCCTTCATTGCTTCCTCGTCCTGGAATGCGGCCTGCCATGAAAGTGTTATGTGTGTTAATAAAAACACGGTGGCCTGGGTAATGCTCAGGTTGTGGTCCGCCTCGGCGTATAAGTTGTTCCCGGTACAGCTGAGCATTACCCAGACCACGGTGTTTTTATTAACACACATAACACTTTCATGGCAGGCCGCATTCCAGGACGAGGAAGCAATGAAGGATATCCTACAGCTGATCCGGATCGCAGAGAAGTAGTACTTGAAGAAATTAGCCGGAATCCCTCAACGAGTACGAGATCTATGGCACAAAACCTTAGAATACCACGAACATCGATACAAAATATTCTTCATGAAGAAGGTTATCATGCCTATCATGTTCAAAGAGTTCAAGCGTTGATGCCTTCAGATTACCAGTTAAGAGTGGATTTCTGCGAGACAATGCTGCGAAGACAACGAGAGGATCCCGATTTTTTTGATAAAATTTTATGGACTGACGAGTCACGTTTTGAAAGAACAGGGATATTCAATATCCATAATTTACATACTTGGGCTGTTGAAAACCCCCACCACTCAAGGCCGTCGACATTTCAACACCGTTTTAGTGTGAACATGTGGTCAGGAATATTCAATATGGAATTTATCGGTCCATTTGAACTGCCGTCAAGGTTGGATTCGGTAGCCTACAAAAGCTTCCTTGAAAATAGCCTACCATTATTGCTGGAAGATTCAAGCCTGGAAGCCAGACGGAACATGGTGTTCCAGAATGATGGTGCACCATGCCACAACGCAACGATCGTGCGAAACTACTTAAACGAAAGGTTCCCAGACAGATGGATCGGACGAAACGGACCGATACGATGGCCTCCACGCTCCCCTGACCTCAACCCCATTGATTTTTTTGTTTGGGGATATTTTAAAGACATAACATTCGCCCAAGAATGTGCAAATGAAAATTCATTGAGGAACAAAATTCAAGAAGCGACACATGTGTTGAAAAACAACACACAAGCATTTAGAGATTTAAAACAAAATTTCATACGTAGGTGTACACTGTGCATTTCTGTTAGAGGCAGACATTTTGAAAACCTCTTGTAAATAACATAAATGAATAATAATCTGCTGTTCAGTAAAAATCAAACGTGTTTTTGTGGTTTTTGCAAATTTTTTTTCCGAAACTAACAATTTCTATTGAGCAGAGGGTTATCCAATTTTGGGTTCGGTTCTATTTGAGCCACAATTACGGTAGCATGTAGTAAAGCTAGGTTGATGAAATTTTTACGGTAAATAGCTGATACCGTAAGGAAGTTTTTAAGATACTTATGAATAGTAAGAACATGTTTTTTCAATTTTTTATAAACGTTCAAAGTTGTTGCACTTTTTTACTTTTTTGTTATGTTCGAATATTTTGAAAAAAATTAAAAAGTAGTATTAGTTACATGACTTGAATGATTATATGATAGTTAAGCCTTAGGTCTTAGCTACATAATCGTGAAAAAAGCAGGCATTTATCACAATTATTAACGAAGTTATGGTAAAAATAAACACAGAACTCAAAAATTCTCGAAAAATCCGAAAAAAAATCATAACTCCTAAACTAAACAAAATCGGACCATATATATGGGGGTGATTTGGGTTCCTCTCGATGTGGGGAATCTAATTTTTTTTATGACGTCACGTGTTTGGCCACCCTGTATGACTAACAAATCAAAAATTAAAATCCATTAACTTACCGCTGGAACCACTTGGTGCACTAGCGAAGGGCATCTCTGCAGACATCGATTTGCTGGGTTTGGGGGAGGGAGCCGCCGGACAACTATCGGTCTCGGGTGCAGGACTGCGTGGGATCTCCTCCTCACAGAGAAGAAGGGAGTGTAAATGGGAGTCTGGCTCCTCTTCTTTGACCGGTTCTGTCTCAGTGGAAGCTGGTGGAACCGGATCGGCTTCCTCACATGGGCTGGAAGGTACAGCAATATCTTCCTCTTCGTTCTCTTCTTCCTTGTCTTTAAGCTCTGTCGTTGGTTCTTCTGGTATCTAAAAGCAAAAGATGTTTAGATAAACACTTTTAATAAAAGACCAGGAGACCATAGGTTGATGGATGGTTGAGCTTTGCCAGGAACCATTTGATTCTGGCTTGTTGAAATTACTACTAACTACTAGAACTAAAAAGAACTGTCCAAAAATTTTCCTAAAAATATAGACTTTTATGCACTAATTCGCATTTTGTTAATAGAATTCTTCTTGACGTATTACATCACTAAAATCCTGGTATGTCCAACAACCATTTAACTGTTATGCATCTTTGGAAAGCTTATATAAGAGTATATGTTTTTGATATTTTATGCTGAAAATTTACATGTTCTGAGAAACACGATGACTGTACTAAAAGTCACATATTTCAACCTTATGTCAATGTGTTCTTCGGAGAAACAAATATCAACATCTCGTCTCCGTGTGTTTTTTGTGGTTTTTGGATTTTGTTGACATTCAAAGTTGCGTGTGCTGTTGCAGTGTGGCTTGAAGTTGAAGATGACGCGTTGTTACCTTGATGTATTGAGGAAGAGGCTGTGTTCAAATTTAGAATGACTTTAATCTGCCCAACGTGCGAATCACCTGTTACCCGAAAACAAACGTTATTTTTTTGTGGTGGACCGTGCAAAAAGGTGGTACCCGTTTCTTGTATTTACGATAGTACAGAGGATTTACCTACACTGATAAAACTGATTCCTGGACTGTCTTGGAAATGTAACACTTGTCTTTCCGCTGATACATCTACTGAGGATACAGATCTTGGTCATCTTATTGAAAGCAAAATTAGTCATGCTTTGGATCCAGTTGTCCTGCTGATAAATCAACTTATATCGGCTGTTGAGCAAACTGCATGGCTGAAACCTGAGACAACAAGTGCTGACAGAAAGGTTTCATATTCCAGTGTTTTAAGAAAAAAAACGGTGCCTGCTGTCACAATTAAACCTAAAGAGGTGCAAGATACTTTAAAAACGAAGACTGATATTCTGAAGAACATGAATCCAGTTGCTGATGATATTCACATATCAAAAATAAAAAATGTCAAAGATGGAGGCATCCTCATTGGTTGCAAGAATGTTGAAGATAACCTCAAGCTGGATAGAATAGTTCAGGAAAAGTTGTCTTACGATGTCAAGAAAGTTGGTGGTGTCAATCCCAGGGTTCGTATTGTTGGTACGTCTACCGAATACACAGCGAAACACCTGCACACCCAATTAATCAGTATGAATGATGGACTTATTGATAATTCTAATGCATGTAGAATTATAAAAATTCTTCATTTGAAACGAAATAATTCGAGGTATCAGGCTGTTGTACAAGTAGAGAAAACCTCATATATTAGAATTCTAACGGCGGGCAATGTATTTATTGGTTTGGGTAGCTGCAGAATTTTCGATGCTATTCAAGTATCTCGTTGTTTCAACTGTAATGCTTTTAATCATTCTGAATTCTATAAAACAGAGCGCACATATCCAAGATGTGATGGAAATCATGCTGTAAAGGACTGCAAGTATGCTACTTTAAAGCGTATCAATTGTAACAGACGTCGAGGTAAAGGTGAACCTGACGTTAGCACTGATCACGCTGCCGGGGATATTAAAAATTACTCCTCTTTTTAGCGTACCTGCAACAAGTTGCAAGCTGATATGTTGAGAATCAAATAGCAGCCACTTTCCTCTGATCCCATTTTTTGCTCTTTGGAGTCTATTAGTTCAGTGAAAACTTCTTCAGAATTTTTAATATATCACCAAAATGCTAAACGACTAAAAACTAAAACCTCAGCTTTTTACAACACACAAGTGGCGTACTTTTGGCAATTTCCGATAAATTTTTCTCGGTATGCTTAGATGTGCAATGTAAAGGCTGCTACACAGTGCCGGCGGCACTGCCGCCGGGTTACGCGGCTTGCCGGCGTCACTTCGTTCCTGGCATTCGAGCGGTAGTGTTGTGCGGTTTGTATGTATAAACAAATTAAAATGTCGTTTAATTGGGACGACGAAGCTGTGCTGCTCTTAATTGAAAAATTTCATGAAAATGATATATTATGGAATCCCAGAAATGCAGACTATAAGAATAGGAACAAACGAATGGACGCATTGAACATAATTGGTAGTGTATTTGACATTGATAAATGCGAAGTAGAGAGAAAGTTAAAAAATTTAACCTCTCATTATTTTCGGAAAAAAAGAAGTTCGAACAGTTGCACAAATCTGGTGCAGGCATAGACGATGTACAGAAACCCAAAAAACATGCTATTGCGCAATGCACAAACGCTGACACCGCACATCATCTTTTTTATACTCTTCTATCATTACAGTACCGTTCCGCCATTTTCTATTTTGTAAACTTGGGTGCAACCAAAACCTTCTCGTCCTTTTGTATTTTTTTCTTATTAAAATAAAAATTACAACTGCCGCGGCTGTGCTGATGATTTCCTTATTCATTTTAACCAACCAACCATAAAATATGCACTTCAATATCGTTCTATGTGACTGTCACAACCGGAATGATGCTTGGCGGCTTGTATTGCCGGCGGCATAAACCCGGCGGCACTGTGTGTATCAGCTTTAACATACCCGCCGTTGATATCCTTGGAGTAAAAATTGTATTTGGGAAAACAAGCTTGTGCATACTGGTTGTATATATTCCTTTCCACATATGAAAATGTGTTTGAGTTGTATATTGAATATTCTGCACTAACTGGAGCTTCCTTGATAACCTAAATGATGTTGAAGAAACTTGTAAGCAATTTTATGATACATTAAATTATTTTTTCATACTGTGTCCCTAAGTACTCTACCACCAAGACGTCTCCCTCCTTGGTTTAATGGAAGTATCATAAATAATATCAGAGCTAAAGAGATACTATTTAGGAGGCTAAAGCGAAATTATGATGAAGATGTCTTGTGGGGTTACAAAGCTTTGAGACCAAAGATCAAAAGAGATAGTGAAGCTGCTTATAAAAACGGAAGATGAGATAAAGCGAGATCCGTCAAAGTTTTGATCGTTTGTCAACAGCAGGAGAGGTCAAGGCTCAATACCCAGAAATATGGTGTATAATGGTTTGGATATAAGAGACCCTCAAGACATTTTTAATGGCTTTACTGACTACTTTCAAACATCGTTCGTAACCAGTTCAAGTGGTAGTACTGACTCTACCGAGAGAATTTCTAGATACCTCTTTAATTTTGACGAAATTTAATGTAGAGTTTAATGTTGAGAAGACTAAAACCTAAATTAACCTCCGGACCAGATGCAATTCCTGCTTTTGTATTGAAAGACTGCTTCTGTGTTTGCAAAGCCTCTAGCAATGATATATAACTTATCACAAAACAATGGTATCTACACGTCATCGTGGAAAGTCTCAGAGGTCTGTCCGGTTTTCAAGAATAAAGGAAACAAGTTTGATATTGAAAATTACCACGCAAATCACGATTATCAACAACTTTTCAATAGTGTTAGAGTTTCTTATTTAGTATGCAATTTATTGGTATGTGCATAATACTTTAATAACTCAACAGCATGGTTTCATGAAAAAGGGATCAACAGTTACAAACCTATTCTGCACTGCACAGTATACATATATATCTGAAAATATAGACTCTCTTGTTCAAACTGATATCGTTTATACTGACTTCTCGAAAGCCTTCGACCAAGTAGATCATGTCATTCTCCTTGACAAATTAACTAACTTTGGCGGGATTGGTCATCTCCTCTCACTTATAAAATCCTATCGATCTGAGAGAGTCACATACGTAATGCACAACGGCCTCAAATCTAATAGTTATATGATTACGTCTGGTTTCCCTCAAGGGTCTGTCCTGGGGCCGTTATTTTTCATTATGTTTATAAATGATGTATACATTCAATTAGATGTACCATTTCCCCTATATGCTGATGATCTGAAGCTTGTTTGTACGATTCGGTCTCTTGATGATTGTTGAAAGCTACAATGTAACATCAACATGCTTGACAGCTGGTGTTGCAAAAATTGTTTACCTTTAAATGCTGTGAAGTGTAATTGTGGTCAGTTATACCAACAAAACTCAAGCAATCGTATTTAGCTATAATACTGGTGGTATGCCTCTCAATAGCTTAAGTGAAATCAAGGACTTAGGTGTCATTGCACCAGTTGTTTGGCAGCTTTGCTATAACTTCAGGATAGATAAACTTGAAAATATCGAGCGACGATTACTAAAATCCATACATTTCAAGGAAAATGGCAGTTACCCGCCAATTGGCTACCCTCAAGAAATTTTAGAAGAAACCTTTGAACTAGAAAGTATCAGGGAAAGGCGTGATAAGTGCTGCATTAATTTTGTGCGTAGTATATTGCACAATTATATCAATTGCTGCCATATATTGCATAAATTTAATCTTCTTATTCTAAATTCTAGACAATTTGATACTTTTTATTTGCCTGTCCCTAGAAAAAACATCCTAAAGTTTTCTCCACTATTTTACTCTTCTGGTAGAGCTAATGACGTTGCAGAACAGTTGGATATATTTGTGTGAGGTTTTGTCTGTCTTTTTAGCTTTCTTATCTGATCTTTGTGCATATTTGTAAATAGCACCTTTGTGTTCGAACTACCTATTCTGGCATGTATTATAAAAATAACTGTTTTTTTGTCCTGACTGTGTCCTACTCTGTAAATGGCTGTTGCTGTTGAGTAGTGGATAAATAAATAATGAATATACAGTAAAAGCTCCCATAAGCGGACACTCACGGTTCCGTAACTTTTGTCCGTATATGGGAGGTGTCCGTTTAAAAGAGAGTATGTAAGTATAGAGTATAAATAACGGGGTATATAATCATGAGGAAATGAGGTATTATAATCATGAGAAAAATGAAACAGAAACTCGCCACATTTTTAAAGTATGTATTTATGCTATATATCTATATAATATATGTACATATACGCATACAAAAACATAAATGCTTCAATACATGGTACGAGAATTTAAAAAAAACATTATTCTTTAGCTTGTTGAAAAAAGTTTAAAATGTTTGTCTGACGAAATTTCACCATCTTTTGCTGAATGAGACAATTTTCGTAATAACTTTCTAAATTTTTGAAATGTTGAAATGCAGTGAAATCATCTTTAGCAAATTTTTTCAATATAGAAATATGATTTAGAGCTTCCCCATATGAATTTATCGTTTTTGAACCGCTTAGTGAGTCCACCAGTTCCACTTCTTCTTCTGAGTCGTTTGGACTACCATATTCAAGTTGGCCTGAGATTTCTACATCCAAATTCGAAAAGTTGCCAATGGCATTTTCTTCTGTTGTTATGTTATTGTCTATGGCCAGGAAATCATCTACTTTCTGGGGATCTGCTACTCCTAAATGTTTGGCATGTCGCAGTAACTGAGCAAGTGTCGCTAAGGGCAGATCGTCTTCAGCATCGCAATAATTTTGCTCAGCAAATTCTGAGCTACATTCACTTTTTCTGAATCCAGCTTTGCCAAAACAGTTTTTAATTGTAGAGGAATTTACTTTATTCCATGCTGTTTTTATAAAATACAAAGCTTCTAACACATTGATAGACTTTGTAAGCTCAGATAAGCTTTGACCATCGTCAATTTTTGTTAAAATATGTTTTAAAATCAAGTGCCGATAATAAAATTTAAAGCTCTGTATGACACCTTGATCCATGGGCTGACAAACAGAAGTTGTGTTTGGCGGTAAAAATATAATTTTCACATTTTTCATTTTCATATCACGAGGATGAGAGCATGCATTGTCTAAAAATAAAAGAACTTGCCTTTTTTGGATTCTCATTTTCCGGTCGAATTCGACTAACCACTCTGACATGATTTCTCGGGTCATCCATGCCTTTTTGTTGGATTTCCAAGTCGCTGGTAGATCCTTAATAGCAACGTTTTTTAAAGCACGGGGACGAGCCGCTTTCCCGATCACAATCAAATCGCATTTTTCACCGGCCATATTTGCACAGAATAAAATGGTTAGTCTATCTTTAGACAACTTTCCACCCACACATGTTTCTCCTTTAAAGGATAGAGTTTTGTCGGTCAATGCGCGAAAAAAGTCCACTCTCATCTGCGTTGTACACATCTTCTGGTTTGTAGCCAAGCAACATGGACGGAACTTTCTCCAAAAATTGTGACACATCAACTTGATCTACTGCAGCAGCTTCGCCAGATATGCATTTGAAACTCACACTATGTCTCTTGCGCCACTTTTGCAGCCACCCGTCGGACGCACTGAAATTATTATATCCCAAAGTAGTGGCGATTTCTTTAGCTTTCATTTTCACTAACGGCCCTGAGATTGGAATGTTCTGACTTCTAGCTTTCACAAACCACTCAAAACATGTTTTGTCTATAGCAAAACCTTCCTTTTTTAAAAAATCCTTCTTTTGATTTTCCCAATATTAAACCTCTTTGCCAAATGACGAACTGAAACACTTTCTCTGTCTAATACGTTAACAACTTCCATCTTTTCCTTTAACGAGAGCATCCTTTTTTTTGGTGCCATTTTACAGTTACAATAATAAAATACGTAACTCAATCAACTACGAATTTGCCTGAACTGAAGACAAGCCACAAGATTACATACAGGCTACCCAACGAAATGCGTAAATGGGGAATCACCTAATATATACGTAAATCGGGGAATTACCGAATTTTATGTATGTAGATATGTGCATTGCAATAAGCGGAACTAAAAAATCGTCCGGGTATTAGAGTTTCGCGTCCGCTTATGGGAGATTTTTTGATCACATACAGGAAAATCTAGTGTCTGCGTCCGTTTATAAGAGCGTCCGTTTATCGGAATGCATTTAACATTGAAAATTGATGGCTGAAATTCGGTTCCAGGAACTTTGTCCGGTTAAAAGAGATGTCCGCTTATAGGAGCTGTCCGCAAGGAGAGCTTTCACTGTACCAATGATTACAGATGACTACTATATGCCTGCTACTCAGAGTATCCAATAATGCCAGGTCTAGGAACTAGGACGAATAATATGAATACATATTTTTAGAAAAACAACAAAAAACTACTTGAAAACATGTTTCGTTTCTGACTTTTTTCCAGCTATATTCAATAAAGTTAAAAGTACATCAAATTTTAAACCTACCTTCTCATCTTTCAGCTCCACAACAAAGTTAACAGTTTCTTGTGACTGTGAATCTTCTTCTGTTGACGCAAACAGAAAGCTGTCATCACCTCCAGCATGTTTTGTTTCTTCTTCATTTTTATTGTCGTCGAGGTTTATGTGAGATTCTTGTTCTGGTTTTGGCACAAGTGGTTGATCCGAATCAGTACTGTCTTCATCCGGTTCTTCCACGTATAGTCTACTTGACCCTCTCTTACGTTTTTTATCGTCCGATGACTCTGAGATCTTGCTTTTTCGCGGAGATACCTCTGTTGGTTTCGATTTCGCTGCTATCTCCTCCTAATTGACAGATAACATCAAGCAATCGACAAATTCAGTCTCCATAACTGTTAATGAAAACATATGTTTACAAAAACGTACTTTGAGTCCTGGAAAAACCATTAACGTGCTAGTTGAACTTTAAATGAGAAAAGTTCCTCAGACTGCTGAAATAGACGCCAAATTGGCTACATATCGCCAAACCCGGCAACCATGGATGCCTGGTGCTATGAGCATCGTATGGTTCTCCCCTAAATTTATTTATCTGGTCCGCTGTATACCAGCACCTCGTAGGATTACTGTTTATGTAACCAGATTTCGGAGCCAAGATGCACATGTATAAATGCGCACGACTATTATATCTAATAGTTGCGTAGTCGTTTCGCTATCAGAAGCTCCTTAATAACGGAACGTCTTTCAGTGATACCAAAGAAATAATATTTACAACTCCCAAACCCTAATTTTCAAGCACTCCAAAATTTTTCTATGGGGTTGTCCAAAACGGACGCAGGAAAGTAAACGCATATTAATACAAGAAAGATTGATATTCAAATCAAGTTGGGTACTTTATTTTGAAGGTTCATTTATACCATTTATGTATGAAAAATAATATCGCTCAAATGTTCACCACGACTGGATTTACAGACGTCCACGCGATGGTCGAAATTTTCAATGACATTTTGCAACATGGTCGGTTCTATGGCATTTATCTCGGCAATGATGTTGTTTTGAGTTCTTGGAAGGTGGCTGGTTTGTTGACGTAGACTTTGCTTTTCAAATATCCCCATAAAAAGAAGTCCAAGGGAGTCAAATCGCAGATCTTGGTGGCCATGGCACATTTCCTCTGCGCGAAATCACGCGTTCACCGAAGAAGGACTGCAATCGATAGATATTGACGTTGGTTGTGTGGCATGTTGCACCGTCTTGTTGGAAATAAACATCGTCCATATCCATTCCTTCAAGTTGCGGCAAAAAATAGTCCTCTATCATCACGTGATATCGCTCAGAATTGACGGTAACGGCGTCCCCGGCCGCATTTTCGAAAAAGTAAGGTCCGATGATGCCTTTTGACCACAATGCACACCACACAGTCACTTTTTGAGGATGCATCGGCTGCTCTTGATACTCACGGGGATTTTCGTTCGCCCAGATGCGGCAGTTTTGCTTGTTTACCGTCCCATTCAAAGTGAAATGCGCATTGTCGCTGAACATGATTTTTGATCAAAAATTGGCATCAATTTGGCGGTGTTCAACGAGCCAATCTGAGAACGTTCGGCGCGAAAAACGGTCGGCCCGACGCAGCTCTTGCGTCAATGGGATCTTGTAGGCGTGTACATTCAAATCCTTGTTGAGAATGCGGATCAAACTGGTTCTCGAAATGCCCAATTCTTGGGATCGACGCGTTGTTGATTGTTTCGGATCGTCTCTCACACTCTCCTTCACAACAGCAATATTTTCCGGTGTGAGAACGCTCCTTGGCCGGCCAGAGCCTGGCAGATTTGCCACAGAACCTGTTGCCTCGAATTTACGCACCAGACGACCGATGGATGTTTCGTTTGGGCGGTTGTTGCGACCGAAATGTTCACGAAGCGCGCGAAACTTTTTTTTTATTTTTGCACCATTTTTGTAGTGCTCTTGAATAACTTTAATGCGGTCTTCAATCGAATACGACTCCATAGCGATCAATGGTAAACATTCAACTAACAAAATGACATGTCGGTGACAAAAAACAAAGATGGCGTCTATGTCAAATTGACGTTTACTTTCCTGCGTCCCTATTCGACAACCCGTTACAAATGAGCAGGAGTATCTGAAATGAAGTCTGAATCGTATTTGTTTTTTTTGCCCGCAGCTCCGCCGCCACTGGGTCGATTTTAAAAAACCACAACACTTTTCCGTCTTAGTAGTAACCTTGTGTCAAAATTTCACCAAAATCTGGGCTTTACTTTCCAAGTTATAGAAGGGTTAAGGATTGGCGGACAGACAAACACGGAAATGAGTGGTATTATTTTTGGTGATGTCATATAATCCTATTGTCAAAACTTTTTGTAACTAATACACCTAATGTTTATAGATAGTAATTTGGAATAATTGCAAGGATCTATAAATAATACCTTTATTTCTTGATGAGTTTCCACTTCAGGTTTTTCCTCAGTCATAGTAGGTTTAACATCAAAGCTGCATTTGGTCTCTTCCTTCAATACGTCAAACTTGAGCTCAGACTTTTTGTCTTCCTTTTCCTCGTGCTCCGGTTTAGTCACCTTCTTCTCCAATTCGTTCTTGATGTTGTTGAACTTCTGCAGGATTGAATCTGCTATCTTTGTACCTACATTTAAAACAGTGACATGCGTGAAACAATCAATTCGATATCCTAGTTTTTTGTCCTAGAGTGCTTATTAACGTGTGCCGTAAATGTCACTATCAGGGCAGTGTGACCTCAGGGTAATTGCGTTTTGAGAAAGCAGAAGTAAGACATTTTTATCGCACGATTTTTTTGCCTTGAATGCGTTCGCGTGTTTTTTCATCACGTTTACACCGCGTTGTACTCAAAAATTGATTCATTTCGGATTGAAGAATTTATCAAGGCCATAGAATAACCAGTTATACGCGGTTGCTCCCCGCCTTTCAGCGGCGCGCGCCTTTTGATGCATCGCGTCACCGCGTGGTTTCAATGTTGCAATCGGGCATGACCTGTTCAGTCCGGCAGTCTGGCCGGTTCGTCTGCTTGTGCTTGTATACATCTGTGGGAATACGCACAGTACAGTGTCTACTTTAACGATGAGTGCAGTCACAAATAAAAACAAAAACGCAATAACGTCTAAAAGAAGCAAGAAGGTTTTAACGTTAATCGAAAAAGGTGCAATTTTGAATGCTTTGGAGAAGAAAGAGCCTGTGGCATCGATTGCAAGAAAATATAAAATTAATGAGTCGGCTGTGCGTACTATCCGTCAAAATAAAGACAAAATTTGTCATAGTTTCCAATCTAGTGCTCCTAAATGTACAAAAGTGGCTGGGTATACGAGAAGTGGCCCTATTGAAAAAATGGAAAAAGCTTTGTCTCTGCGGATCGAAGATCAAAATAAAAAGCGGGCACCTCTTAGTTCAGCTCTCATTAGGGATAAAGCGACACACCTGTACGAGAATTTCGTAGATGATGAGCCACTGTCGTCAAACATATACATATTCAAAAACATTTTTGGATGGTAAAGGATGGTTTGAAAGATTTAAAAGTCGTCATAGCCTACATAATCTTAAACTGCAAGAGGAAGCACCTTCAGCAGATATTAATGCAGCAAGGTAATATCCTGGGCAACTTTTAAATATCATTGAAGAAGAAGGTTTTAAACCTGAGCAGGTTTTTAATGCGGATGAAAGTGGCTTGTTTTGGAAAAAGATGCCAAACCGTACATTTTTATCAAAAGAAGAGAATACCGCACAGGGCTTTAAAGTAGCAAAGGATCGTCTCACACTTTTGTTTTGTTCAAATGCTTCTGGAGATTGTATGATTAAGCCTTTATTAGTGCACAAGTCATTGAATCCCCGTGCTTTAAAAAACAAAGATAAAAATAAATTGCCTGTGTTTTGGCGTGCCAATGGTCATGCATGGGTAACGGGAGACATTTTCTTAGACTGGTTTGAGAAGTGTTTTATACCAGAGGTTAAACGTTATTTGTCGTCAAAAAATCTTGAATTTAAGGTGTTATTACTCATATATAACCCTGGTCACCCAGCCGCCCGTTTACAGGAAATAAATCCCAATGTTTGAGTAGAATTTCTTCCACCAAACACCACATCAATCCTACAGCCTCTTGATCAGGGAATCATGGCCATCTACAAAGCTTATTACACGCGACGCACGTTTAAAATGCTGTTAGAAAACTTGGAACGCGACCCTACAAAAACATTAAGCCAATGCTAGAAGGATTACAATATTGCAGATTGACTACATAATATTAAAGAATCGATTGGTGAACCTTAAAAATCGACATTAAATGGCTGCTGGAAAAACTTATCGCCAGAAATTGTGAAGTCTCATGCGAAGGTGCCTGATATCAGAGACGAAATCAAAGAAATTGCTGATTTAGGAAAGTCATTACCTGGAGAGGGAATTCGATGATATGAATGAGGACGATATAAATCAGCTATTTGAATCGCATAATGTTGAACTCACTGAAAGAGAACTCATAGAACTGACGGAGGACAATTATGAAGCTCAAGAAAAAGATGAAGATGATGAAGTAGTCCCGGCACCAAAGGAGTTGACGTTGAAAACGCTTAATAAATGTTTTACCATGGCACACGATCTCGCCGAGCTGTTAATCAGATAAAATTCTGATTCCATGTTCAGATTTTACCATACCTTTTTACCTCCTTATAATTTTTATTCGACAACTTCATGGCCAACTACTGACATTATTGAATGTAGGACTGAATAGTCCATTTAAATGTACAAAATTCCAATATGTCCAGATGAAGTTTGGTGATGGAAGTCAAAAGCAGAAACCTTGAATTGAAAATCTGACTGCCATGTTGAGCAGAATAAGTAACAAGGATGACATGAAATTTATTTTGAAATCCCATCACAAATAAAGCCAGGATAAAATTTATTTTGGGGCAAATCTGGAATGCAAAACAAACGACTATCTGATAATTTCAAGGCGTACCTAGGAAATTCTGTTTTTCTTTATAACTAAGATTGGTCAATGTCAATGTATAACGTATTCATAATAATAATAATAATAAATGGCCTTTATTCGTCACACGATTACAAAATAATTGGTTTAAAAGGAACAGTGACGAAAAGGTGGAGTGTCAGCTTATGCTGTTTTTCAACCCGACCTGGAAAACATTGACACAAACTATAGAGAGAGAGAAAAAAAAACTTAGAATATAACACTTATCAGAGAAAGGAAACAATCAATTACCTGTGGATATGCATAAAGTAAAATTTTAGCCATCCGACTGCTTTAAACTCATCTTTAACCTTTTTTTAAAATTGCTTAGGCTATATTCTTTATACTCACTTGATAAGCAGTTATATAGTTTGGGTGCGCAGTACGAGAAACTGCGTGTGAACAATGCTGTCGAATGCCGCGGGATAAGTAAGATGAGTTTATTCCTAGAGGATCTTTGATCGTACTGGCAGAGGAGGCTTAGTTTTGTATAAAGATAATATGGCGCTTTAAGGATAAGGGTCTTATGTACCAGAGATAGGCAATGCAGTTTCCTCAATTTGTTCAACTTAAACCATCCCGATTGGTCAAAAGCGCTACTAATATGATCAAATTTACGGATTCCATAAGAAAATCTGATGCATGAGTTTTGTATCATCTGAATCCGCTCGGCATCACGTTGTAAAAGAGCAGGTCCATAAACAGAGTCACCGTAAGATAATTTTGACAGGATAAGGGACTCGCAGAGTTTAAGCTTGAGCTGTGTCGACAGGACACTTCGACTCGGGTATAACTGACGAAGCACATTATAGGACGCATTGCATAGTTGGTTAACATGTTTAGTGAAGCGTAGCTTGCAGTCAAACCAGATACCAAGGTTTTTGCATTCGTTTACGAAGGATATGTCTTCATTATTCACCATAATATTAATGCGATATTGATTTATTTCACGATTCTTTTTGGGCCCAAATAAAATGCAGCATGATTTGCCAGGATTTAGTTTTAGATTGTGAGCACTAGATATGTCAAAAATAGACTGCAGGTCTTGATTTATTTGATGTTGGCCAAGCATATATTCATCAGGATCGAAGCAGTTATAAAGTTGGGTATCATCGGCGTAATGATGAACGATTGAGTAGCTGGCGGTTTCATGAAAATCACATATATAAAGAGCAAATAAAAGGGGACTCAAAATAGATCCTTGAGGGACACCAAAATTTCTGAATAAAGAAGTTGATATATTGTTTTCATATATGACAGACTGTGAGCGATCAGTTAAAAAGCTCTTAATCAGCGTGCAAGCCGATGATGACAGGCCAAAGTATCTAAGCTTTTTACAGAGAATATTTGGGTCAACCGTATCGAAGGCCTTGCTAAAATCAAGACGAACTAAGCAGGACAGCTTTCCTTGATCAGCCGCGCTATAAATATTATCCGATATAGACAGGAGCGCAGTGGTGGTGCTATGTAATGGTCTGAAGCCAGATTGGGAGGTGGTCAGTAAAAACAAATGTGTGCAGCTGCTCATGCAGAGCCATTTCCAAAAGCTTAGATAAACTTGGTAAAATGCTTATAGGACGAAGATCAGAAAAACTTGAAGGATAATTAGATTTAGGCAGAGGGATAACAAGAGCATTCTTCCAGGAAGAGGGATAAAGATTATTTGTTATACAAAAGTTAATAATGAAGGTAATATACTTGAGCAAATGCTTATGTATTATACGGATCATATCAATTGTGATGCCATCTGAGCCTTTAGCATGACTTTTGATGCGATTGATAAATTTCTCTACAGTGGCAGCGGAAACTGTCGTGAACAGAAAAGTACCACTATTCTTGACGTTTTCATATTTGTCTAAAAAAATTGAGTTAATGATTTGGTTGTTTGTGGTACGTTTAAAAAAGCACTATTTAATGAATCGAGATCCTGAAGATGTGGAGGTAGACTTATGGATATTCAAAGATCTAAGTATATTCCATGTAGTCTTCGAATTTTTATGTCTCATAACATAATCGAGGTAGGCTTTTTTCTCTCGCGTAATAGCACCACAAACATAATTTCTGATTTTCTTATAGAATTCCCAGGCAGCAATCGTTCCTGTACGTTTAAATAATTTTTTATATGCGTCACTTTTTGTTCGCATCATGAGTTTTATGTTGAATGTTCGCCAAGGAGCTGGTGGCTTGGTAACTCGAATGTTTCTGACAGGAGCATGCAAGTTGAAGGTGCACAAGATATTAGAGCTCAGGAAGTCAATCATTTGATCCACATCTCTCAACGTATATATAAAATCCCAGTTTATTAAACGTAAATCATGGTAGAAATTGTCTAGGCTAAAGGTAGAGTAATCACGATATGTCCTCAGTTTACATAGGTTGCCTATCTCCGATGCATCTACATAAAATATTAGGGCTAGATGGTCAGATATTCCATCTACGTCAACAACTTCATAACGACTTATTATATCAGCAGAGCTAACCATGAGCAAGTCTATAGCTGTCTGGCTATTGGAAGTTATACGTGTGGGCTCTTTCACTAACTGAGACAGATCAAAAGACTCAAGAAAACAGTTCAGCATCTCGGATCGGCCGTCGTTCACTAAAACATTAATATTAAAATCGCCCATGACAATTGCGTAATCATTATCGAGTGAAAGGTTGGTTAAAGACTCAGTTAATTGATGAAAACAGTCAAGCACGTTTGCCGATGGTGGACGGTAGACTATAGCTAGACAATATTTGCGTTGATTAACCTTTACAGAGATCCACAGTTCTTCCAATACTGTGGTGATATTAGAGTGCAATATTTTGAAGGCAATACCATTTCTCACATAAAACGCGACGCCCCCGCCTCTGCTATTTCGATCTGCTCTAACGACATTGAAGTCGTTGATAAATACTGAGGAGGAATCAATATCTGGGGTTAGCCAAGTCTCACTGACACCCAGGACATTGACAGCACAGTCAACAACATACTCCTTCAAAGTTAGAAAACCAGACTGAATTGACCTTACGTTGAAGCTCATGAATTTTAGACGTCTAGACATATTGAAAACAGGTACAAAAAGAAGCACCCAACGTATTTTGCAAGTAAAATGAGTATAACCACATGATAAATATATTAGATCTATACAGAATAAAGGCAATGCAACAAATATATGCAATACTAATAAAAACACCCGGATAAACAGAACAGAATAATAAATCAATAATCAAGGTATAGGAAGGCGATGAGCATTTGTGAATTCACGCAAAAAAAAAACACACAACACAAGCACACACAGTTCAGTTACTTTGAAGTACTGCGTAGTTTAGGCCCTTTGTGTGAAGACGTAGGAGTTTTTTTAGATGGGCCTGCTGGAATTAACTTGTTGACCCTGCTTGGTTCATATTACAGTCTATTTTCCCCTCTTTTCGTATCTTGAGGGATCAGTGTTGTTCTTCTGTATTTTTATCCTGCTTAGAGATAACTGTCTCAATGATTCCTTCATCCTGATGGCCGCCAATATCGTCATTATGTAGCTTTTCCCAGGAAAATGCTTCGCCATTGACATAAAGAATATTGTTTTTAATAAACGCAGAATTAGATACTTCTCGGGCTTTCTTCAGGTGCTGATGAAGTAATTTTCTCTTGGCGTATTCTTCTGGAGTGTAATCGTTATCGACAAACAGCCCAACACCTTTAGGAAGTTTTCTTGCTTTCTTCAAAACTTTTTGTTTCACGTTGTAATTAACGAATTCGACGACAAGTGGCCTAGCTCTATTATCAGAATCGGATAGCTTTTTGCCAACACGGAAACAGTCCCTTACGGCACTTGGGGAAGTTTGAAATTCTAATTTTCCTTCGATAAAGCTTAAAGTATCTTCCATAGGCCCCTTATCACTTTCCTTTACCCCATAGATTTGCTTTTCAATAATGAGTTTTCCTTCTCGATATCTCTATACTTATTATTGATGTTGTTTATTTCTTTTTTTGGCTTCATTAACAGTCTCGCTCAAGCTATTAATTTGTCCCTTGAGTTCTTGATTACCCTCCTTGATCAGCTTGTATATGTCCTCGAGGGTTACTCCTGTTGTAACCATTATTCACGTGATCTCTACCAGTCTATCTGTATGGTAACTTTATCGTACGGTAGTGTGTTCTGTCGCCTAGGGACTGAGATATATATTTCGCTGGAACTGTTTCGATAGCTTCTTCAAAAATTTGGCAGGCCGTGGGCGTGACTTATATAAGTGGGGAGTACCATATATGGATTATTCGTACACAAATTTGACCATGCAGAAAAAATAAATTGCGTTTACTCACATATGCTTACGAATAACCGTGTAATTGTTGTACTAATCCACTGAGGCCACTTAATCACATCATAGTGTCATGAAAGCAATAATTATGCTTTGGTTAAACCCACACTTTGATGATTTTGTATAAGAGCAGACCCAGCGCAGACTCGCGACCTCGGAATCACTTGACTTAATCATTATACATTTTTTAAATCAGTATTAAAAACTCTATTCATCTGTGCAACATCCAATAAGGCGTCCATAATAAAATATAAAGTTCTAGCTGGAGGACAAGAGACGAGACATCACATTGAAATGCTAATAATGCCATATTGTAGAGGAGAAAAAGTGGCAATGTTAATGTGCAATTTATTTTGAAATCATACTACAAAGTCAGAAAAAAGTCTCCGTCTCACTCCGGAAGTATTTTGAATTTCGGAGCTTTCTCAGCGGTATTTTATTGAATAAAAAAAGATAAACAGCAGGGTTATTGCGTAAAAAACGTCTATAATTAGTCTAATCATATTAGCAAACTTCCCCGAAATAATTGTAAAGTCTAGTTTTATTGTTCCAAGTTGTTCAAGGGAGTATTTAAAACATTAGGGCATAAAATGGCCACACCAATTTTTGTGGGAAAACTTTTTATTTGACAAGAAAAACGTGTTTTTTGGGATTCAATCGAAAGTGTTGACAGGAACGTAAAAACGTTTCATATAAGATTTTTTAGGTATTTATGAGACCTACAAAATGAGACCACACGTAAAAAGATCCGACTAATAGCAAAATATTATGGCCGAAAAATGAAGCAAAATTCAGGTTTTGGCACTTGGTAATGCGACGATAATTTCACGCAACTACTTGAAATTCTTCAAATCCGTATCTCAAAACACCTGTTTTCCGGCCATCACTACTAGTTTATTGAGCAATATACAGGGTTCGTTCAAAGAACATTTAATAGCAAAATACACTAGTTTACCTTGCTGATATGAATCACAAACCATTCCGAAAGATAAATGTTATTTGCATGCGAATAACAAAGGTTACGTTTTTTTCTTCTAAACAAATTCGAACATTTCGCATTTGTGAGTAATTGAACAAATGCGCTACGATATTCGAAAAACATACTATACTATATACTATACACATTTTAAAACAAAGCGGATGTGTCTATTATCTTTTTTGCGAATTACTCACAAATACGAAATGTTTGAATTTGTTTAGAAGAAACGTAACCCATCCTTTTTTGCATAAAAATAACATTTATCTTCCGGAATGGTTTGGGATTCATATCGGCAAGGTAAACTAGAGTATTTTGCTATAAAATGCCCTTTGAACTAACCCTGTATACTGTAGTAGTGATGGTCGGAAAACAGGTGTTTTGGGATAAACAATTAGAAATTCTCAAAAACTACTTGACCAATCTACTCCAATTTTGTTGTGGTTATTTAGAAGTACGAATCCTACGAATTTGAAGGATTTCAAATATTTGTGAGACACCATCGTCGGATTACCAACAAGTGCCAAAACCTGCGTTTTGCCTCGGTTTTCGGCCATAACTTTTTTTACTATTAGTGGGATCTTCTTACGTGTGGTCTCATTTTGTAGGTCTCATAAATACCTAAAAATCTTATATAAAGTTTTTTCGTTCATTGCAACACTTTCGATTGAATCCCAAAAAACACGTTCTCATTCTTTCTTGTCGAATAAAAGTTTTCCCACAAACATTGGTGCGGCAATAAAACCAAACCTTACAAATATTTCGCAAACCAGGGGTATTTTCGTCTAAGATGATTAGACTAAATGTCAAAAAAACTGATAAAATGTCAACTTCTAGATTAGATAGATGATAGTGAGCAAATAGTTCATTCCGCGCCTGCTACAAGTGAGCATCAAGTGAACGATAATGTCATAAAAAATCTACATAATTCAAAAAAAAAACGACTATGTTGCTTTTCAAGTTACGCAATACCCCTGCAAGTGTATTATCATACTATAATCCATTTTTGTGTACCTGTTTTCACGTTGGCCAGCTCTTTGGCAGTCTCCTCCAGTTTCATGTCCAAGGGCACGGCCGGTTGCGACACAATGGACTCCAGCAGAGAGCTGTCTGTTTCTTGCAGAGCGGGCGATATGGTTGTTTTGTCGATATTGAAAACGGACTTTTCGGAGGAGTTTTCAGATGGTGATAGAGGAGGAGGCGGAGGTGGTAGAGGAGGCGGCGGTGGAGGTGGGAGGTCTTTCACTTCTTCTGGGCTAGCTGGAGAATTTTCAGTCTCAGGTTCTTCAGGTTTCTCCTGTAAAAATAGCATACAGATTATTGTGCTTAATATCATAAGACCTTGTGAAAATCCGGGAATAATCTCACTAATTTTCCGTTTGATCGAGTAATGTTTCGTTATGTTTGGTGTAAAATTATCTTTCATTCACATCGCAGCGGTTTTGTTCCGAAACATTAATGTGACTTTGACTATGACTGTTTTGGTCAAATTTGGAAGTGCTCGACATGCCGGTGCTAGAATGACAATACCAGCATGCTACAGAAACCTAAAATTTACGACGTATTAATTTGGATAACACTCAAAAGCATTGACCATTAGGATCACTAAGGTGTGGCTTCTGAAACACATTGTCGTTGTACCTCCGAACTATGTACTGCGTTCTCTCTGGCCAATAATTCAGCATATTTGATTACCATTATTGGCGAGAGTAAACGCGATAAAATTAGACACAGCAAAGTTTAAGAGGTCGATTGGCCCCCGTACCATGGTCACTGGACCCCTAGTATCGTACCACTACCTGGAGGAAAATACAATATACCCTACTTCACGAGTATCCATCACGCTTTGATGTTTACTGAGGTGAACAGCTGATCAGCAAGTGAAATTTTTGTGTTTGTCTGTAACGTTGAAAATAATGAATCGGGTGCAAATTAACTTTTCTAAATTAAAGAGCTTTTGGCAAGTACAAAATCAATCTGTAGCGTACAAAAAAACCAAAACAAAATATGGTTCTGTCTACCCAACACGACGGATCCGTCAAAATTATGTATCTTAAGCCGATATGAGGAATTTTGAAATACTAGATAATCAGCTGTCATTCTACCGTAATGGATACTCGTGAAAAAGACTATAGGTAACTTGCAGAAGCATTGGCACGAATAAGTGAGGTTATGGAAAATGGCAGAATTGAATATTCAATCTAACGGACGTTGTTAGATCCACAATCCACACTAGTGCTTTCATTACCATGACTAACTGAGCATTTGGCAACGTAGCCTACCGACACTTGTTGGATGGCTATCAAGGCGTACGGCGTTGAGCACCAATTGAGAGAATTCAAAACTGACTTATATTTGGGAAGCTAGAAGCAGATGACGTTAGTTAGATTGCATGTCATGTCTAAGTTTTGAGTAATTGATAAAACAAGTAAACATTTCCACACAGCTTCAACAACGGACTATCGTGTCTTCAAAATTGAAAACAACATTAAAAAGATGGTGCTTAACAAAATAGAATATTTATATATATATATACAGTGAAAGCTCTCCTTGCGGACAGCTCCTATAAGCGGACATCTCTTTTAACCGGACAAAGTTCCTGGAACCGAATTTCAGCCATCAATTTTCAATGTTAAATGCATTCCGATAAACGGACGCTCTTATAAACGGACGCGGACACTAGATTTTCCTGTATGTGATCAAAAAATCTCCCATAAGCGGACGCGAAACTCTAATACCCGGACGATTTTTTAGTTCCGCTTATTGCAATGCACATATCTACATACATAAAATTCGGTAATTCCCCGATTTATATTAGGTGATTCCCCATTTACGCATTTCGTTGGGTAGCCTGTATGTAATCTTGTGGCTTGTCTTCAGTTCAGGCAAATTCGTAGTTGATTGAGTTACGTATTTTATTATTGTAACTGTAAAATGGCACCAAAAAAAAGGATGCTCTCGTTAAAGGAAAAGATGGAAGTTGTTAACGTATTAGACAGAGAAAGTGTTTCAGTTCGTCATTTGGCAAAGAGGTTTAATATTGGGAAAACGCAAGCAGCTGAAATTGCCAAAAATAAGGAAGATATCAGGAGTAAATGGCAATCAGGAACTAATATAAATCAAAAGAAGGATTTTTAAAAAAAGGAAGGTTTTGCTATAGACAAAACATGTTTTGAGTGGTTTGTGAAAGCTAGAAGTCAGAACATTCCAATCTCAGGGCCGTTAGTGAAAATGAAAGCTAAAGAAATCGCCACTACTTTGGGCTATAATAATTTCAGTGCGTCCGACGGGTGGCTGCAAAAGTGGCGCAAGAGACATAGTGTGAGTTTCAAATGCATATCTGGCGAAGCTGCTGCAGAAGATCAAGTTGATGTGTCACAATTTTTGGAGAAACTTCCGTCCATGTTGCTTGGCTACAAACCAGAAGATGTGTACAACGCAGATGAGAGTGGACTTTTTTTTCGCGCATTGCCCGACAAAACTCTGTCCTTTAAAGGAGAAACATGTGTGGGTGGAAAGTTGTCTAAAGATAGACTAACCATTTTATTCTGTGCAAATATGGCCGGTGAAAAATGCGATTTGATTGTGATCGGGAAAGCGGCTCGTCCCCGTGCTTTAAAAAACGTTGCTATTAAGGATCTACCAGCGACTTGGAAACCCAACAAAAAGGCATGGATGACCCGAGAAATCATGTCTGAGTGGTTAGTCGAATTCGACCGGAAAATGAGAATCCAAAAAAGGCAAGTTCTTTTATTTTTAGACAATGCATGCTCTCATCCTCGTGATATGAAAATGAAAAATGTGAAAATTATATTTTTACCGCCAAACACAACTTCTGTTTGTCAGCCCATGGATCAAGGTGTCATACAGAACTTTAAATTTTATTATCGGCACATGATTTTAAAACATATTTTAACAAAAATTGACGATGGTCAAAGCTTATCTGAGCTTACAAAGTCTATCAATGTGTTAGAAGCTTTGTATTTTATAAAAACAGCATGGAATAAAGTAAATTCCTCTACAATTAAAAACTGTTTTGGCAAAGCTGGATTCAGAAAAAGTGAATGTAGCTCAGAATTTGCTGAGCAAAATTATTGCGATGCTGAAGACGATCTGCCCTTAGCGACACTTGCTCAGTTACTGCGACATGCCAAACATTTAGGAGTAGCAGATCCCCAGAAAGTAGATGATTTCCTGGCCATAGACAATAACAACAGAAGAAAATGCCATTGGCAACTTTTCGAATTTGGATGTAGAAAGCCCAGGCCAACTTGAATATGGTAGTCCAAACGACTCAGAAGAAGAAGTGGAACTGGTGGACTCACTAAGCGGTTCAAAAACGATAAATTCATATGGGGAAGCTCTAAATCATATTTCTATATTGAAAAAATTTGCTAAAGATGATTTCACTGCATTTCAACATTTGAAAAATTTAGAAAGTTATTACGAAAATTGTCTCATTCAGCAAAAGATGGTGAAATTTCGTCAGACAAACATTTTAAACTTTTTTCAACAAGCTAAAGAATAATGTTTTTTTTAAATTCTCGTACCATGTATTGAAGCATTTATGTTTTTGTATGCGTATATGTACATATATTATATATTTTTCTCATGATTATAATACCTCATTTCCTCATGATTATATACCCCGTTATTTATACTCTATACTCTCTTTTAAACGGACACCTCCCATAAGCGGACAAAAGTTACGGAACCGTGAGTGTCCGCTTATGGGAGCTTTCACTGTATATATAATATTTTAATTTTGAGGTAATATTACTAGAATACCTCAAAATTGAGTCAAAATGGACTTACGGCTGTTTACCTCTCAGCTAATGATATACAGATACCACCTTGGTTCCCGCAATGCTATTACGTAAAGAACCTATAAAATGTAAAAACGACTGCCTAGATAGTTGTTAGTGTGCAAATAGTACATTCCGAGTTTGCTCGCTATGAGCGTCATCAAAAGCGTCCATTTATGGAGGAATGACTCAACGACACGACACGCTCAATGACCATGCTGCAAGTCAGTTCACCATCATGCTTTGTTGGTTCCAGAATGCCGAGATAGTCTGTAGAGTCGTTTCGGGCCTGATGAAGCCAGCAAGCAGAAATACGTATCGCTTGCATTATCTAACCTATTTTCTGCTCGAATTCACTTCCCTTTCTTTTTGCGGATTTTGCCCATTATTTTTCTATTTATTATATACCTTTTTCCACATGATTCTTTTCTCTCTCTCTCTACATAGGTATATATATACAGGGTGGCGCATCGAAAACGAAACAGACGCATTTACTGGCAGCTCAGTTTTTTTTAAAATGCTCAGACCCGTCGATTTTGTTTTCGAGGGGAACACAAATTGGCAAAAAATCACGTTAGCACGTGCAGCCCCCTAAGCGGGGGTGACACCACCCCCAAAATCTTATATGGAAAGGGGGGTCGAGTGATACCTTATTTTAAAGGTCTTTCTTTTTTTTATAGTGATATAAAATTAATGTACTTCAGTTCAGTAGTTTAGAAGATTTATTGATTTAAAGCTTAAATAAAACTAATACATCATCATTAGTGGAGACCAATACATTTGGCAGCAAAGTAATTTAAAAATGAAGAATGAACTGATCCGTTAGGCAAGTAAATGTTGAAAATGGCCACCATGACTCTCCATGCAATATTAAAGATTTTGCTCAAAACGTTGACGCACATTTTGCAATATTTGAGGAGTAATTTGAAGGCACTCATTCACAATTCTTTGTCGCAGGTCTTCTAATGATGCTGGCTGAGTAGCATAGATTTTGCTTTTTAAATGACCCCACATAAAGAAATCCAAAGGTGATAAATCTGGCGATCTTGGGGGCCATTCAATGGCACCTCTTCTACCAATCCATCGATCTGGAAACGTCTGATCTAAATATTGTCGAACACGTAATGCGCAATGTGGTGGGGCACCATCATGTTGGAACATCAACCTATTCTCATTGTACCGCCATTCTGATTTTCAATTATGGCTGTTACTGCAGGATCTATGGCGTCTTCCAGTAATTCCGAAAACATTTCATTTCCAAGTAAGAAAAAAGGACCAACTAAATGATCGCCAAAAATACCAGCCCAAACATTTAATTTTTGTGGCTGCTGTGTATGAACCTCATGATAAATTCTGGGATTAGAATCGCTCCAATATCGGCAGTTATGACGATTTACTACGCCATTTAAGAAAAAGGAACATTCGTCGGAAAAGCAAGTGTTGAATAGAAAATGTTCATCGTTTATAATTCGTTCACTCATATCTTCACAAAATTGTAATCGCCGATCAAAATCGTCTTCAATAAGTTCTTGTACCAGGTGAATTTTATAGGGATGAAAACTATGGGCCTTTAGAATCCGTTGAACAGTACGTCGACTAACACCTCGCACAGTCTCCAATTTGCGGGTACTTAACGTAGGATCTACATAAACTTGCCTAAAACCCCCACTTCTATTGCTTCGTTCCTTATGGGATTTTCAATGTTGCGTTTTTTATTGGCGACTGACCCATCAGTTTCCCGAAATTTAGCTACAAGTTCTAGAACATATTTTCGATGCACGTTACTGTTCTCATGTCGCTCATTAAATATTTCTGCTGTTATATTAGCGCACTGATTATTTCCGAAAAATATTTCGATAATTTCAACTCTTTCTGCTGTGGAATATACATACCATGGTTAATTTATGTAATAAAGCGTTACAAGTTATTTTAGCAACAAAGTTTGGTCAAATAAATCGCAAACTAGGTACTTAATTCCTATTTAAAATAAGTACGAGATATTTCCTTATCTTTCTTCAAGAAATAACTTTTTTGTCACAAAAAACGCTCCAATAGCTATTTTCAACAACAAAATGATAAACAAACCATGGGCGTAGTGAAGAAAAGCGTTTACTTATTAATTAAATTCTTTTAGTCAAATTTATTCTGAAAGTAGTACAAACTAATCTGATGTACCTATTAAAGTTTACTTTAAGTTTTAAATCAATAAATCTTCAAAACTACTGAACTGAAGCTCATGTATTTTACATCATTATAAAGGGAATTGAAAGACCTTTAAAATAAGGTATCACTCGACCCCCCTTTCCATTTAAGATTTTAGGGTTGGTGTCACCCCCGCACGTGTTAACGTGATTTTTTGCCAAACTTGTGTCCCCCTCGAAAACAAAATCGACGGGTCTGAGCATTTTTCAAAAAAAAAAAACTGAGCTGCCAGTAAATGCGTCTGTTTCGTTTTCGATGCGCCACCCTGTATAGCGCTTTTAGAAAATATGAGTTAAAAATTCTACGTAGATTTCAACTAATCTAGTGATTTCTCGTGTACAAACTACTAACTAACTACAACTAATCCTAATAATTTCTCATGTAATACATATTGGCTCAGCTTGGGGAGAGCCTTGTACATGATCAACTTTATCATAGTCAGTTTTTATAAAAAAATTCTCATTTATTTTCGTGGAACTTGAGACAACGAGGACAGCTCATTCGAAAACGTTCATAAACTACAATATGTACAGCGAGAGCGAAAATAGTGAGAAAAGTGAATGTTTTCAATGAAAAGTGAGTAAAAGCGAAATGGATCGAAAAAAGTGGGTCGTCAGCATGCCTGTACTGAATATGGTGCCCATGAAATATACCTATTAGTTGAGCCAGACGGGTTATTTGTTTTTGCCTTTATGAAGAGAGGTTATGTTAAAAGTTTTATACATTACGATTTTTCCCCGTTTTTTTTTGCGTTTTCAAAAACTTTGAGAACCATTACGGGAAATCAGTACCGCACCCGCGCTGTGTAATTAAGCCACATTACAGAAGAATTAGGAATGACGCATACATACAAAACATTTTCGCACTGCGTCTGGATGTAGGCGCTGATTTGTATTTTCTACTTGACATCGTTTTTTGACATTTCGTAGGTTTTTTGTGTTGTACACTTATTGGGAACTCGTTTTGTAGCTGCATGTGTTGCTTAAACGTCAGCGAACAGCTATCATAGCGAGCACACGTTGAATTAACTATTTGCACACTAAAAACTACCTAGTCTGCAAGATGACATTACGTCTGTTTTGTCACGTTTTATAGGTTTTTTACATAATACTACCACCGTGGTACATCCACGAAGAATGATAAGCATAATCCTTCACAACCAGAAAGTATATCTGAATCTGAGCAAAACAATCGGTCGCTTCGTAAATTAGTTACCACTAGGTTTGATCATACTCGACATTTCCTACAGTAGATATAAATAAAAGTTATTCGTAATAATGGAACCTCACCTCTATATTTTGACTCTCTGAAGTGATGCCTAGTATAGTGGATAATGGAGGAGCTGGTGGAGATGCTGGAGGCTCAACTTCTCTTTTCTTTGATTGGTAACTGGTGGTAGGTGGTGTTATCAACAAAGCATCGTTGCTTTCGTCGTCTGTCGAAGCACTTTGAGCAATCACTCGTTGTATTTGCTCTCTTATTAATTCATCCTCATCACTGTCTTTTAATTTACCTGTAAGTTTTGTTGAAAGTAAATGTATACGAGGTCTGTAAATTAAGTGATGAGACTGGCAACGTAGCGTTCGATCTAGCAACACTGGAGGCGTAGGGCTTGGAGCGGAGACAGGGGAACATGTGATCGGATTTCAGGACAAGTTCGAATCCACTTGAGTCATTTGGTTGTCCGTAGCGATTTTTCTTGTGAAACAGTTTTTTTCTATTGTGTTCTAAAAATGAGTTTCATCAATTTCAAGCATCTGTGAGCTATGAGGTTTTGTTTCAGACTTGGGCACAGTGCTAAAGAAACTTTTGTTAAACAGGCCTACGGCGATAGTGTTTTTCCAGAGCCAAGGTTTTTCTGTTTTTAAGCCATTTTCTGAAGAAGATGAACCAAGAAGCGGATGGCCTTCATATTCAAGAACAAATAAAAATATCCCCAGAATAAGGGATCCTCTGCGTCCAGATCGTCGGTTGACAGAATGATCGGGGAAGATTTAAATTTGACTGAAACCACTGTTCATCAGATCAAGAACAACTGAGTGTTGCATCATGATCCTTGTTACACATCAATGTCAATAAACGAGTTTTTGGCCAGTAAAAACATTCTGTGGCTTCTCACCCTTTTTATTCACCTGACTTGAGTCCTTGTGACTTTTGTCTTCCCGAGGTTGAAAAATCATCTCAAGGAACTCATTTTGGGTCATTCGAAAACATTCAAACGGCTGTAGCCGACCAGCCGAAGGCTATTCCAGTGTCGGAGTTCCAGCTCTGCTATGAGGAGTGGAAGAATCGTCTCCAGCACTGTGTGGCTTTAGAGGGAAGTTATTTTGAGGGTGACAATATAAAATTCTAGTTATATTTGGATTTTTTTTAAATCAGTCCTATCACTTAATTCGCCGACCTCGTATGTTAGGCGATTAAAACATACAGGCTATCACAACGCAACTGGAAAGAACTTTTACAGAATAGCTATAAAAGATACTGAATAACGGTTTTCGCAGGCATCATGATATCTCATCTCTTTCTAAATTATTTGGAAATATACAGGGTGTTGCACAACTCCGTGACATAACAAACATGTATTTTTTAATGAAACGCCATATATTTTATTGATTATTTGGAAAGACCCTCCCAAAACAAGAAGAATGGTATAATACACTATAAGGTATTACTATACTATTGGTCTTCGTTTTTTAGTTATTTCAACATTGGTCTGAATAAATACCTCCGCCATTTTGCCTGCATAGTCATTCATTGAAGTCTGGAGCGAAGATGAAGTACGTCAAATTTAAGCGCAGCTGCGAAAAGTGCCAATAATATGATCTGTTTATATAGGCTGCTGCAAAACGACACTTGTTTGTAGCAAAGATTTAAAATGGAACACCCTTTATATTTTTACGTCACCAGATTTACCTTTTTATAAGGCTTCTTTTGATATAAGGTTTATACCAATTTATTTGTAGAAGTTCTCGGGAATCATACAATGATCTACTTAGCCACCGCATTGTATCTACCAGGGAAATAATAACTTCTCGCAATCCTGCGAGTAGACCAGAGGTGTGTTCTCAAATATCTGATTAGAGATTTGTCGCAAGAAAATGTCGAACGCTTTTGAAAACTGGAGTTATTGTTTCGACATCAGAGATGCTCTCGTATGCGACACTGGAATTTTCTTTTTGTAATTTTTGTCATCGTTTGTCACAGTGCTGTCACTTTTGTGAAAAATAATTTGATTTTAAAACGGATGTTGAAAAAAGGTGGCCAATAACCAACAAAAAAGTAACGTTTTTCAAACAAACTCCTATTTGTCATCTGCCATTTTGTCAATAATTGAAAAAATCTTGAACGCATCATTCATTGTCGCATGGTCCAGTGGCGGCTCGTGATTTTACAAATAGGTGACGCAGGATTGACCGACCCCCCCCCATACCATGTAGAGCGCATACACAAAAAAAAACATGAAATAACTTACCTAAATTCAGTAACTCGAAAACAAAGTCAGGATTATCAGGCACTTTTCATTGTTTATATATGAGAGCAATTCGTCGGTCCTTCAAATTAGCAAACTTATTTATAACGTCATCGTAAAACGGCTGTGACACTATCAGTTCATTTAATAATTCTTTTTCGATCGATATTTTTGCCAAGTTCGTCAACCGATCTTCCGACATGGTACTTCGTAGATAACTTTTGATTCGCTTAAGGCATGAAAAACTGCGTTCTGTCGAAACACTTGTTGATGGAATGGTCAGTATTAAACACAAAAGCTTATATGCCTCCTTGAAGATACTGCGATTCTCAAATAGCGATTCCTTTAATAAGCGGGGTTCCATATTTTGATATTGATCATCGCTATAGATCAGCTGCAATTCATTTTTCAGTCTCTGAAAATCTGTGAATGTATTTGAATAAAACTCCTTCAAATTACTTAGGGCTTCTGTTGGAAATTTTTCTGAATATGTTTTGAACTTCGAAGTGTCCATTAACGTCACAAAATGAAGCTTTTCCATATCTTGGAAACGGGTCGTGATTTGCAGAGAAATGGTATCCAAAATTTCAAAATACAGCACTCTATATCTTTCAATAATTTGATCCCGAGACAATGTTACTCTTGTCCTGCCGTCGCGGTGTTCTGTTTGTACACTTGTTTTTGATGCAGCCAATTCGAAAATATTCTTAAATGTTTCTTCATTTCTCTTCTTGTTTAATTGTGTTTGAACACTTTTAATTTGCTTAATGCAAAGGTTTATATCAAAAGATTTTTTTTGCAGTGTGTCGAATAGTATATCTGTCATTCCAAAGATCTCGTTAAAAACAACAACCAAAAGCACGAATTCGAAGTCATGGAATTTATTTAGAAATCCGTCGCTCTGTCTAACCGAGGCTTGATCGGAGGTTGGATCATTAATAATTTCAGTAAACACTTGCTTTAAGGAATCCCACTCCTTATTTATAAAACTGATAACTTTAGAATTTGATGTCCATCGCGTAATAACGGAAACAGGTATTCGACGTCCTATTATTGAGTCTGCTACGTTAGTTCGTTTCGGAGAATGGTGAAAAAATGTCGGTAAACCACTTATAGTTGCAAAAAAAATGCGGCATTTTGTAATACTATTGCAACTTTGTTGTAACACTAGATTCATGCGGTGTGCGAGGCAATGAACAAAAACTGCTTGGGGTGCCTCCTGTTCCTTTATTTTAGCCTGAAGACCATTTAACTGTCCGGACATGACGCTTGCACCATCGAAACATTGTCCAACGAGTTTTGTTTTGTAATCAAAATTTTGTAGACACCTTGTCACGAGGTTAAATAATGCTTCAGATGTTCGGCTGCAGCTTACATCATGAAATCCTAAAATTCTCTCCACAAGTTTTCCTTCAAGATTGACATAACGGATTATTATGCTGCACTGCGATTTGTGGGCAATATCGGTGGAATCATCCACCTGAATGGAAAAAAAACTGCATTCCTTTATTTCATTTTCCACATATTCATCAATGCATTTGACAATGCAGTCAATAATTTCGTTTTGAATGGTTTTAGAATTGCCCGCAAATATTGAGGCAATTTTTTTGTAGTGCTCCTGAATGTCTACAGGGCTTATAGATACAAATGCTTCTAGGAGCTCTTTGAAATTTCCACGGTTAATAGAAGTCGTCTCTTCGTTGTGGCCACGAAACGCCAGTTCTTGTTTGCCCAAAAAAAGGACAGCGCGTATTGGCAATTCCATGAAACGTCTATTAAGTTGCACGTTTTCGTTAAACTGTTTAATATACAGCCTGGAATTTTCGCGTAAAGCATCCTCAATAGTAGTGAGATTTTTCTTCAATTTTGAAAAACCTAGTGCGCAACGCATATGATCCGATGATCCTTCATGTTTACGAAGAGCACGAGTCACATTCCCGAAATCATTGAAACCGTACTTGCTCCACACGGTTGCTTTAACACTTACAATCAAACACGGCACACAAAAAAGTTTATTTAAATAATAGCTACCACATAACCATGCAAACTCACTATACCACGATTTTTTAAAATTTCGACTGTACACTTTGTCCTTAACTTTAGCGGTTTTATTTACATTTAATATCGGAGAAGGTTTTTCGGAGTTTAAAAAGTCTTTTTTATCATCATTACTCCATTGAGAAAACGATTTTTCCAACATAACACAAACCGTATCATAGACAGGAAACATTGTTCAAAACAATGAAAACTAACCTCGACACAATACGATATCGGTAGTAATGCAGAGCAGACTAGACGCAAATTCATAATTTGCTTCACTTGCCTCGGCCAAAACGGAAGCGCGCGTGCCGTTGTCATGGCAACCGTCGTATTTGCTCGTATCTGTACTGGACGCAGCAATGCGGTGCAAATAAAGCTGCTTCAGGTCTCTGTTTCAACACGCCAAATTAAGCGCAAACGTAGGCGCGTTGTCGGTTGCGGGGTTTCTCAGTATTCTGTTGATCGCAAATACAAATAAAGAATGTCCGAAAAATAATTTTTTAAGATATAAATGAATTTTTTTTATAAATTTCAAAATAAAAAAAATATATTTTTTTTGCTGCTTCACCTGCGTCATGGGGCGAGCCGCCACTGGCATGGTCTTAGCTACGCGAGATTCTGTCAAATGAAGATTGTTAACAGCGAGATTCAAGAAGGCACTATGAAATTCGTGTGACATTTTAACTATCTCGAATGCGACATTGATCATCGACATTCCAGAACAGCCCTTTTGATATATAGTTTTCTTTGTTTATCTGTAGTCGCTTCCATTCACACAATGCTCCATATTAATGTAGATTAGATAGATAGATACTTCTATTTTGGAAGCTTTACCAGCGACCCCTATTAGATGATTTTTCAGTTAATGATGCACTGGAATAATTTATCGTTGTGATTATGTGACTAACACAATTCTTATATCAAGCTAATAGAAGCGTTTAGGTCATGTCGTTTTTACTTGAACTACTCCTTATCTGATTTCGAGTTATAATTAATTAATGATTCCATTGGGTTAATTGAATTAAACAGAACTTTGGCATCCCAGAGGAAGCCACTACCTTATGATTGAGAGAAACCAAAAAAGAAACTTGGTCATGGTTCTGAGATAATTTTTCATGTATGAATTAGATATTTATGAAATACAGTAGCCCTGATTAAGTGCAGAGCTGTAGGATATCGTTTCCATGGATGGCATGTGGTGGCTAAATGGATAATTCTAGGGTGTTCTAGAATACTTAAAAAATAACCAGATAACCGCTCAAATAAATCAGTATACAGGGTGTTCCAGAAGTCGACGTCAAGCCGGAAACGGGGGATAGGCCAAGTCATAATAGTTATCAGAAAAATATAAAAACAAAATTTTCAAACTAGAGGCCTTAAAAAAATCGGAAAAATCCGCACCCTGCGATGATTTTTTAGTTTCCATTACAACAAATTTCAATTTTTTCTTAGACAGTGACAGATACTGTCATTCTACGTAGTGACAGCAAGACGGATATTAACGCCACATTTATTAATTCATGATTGTGTAACACCACAAGGTCTGGGTACACCGTACAGGAATACGCAAACACGCACTTTCTTTATGGGAAATATAGATGTAATGCTAGTGCTGCAGCTAGGCTTTATCGTGAGAGGTACGCAAATGTTGCTCGTTATCCCAATCACTGAATTTTTGTGAATGTGCACCGTTTACTCTCAGAGCGACGATTCCCTAATCAAGCACATGGAGAAGGGAGAATTTCCTTGCCGTACGAGGACGTCTTACTACAAGCAGTCGAAGAAGACCAGAGTACATACTTCAGTACGCAGATAGAAGCAAGCACGGGAGTGCCTAAAAGTCCAGCCCACGAATTTTTGGGAAAAGACATCCACCCATACCATGTACAGCGACAATCTCTACAACCCTGGCATTATCTTCCAGGAGTTGAGTTTTGTCAAACAAACAGAGACACCGGAAAGATAATAAATACATTCACAAATTAATAAATGTGGCATTATTATCTGTCTTGCTCTCACTATGTAGAATGACACTGTCTAAGAAAAAATTGAAATTTGTAGTAATGGGAACTAAAAGATTACACGGTGTACATTTTTCAGATTTTTTTAATCCTATCATTTGAAAAGTACACGACTTGGATTTTTTTATATTTCCCTGATAACTATGACTTGGCCTATCCCCCGTTTCCGGCTTGATGTCGACTTCTGGGACACCCTTATATCTTACATCAAACAAAGAAATTATAAAAAGGCAAATCTGATGGTGGAAGAATATACGATCAAAATCCTATAATGTATTATAGCAATTTTTTTGTGTTGGAAAGGACTTTCCGAATATCTAATAAAATATAGGGTGTTCCATTTAAACACCTCATTTGTTGTGCCACGGATTTGTGCAACACCCTTATATTTACAAATAATTTAGAAACACACACCTGTGAGATCAATCTTGCTCCAATTACCTTTTTTGAATATCTTTTAGTTTTTCTATAAAACTACTATCCATTTTTGTTGGAGTACCCTGTATATGAGCACACTTGCGACAGTTCTCGTTAAATAGTGTGTCCTCTCCCAGAACAAGGTTATGTTGTTATTTGATGCTGCCTGTCTGAGAAAGAACATTTGATTCACTTAATTTTGCAATACATACCCGGTCAATAAAATAACACTTTTTATCTTAAGATTTAGCTACTTAATACCAATGTATGAGGTAAATAATAACCTTCATCTATTTTACCACATGAAAATTCCATGTAAAGAGTATTTTGGTCTGGTGATGGTTTGCTGAATGTATCCGAGAATAATTCCGGCTCAGTGGTGAATATTTGAGTTTGTGATTCACAATCTGACAGCTCCATATCTCTGCTATATTCATCTACAGTTTCTGGCAGCTCCCTGTAAATAAAATAGGTTTGTTTCCATTCAAAGTTTACCATATTAACATATGGTCCAGAGTATTGGAATGTGGAGAATAAAAACTAATTTCTACGATACTTCAATACATTATGAGCCCTCCTTCTTGTACTGTAGACTGCTGACTTTGTTGATTGTGATTTGCATAACAAAGCTTGCCAAGTATTATAAAATTTATTTAATTCTTAGGTAACTTGAAATGTAGACATGATCATTAGCAGCCATATCCACTGGTTCATTATCATTGTATAACAAACGATCTTGATCAGTTTAAGCAAAATAAAAAAACACAAAAACGTCGGCGTCAGTAGGAAGTACATAGCAGTTCAAGGTACGCCTAGGTCACTTGATGATATGGAGCATTTTGACTGTTACCAAGTGATCGATTGACATATGTATTGTCATGTTTTGCCATACTGAAGTGCAATGGAAAATAGTGTGCACAATAATTATTTTTCTTTTTAATTTTAATACAGGTAAACATCTGATGGATTAATATTTTTACCTGAAGAGACTCAATGAATCCTCAGAAACGTCTGGCTCTTCTTTCGGCTTACTAGTACTCTCTTGCGCCCTATCTATGGTCTTTACGAAATTGAAGCTAGGTGACTCCACGAGCTTATCGAAGGGATCCTTATCTTTAATATCCAAATCGGGTATTGTAATTGCTTCATCATCGTCAGAGTCCTCCTGAGCATCTTGCTTACGAACAAGAGCTTTCCTGAAGGAAGTGGTTGGTGTGCTCTTTTCAGACTTTTCTGATGAAGAGGAACCACTTGGAGAGAGCTTCAAGTTCTTCCTTGGTGACATCTCTAAATCGTCGAAAATTCTCGGACCTAAAAATTGCAGAACCTTTACGCCCGGTTTTTCAATCGGATATTCACTGCAAGTTTACTACTAACCCGAATTTAACTATCAAAAAGCATTTTTCAATGTCTGGTTTGCCCTAAAGGTAGTAATATCTAACCTATTTTGTGACTATGATATAATCTGTCACGGATGACACGAGACTCAAACACCGACCACTGGTTAGTTAACCACAACTTGAAAAACGAATTTACTGGCACAACTGATACATATAGCATCTTCAACTGGTATGCAATTTTGCACTTTTTCTTATTTAGTGCCTAAGTGCATTTTTATTTACCATCGTGTGTTCCACTGGGAAATTTATTGCACAATGCTATGTGCATCACTTGAATGCTGAAATGCACCAGCGCATGCCAGAGGCAAGTTAACTATCAAATTACAGTTGCCAAATTTGACACTTAACCTGCGACTGAAACACCAGGCCTTAATGGTGCTATAAGACTACAAAAATTGCAGTCTCAAATTCAACGATTGTAAACGTAATTTTTGAAATGCAATTTTATTCAATGATTTACTCACGCTTCTTAGCTCCCTTGTCATCCACCAACTTTGTCCTGCTTTCAAACTCAAAAGGTTCTGGCTCTTTGAATTCATAGACATCCAGGCAAATGGGAGGCTTTTCGGCAGGTTTTTCTTTTTCTTTCTTCTCGTCTTCTGTATCGACCTCCTCTTCTATTTCCATGTTTTTTTCTAAAATTGGGGGGCTCGTCGAATCATCAGAAGACGATACAGTTTCCTTTTCCAAAGTATCAATTGGAGAAACCTAGAAATAATCATAACGGAAAACAATGTTACATGAAATTCCTGTGAAATGTAATTTGACTTTCGGGTACCTTGATGGCTTTTGTGAATCCTTTCAACTCTGACCTAATCTGATTTAAATCAAAATCCCTCCCTTTGGGTGGACTAACTTCATCCTCGCTCTCATCAGCGGATTTTTCTGGAGATCTTTTAATTTTTTTCGTCCTTCTAACTGGTCTTTTCTCCACTACTTCCTCTTTCTCTGTGTCTTCATCTTCTTTCTCCTTCCGCTTATCAACTTTCGTCTGAAAATAAGTTCAAATAAGCTTAGCCAAATTTTAATTCCAATTTTAGGAAAAAAGTATTTGACAGTGACAAAAGAAATACTATCACGAAGAATGATATCACACTACAAAAATTATTGGTGAGAGGCCATTGTACTTACTGGAACTGGAGTCTTGGTAACCTTCCTCCTGTAGGTTTTAAGCTCCGGTTCGTCCGTTTTAGTATTGCTGCGTATTCTGGAAGGCTCTGATTCGCTGACAGAACCTTCACTGTCAGATTCTTCCGTATGGTTGGAGACATCCGTTTGTGCCGAGATTCTCCTAGTCCGTCTTACGGTATCTAAAATATAATCAACAGGTTCTATGGAATAAGTGTAGCAAGTGTAACACCAATGACATATACTGGCATGCGTTGTGAGGATTTGGGTGACATTTGAAAGAATCTATTGATAAGAAAGAATTTTGTAACGAAATAAAAAATTACAGGACTGATGAAGACATCTCCTAGTATGTCGTGCTCTGATCAAATTGAAGTTTTGTTTTTACGAAAGATGTATCGCCTTTTACGTGACTGTCAGATCGCCTATAAATTATATCAAGTATGCATACGTGTATTCTGCCCTTATAAATGAAGCGCCGCAAAAAATTAAAATTGAGTTTTTTGCTCCAGTATTTCAAAATATCGTAACTTTACTATTAATAGTAGAGAGATGATTTAAACATCCCACAAATGTCATTTCGATAAAGATTGGAAGAAGCTATTTTTTCCCTTGGAAAACATGTTGGCTTAAGGCCACAGTCGGGAACTTTCAGTATGTCCATCGGGACACCTCAAATAATAGTCCTATCAATTTTCAAAACTACACGAATTATTTTGTCTGATTTCCTTGATTTTAACGTGCTATATTATGCATAATTAAAATGATTCTGAGAAAGTTCATTATAGAACCCGATTAAGCTATAATTTATCCAACGAACCTACGGAGTAATAAATCATCTGACCGGTACGCGCCTCGTTCCTATTGGTCACACACAATAGCACTTTAATTCTTTCCGAATGTCTGTGACGTGCGGTTGAATTTTTTTTGTGTGCTTCATTTAGTTTTGTGAGACAACTTTTAAAAAGATATTTCGACATGAGTGCCTTATTAGACGAGGGTCAATTACCAAGAAAACGGACAAAAAGAGCTTTGTCAGTTTCTGAAAAAGAAACTATTATAAATATTTATATAGCTTCTCGGGAACGTTATCCAAATGAAACTCAGACAGAACGTGTAGCCTTTGTTTCAAGAGCATCAGGTGAGGATTTAGCTTTGAAGTATAATTTAAAATATTTTGTAGTTTGATGTATTATTCTAAATAATAGTTATTTTCTGTTAAATACCTTACCCACTAATATGATAGCTACTTCTATTGCACACATTTTGATTTTTAAAACTTATTTTCAATTATTTTTATTATTTATTAATGCATGTATATATACTATATGCCAAATGTATTAACTTGTTTTCAGCAGCATCAAGTAGTAGTGTATATAAAATTTTGGCAGAGCACAAAAGAAGCAACAGTCTTTCTCCTACCAAAGGTTACCATAGAGCCAGAGTAGTTTTGGACAATGTTTCCGAAGGAAAATCCACGAATTTTTCTTCCGAAACGAACCACCCACATTGGACAAAATTTTGTTATCAATAAACGACGAAGACGACTTGCCAGATTTCAAAAGATCGACGGCTACATTGATGAATTAACTTAATTTTCGGTAAGTGGTGTACAAAAAACTTATTTTGTTTTTTACCTCTCCTTGAAAGTAAAAAAAACTAAAAAAATCCGTAAAATGTTCACGCATAAAAGGGTTTTTTATGTTTTTTATCATTCTTTATCTATACTTTATCTGAATCATCTAATCACCTGAAATTCGTTATTCGTATAATATGGTTCATTGAATTAACGAATTTAAAGATTTAATGTAATTTTTAGTTTTGTAGGTAGGAAGCGAAATAGCATCTTGAAAGAAAGGGACGAGATAATATGTTGGAGACGTAGATACTTACGCGAAACCTGGAAGTATAGAGAAGAAGGCAGGAAGATATACTACCTAGACGAGACTTGGCTCAATGCAGGGCTCACTGTTAGCAAAGTATGGGTGGATTCATCAGTTGAGCATCCTCTGCAAGCCTTCCCGGAAGGTCTCTCCACGGGGTTAAAAAATCCTTCAGGTAAAGGAAAACGGCTAATTATCTTACACATCGGATCTGATGGTTTCGTGGAAGATGGACTATTGGTATTTGAATCAAAACAAGCAGGAGACTACCTCGCTGATATGAATGCCAATTTATTTGAAGAATGGTTTGAAAATATTATAAGCTGTCTAGAAGAGAAGGCTGTCATTGTTATGGACAATGCTTCTACCATAGTAGGCGTATTGATTCAGCACCAAACAGTGCAAACAGAAAAGGGGAAATACAGGAATGGCTAGGAAGGCATAATGTTCCCTTTGACAACTATATGGTTAAAGCAGAACTTTTAAATCTGGTCAAGGGCAATAAAAGTGTTGACAAGTATTTCATCGACGAAATGGCTAAATCTATCAATAGAACTATTTTACGCCTGCCTCCTTACCATTGCAAGTTTAACCCAATCGAGTTAATTTGGGCGCAAATTTAAAACGAGAAAAAACACAAAGATCGCAGATGCATTGCAGCTTTTTTACACAGCGGTATAAAATATAACCCCGGAAAATTGGAAAAAAGCAATCGAACACGTTGAGGAGGAAGAAAAAATGTGGACAACTGACCAATCTATGGAAATAGTGATTGAACAAGTGATTATTAACTTAGGAAACAATTCAGAATCTTCAGATTATACTGATAGTGATAGCGATTAGTTAATAAATGTAATTTGTATATTTACTGGATAATGACGAAGGACCTATATCCCTAAACATACTTATATAATTACCATGTTTATTTCTACGTCTCTATCCGGATAGACTTCAAAGTAGGTTATCCTAATCCTGTGTTAATCCTGACCGCTAATTTCGAAGGAGCCCTCGGTCCAAGATTTTGACATTATCAGTTTTGGTTTGACTTGTGGATTGCCGAAATAAACGGTGAGGATTACACATGATTGGGATAATCCACTTTAAAGTCTATCCGGATAGAGCCGTCGAAATAAACGTGGTAATGAATGCATGTAGGTTCATTATTAGGCTTTATATTAAAAAGATCCAGAATCCAATCTAATTAATTTTTGAGCCCTTTTCTTGATTTTTTCCCATGTATTATAATTATTTTTGTAATATAAAAAATATGTAAAGTGAAAGAATCATAAACTGGGGCAGCATATTTAATATATCAATGTAATAAACCTTATAGCACCTTGAAAGAAACGACAAGATAGAAGAAACAGTGAAAATAAATTAAATGGAACCTCAATTAATTTTAAACCCTACACGCCACTAGCGATAATTTATTATCGGTTTTGCCGGTAGTTGTGCGGTGTAAATCGGGCTGCCCGGTCACTTGTTTTATTACTCCGTACGTTCGTTGAATAGATTATAGGCCGATTTTTAAAGGGTGCCCAACTTACCTTTCCGTGTAATCCTAGCGGGAGGAGATGAAGCTGCTGTAGCTGCTGCTGCGGCAGCTGCCGCAGCGGCGACAGACCTCGTAGCTGGCATAGGCGTCGTCGTAGGAGTAGCAGGACTCTTCGTTCGTCCGCTACCAGTTGAAGATACACTCAACGGCGTCGTTGATCTGCAATTTTTTGTATCAGAAATTATGTGACGTAAAATTGTTTCCGACAATGAGTTACTAATAGCTACCAAGCGCCTTATTACTTGTCTGACGTTGTCAAGCTGGCATGAATCAATCTTCTATTGCACGCGATGGTCGGTTCCAATACAAACTTCGTTTTGAGGAACAATCATTGACCGAACATTACTTTTATTTCTAATGCTATATGACAACGTAGGTCTAAAGATGCCGTTCCATGTGGAGACCGTGACAAGAAACCAAGGCGGAGACTAGATCACTCAAATAGTCTGACACTGTAACGTGGGAATAGAAACAATGCAAATCGTTTATTGCTCTAAAACGGCTTCAAAAGTTACATTGCACATGCCTGACATACCGAGTTTGAATATGAGTAGTTCACAGTGGCAGATTTTCTATATGACTGTTATGTTACTAAACTTGCGACACGATCGCTGGCAACGGTCTCCTGTTTCTGTCTCCACGCGGAATGGCAGTGATCGCTAACCGGGCGAGATTTGTAAGTTCTTCCATACAAAGCTGATGAAAGTATCTTACAGAGAAATAATTTCGCAGTAATAGACAAAAAAGTATTTAATGATTCCTGTCCTTACCTTGGCACTACGTCAGCACCCGCCGAAGACGTGGAAACCCGACCTGCGGTTGTCGACCGGCGCTTCGCCGCTGCTTTGGCCGGTCTACTGGAAGACGTAGATGGCGCTGTAGTAGCAGAAGATGACGATGGAGAAGATGATTGCTGTTGTTTGCTGGCATTACGCTTCGCTTTCGTGGAAGCGCTCAGGTTTTCGGCGATACGTTGAGGTTGGATCCATTCGTCGTACCTGTTTACAATAATTATTAACATTATAAATCATCAAAACTATTAAATCTTCTCATCTACTATATAAAAACTAGTTCTTTCAAAAGTGAGGATTGCTCACCTTTTCAAAACAGAGTTAACTTGGATTGAAGGATCCTTTATGAATTAACAACAAAGTCGTAGTTAAATCTCAACGTCTAACCTATCTTGTTTGATGACAGGCGCCTTGGATCCAGAAGCTGCGCTGTCACAGAAACGATTGACGACATTTGTTTTATGTACATTTTTAAATTTGCTATTTGCGATTGGTGTGATAACAACCGGCAGGTCAAAAATAATCTCTAAATGGGAGCAGAGTCATAAAGAGATACCCTTATGTCAAACTTTGTCCAGAGATTGTCGCGCGACACAAATCCTACATTTTTGCATGCAATTCATGTCTCGTGGCAGTGTAACTTGACAATGTTCGACATGTGTGGAAGAAGGAAATCAAATGCCGTATTGTGACATATCGGACAGCACTAATAGCGCAATGATGCACTAAACAAGCCCCAGGAACAAGAGACGCCAGAATCGCATAACTACAGAATGCGAAACCGCAAATTCAAATATATACAAGCATTTTGCATTATGTGAAAGGAAACTATGATTATATATTATATATATTATATTATAGTATGATCCCATCTGTAGACCATAGATGGAGATAAACTAGACGAAATTAGAAAGACGTTTGGCTTTCCGTGAACTTGAGTAACGTTCCTAACCTCCATATATCTAAAGTTTTTTTTTATATCGAAGCAGTCGCGCAGGCAGAAGCCTAAATGCCGGAACACCGCGGCTGCTATGATGATCCCAAAGAAATTTTATTAATACCATTTTTGAACTGCCTAAGGTTAATAGAACTGGGAAAAGCTTCCTCTTGTAGATTGTTCCACAATCTCGACACCCTCGGGACAAAGGAGCGGTCGTATCGGCCGGTTCTGGATGTATGAAGTTCGACACGGTTAGGATGGGACGCCAAAGTTAGGCGGGTCTGTCTGACAGGCACATCCCGCGACGGCATCATGGAAGAGAGCTCAGAGAAGCAAAGCCCGTTGGTGTAACGGTAGAAAAGAGCCAGATCGCCGACAGCCCGCCGGTGCGAAAGAGTCCCGAGACTGTCTGTTAGAGAAGAGTCATCGATCAGTCGGACCGCCCTCCTCTGGACAGCATCGAGCATGGATAATGTAGTCGGGGCGGCAGCTCCCAAACGTGTTTGCAATACTCTAGGCCTTATCTGGGCCTTGTATAGAGTGAGAAGGTCATGCGGAGAAAAGTACTTCTTAGCCCTAAACAAGTAGCCTAGCTTTTTCCCAGCAGCTGCAGCTTTTGACGAGATGTGTTCGAGCCAGATCAGGTTCTCGGTGATCTATCTGGACTCCGACCTGCCGAAATGAATGGCTCTTTGGCAGAACTCGACCATCCATCGAAACCGGGTGAGCGCAGGGACGCTTTTTGTTCGTCAAAGTACAGTACTGCGTTTTGGAAGCATTGAACTGTACAAGATTGTTGCGTCCCCAAGCAGTGATAGCCTCCAGGTCTCTTGTCAGAGAGGAAGTCATCGCTAGTCTTCTTTTTTCCAACTCAGCGGCAGAGATCGACTTGTCACTCTGAATTCCTGCATGTAGAGGGCTGTCATAAGCGAGGCTGTGGATTGGGTTGATCGTGCAAGAAAGGAGGTCGTTGATATGTAAGAGAAACAGTGTCGGAGCCAAGACCAATCCCTGGGGAACGTTGACGTTGTGGGATGAAGAGGAGAACCCGTCAATTACGAAGGATATCTTGCGGCCAGAGATAAAGTCAGCCACCTATCTGCAAAGCTGTTCTGGGAGGCCATAGGATGGAAGTTTGCTTAAGAGGGCAGCGTGCCACGGCTGATCGAACGCTTTCGTGATGTCAAGAGCAACGATATGAGCCTCACCATAAGACTGGATGAGTTTACTCCACAATTGAGCGACGTAAGCTAGGAGGTCCCCTGTGGATCGTTGGTGCCGGAAAATCTGCCTGTCGCTGATCAAGCCGTGACGTTCGAGGTAGTCCAGAAGCTCGCGATTTATGCACCTCTCCATCGTCTTATTTAAAACAGAAAGCAGAGCTATAGGCCTGTACTTGTAAGGGTCGGTCTTAGATCCCTTTTTTGGGATGGGTTGGACATGAGCAAATTTCCAGTTTTCTGGGAACGTGCCGGATTCATAAGATATCTGGAAGAGACCCGAAAGAACTGGAGCAAGCTCCGCTGCACACCTCTTCAGTACAATGGCAGGAATCAAGTCCGGATCAGAAGCTTTGTTGATGTCGAGCGACAAGAGCACTCGTCTTACGGTCTTATGCCTGAATGTTACCTCCCGCATAGTGTAGGGAACCCTTTGAATTGACGGCACTTGGGCGTTGGGGAAGACGTCCATGTTGGCAGCAAAGATCTTGGCTACCACTTCCGCCTTGGCCTTTGAGTTGAATACAATAGTTCCATCCTGACACGTAAGTGGTGGAAGGCTACTGTGTGAGAAGTTCTATTCAATCTGCTTGGCCAGCGTCCAGAAAGACCGACTGCCATTGCGCTGCGACATTACCCTGTGCCTAACTTTTATATTGTGCTGGTTTTTGGTATTGCGAACCGCTGCTTTATATTTGTTTCTGGACTCAACGTCGGCTTGTCTGTTCTCTACAGTGGGGTTTTGTAAGAAGGTTCTGTGTAGCTTGATCTTCTGCTGGCAAGCAGCGTCACACGATTTGTTAAACCAGCCGTTGGACCCTGGTCTAGGCACTTTCACTATGTGAGGGATGTATTCCTCCTTTCCGACGTGGATAATTTCGGTTATCGAAGAACAGACAGCCGACGCATCCGCGTCAGTGAAACAGACATCTTTCCAAGGGAAGCTAGAGAAGAAATCTCTGAGCCCCTCCCAGTCGGCATGTCCGTAATGCCAAGTTTTGCGGCCTGTACGAGTTTCTGCTGCCACAACGGGTTCTGACCGAAACCTAACCTCTACAACACCGTGGTCTGAGTTACCAGGGGGGACAGGACAGCAGTGCTGTAAGGGACAGGATGCGTGGTCAGAAAGAGATCCAGCAGGTTACAGGCGTGAAACGAGACGCGGTCAGCCCTTGGGTAAGAGCGAACGCTTCGACTACACGACCTGCTGCGTCGGTCTTATTTGAGCCCAACCAAAGCTCATTATGGGCATTGAAATCACCGAGAAGATCTACCTCTGAAGCGGGATGATTGATGTTCAGGAAGTCAATCTGGACGGCGAGGTATTCGAGTAGGTCGTCCCAGTTATGGTCCGAGGGCGAGCGGTAAAGGCAGCAAATAAATTTGGGTAATGTTGTGGAGTTGAGGCGAAGCCACAGAATGTCCTTCCGGTCTGATTCCAAAGAAACATCTCTGGAGCAGGAAAGACTGCTGCGGACAAAAGCCACAACTCCCCCGTTCTTTCTCAGATTGGAGTGCACCTCGTAGTTTGGGAAGTTAAGATGGTTAATCGGTGCAGACTCTGAGATTTTTGTCTCCGCCAAGAAAAGCACGGCGGGACGATTGGATTGCAGGTAATGATGAACAGCATCAATGTTGCTGTTAATCCCGCAGATGTTCGAAAAACAAATGTTATCTTCGATGTTGTTCCCTCCAGTTCACCTTCCACCCGGACATTCCGAGAGTGGAGTGAGTTTACGTCCGGAGTTCTTAGTGCTCGAGGGATCCATCATCATTAATTTCTTTGTTTTGGAGGATAACCGACTGCATAGCTTAAGTGTGGAAACATGCGGACATTTATAAGACACCCTGGGAAAAGCTAGCGGGTGGTACTGCCTCGGTCGACTGGTCCTTGTCTACCACCTTCTTTTTACATGTTAGTGATGTTAAATAGACCTAAAGTGGCCCGTTGGCGGACTTGTACCGCCACCCGACAATCGGTACTGAGGTATTCCTTAACGCGTGGACAATCACTTGAACGGGAAGAAGTTGTATACTGGATACAACAACTTCCGGAACAAGCATTGGCCACGGCCCCACTCTGTAGGGTTCAGAGTAAAGTGTAACTTTCGACTAAAAACAGAAAGCCACGCATCGGTTTCCGAGTGTTAACGTATCGCGTTGATATATACCATAATAGTATGTGACATCTTTCCCATTTGATGATGCGACTCGAGGAATAGTGAAAGTACACACAAGACGCAATGAACGGAAAGGAAGCGATTTTTGTAGCGCAAAAATGTCAACAATGTTAATGGTCGCGCGCCTAAATTGCTTCCCTTTTACTCGATGAGCGTGCACCTTGAGAAGAACAATTTATATCGATAAAAATGAATCTATTGTATTTTTCACTGTTTATCGAGTTGTATCGAAAATGGGAAGAGCAGTGCTTGACTTGGTTTTATGGTATTGATATTTCTGAAATTAAACGACGTCGATCAAGGAAGTTGTTCCTTAAAATGCTCCCGCTAAAACGAAATAATAGCCTAAGTGGAGTCAGTTTCTAAAAAATTTGCAGCCCCATTTGATAGAAGTAAGAGGTATTCCGTATTATTTGTTTACCTACCTTGTATTCCATCCAGTATAATGAACCAGGAACACTGGCCCTGTTTGATCTTTATCAATATCAATAACCTTAGCTTCGTAAGTGACCTTGGACTCATGCGTAGGTCCATAGTACACCTTCAGCTTATCCCCAACATTGATATTATGAGCCGGTGCTGATTTGGCGGCGGTACCAGCGGGAACCGATGTTGAACCAGACTCGCTGGAACTGCTCTCGCTGGCGGAAGTCGTAGCTTTCTCTTCAGCAATTGAAGAAGATGAGGAGGCGAGACGTTTCTTCCCTTTCTTCTTCTCTTCTTCGGGCTTCTTTGCGGATGGCGTTGTTGCCGGAGGTGCTGCTGTCGTTGCTTTAGCGCTGGGCTTAGATTGCTCCTTGGCGGGTTTCTTCTTTTCTTCTTCTTTTGGCTGGACTGGTGGCTCTTTTTTAGATGCAGATTTAGATCGAGCAGGCTATTAAAAAGGGAAACAGAAAAAGTAAATATTGGTGATTTTTAAACAATTACCTCAAGCTAATACTACATCTAACAGTTTTTGTTACTCAAAAGATACCCACAAAATTATGGTTTTAAATGTTTTCAAAGTATAATTTATGTATTATTGTATGATAATAATTGCCAAAAATAACATATTTTTAACTGGGTGTCTGATAAACATGCTACTATTCGGAAAAGAGCAGACTCTAATAGCCTTTTTTTAAACTCTCCCTTCAGCCGCAACATGATCACTACCAACAACATTCACAGTATCTTGAAATAAAAGCAATAGTCAAATCAATGTTCATTCTTGTTTACACCAATTATGTTATTTATACATCATAATAGGCACTTACACTAATATTCATTTTGATCCTTTTTACCATATTAACTAAATACCTACTATCAAAATGACATTAATAGCAGTAGAATGATATTTCCGAAAGAGGCAATGTATGGTCCCTGTTCATTACCCTGCACCAATTCCTTTCAATTCTTTTATGTTTTGGCACAGGTAAACATGTTTTTCTGGAGCTGATATGCCTGTATTTGTATGCCTGGTGCAATCAGTTTTTGTTGTCAATGGTCTGACCCATTTTTCGCTAATTTTTATCATAAATTGTAAATAGCGGGCAGAGCAACGTTTGTAAATGGCGCTAAGCGTGCACGGCGGGCGAATCGCTTTGTGATAGCGATGGTAGCTGGTGTCACGTAACGTCATCACTCGGTCTCACACTCCAAGAGGATAGTTCTCAAAATAGAAACTTCTGAACAGCGTAACTTTGTTGTTTTAAGATGTTCCAAAAATATTTCCAGTGCTGTACTATGCTTAGACTATCATTTTCAGTGTGTTTCAAAAATTGTAACCTTCCCCATTGTCCGAATATTCGTTTCCTCTACTCAAGTTCGCCATCCAAAATATCCCAGTCCGGAGAGTGTCATTTCCTTGAGAAGTAACACATCGTTTTATTGTCTTCCCAACATTTTTTGTCTCACGAGTGAATGACCGCTTATTTGCAGACTCAGGATGAGAAGCCACAAGAAGTCAACCGCTAAAAAGTTAAATAATTCAGTTCCCTTGTTCAAAAGTCATATTATGCATCTGAATTTGCTGATATCTTGGCACACATTCAACGAACCATGCTTTAACCAATCTCTAGAAAAATAATTGCGCAAATTCTCAATCACGCAAAATACACAAGCTCTGAGCTAAAAGTGAAGGCGTGACGACAAATCAGGAACCATACTGAGATCATGTTTATCCACAAATTATCAAAGTCTAAGACAAAAGAGTTACAGATCCTGAATGCTTCCAGGAATAAATATACGCATCGATTTAGTTAGGCTTTGAGAATAATAGGTATTTTGCTTGATTGTCATCTATAACAACAAATTACCTTCTCTTCTTCCTCCTTTTTGGTCTGCTCCTCAAACTTCTCCACAATAGCTTTAACTTTTTCTCCTGAAGCAGTTTTGGGCTTCCTGTCCTTTCCATACTTGCTTTCCCGCTCACGTTTCGGCCTGCCAGTATCTTTTATCTAAAATCACAAATATTTATTCTTAATATTTTAGGAACAAAAGTAAAGAATTGAATATTTGATATGATAGGCATACTTTTGGATGAACTTAAGGATTATAGAGGTTAGATGTTGTTTTTTGATATTCTATATACACCTTTGTTCCACCTCAAGTATCGTGCTTGGACTACGTATAAGGAACATTCAATATTATACCTCAGAAATGTCGGTGGCATCACTGCTGTTTGTATCACTAACTTCTGCCACCAACGGTTTTTTCTTATCGTCTTTTTTCTTCGGTTTTGACGTTTCTGGAATCTCTTTCTTCTCTTCCTTTTTCTCTTCGACCGGAGGTTGCTCCTCTTCTTTTTCAGGTTGAGGAACGTTAACGGGTGTGCAACGATCTTTGTCTCTGATCAAGCTACGACCTCGATTTTTCTTCGGGGGTCTCGTATGGTTAATCATTGTTACACCCAAAGTTCTAAAACAAAGATGGGATCGCTGATACTGTTGTTGGACCTCTCGAATTAGTGGGATTGTACGGAGCCGCGGCGAACAGTTGACCAATGTCATGTTCAATGCAAATTGCCTTATGGGTCTTTCAAATGAAAAACAATGTTAATACCTTACCTATGGCTTATATTTTATTTCAACATCTACCTTTTTTATTGGAAATCTCTAGCTACAAAATTTTTAAATCAAAGATATACTGTCGCATTGATGACTTGATTGTTCAAAACGTATTTCACAGACACTACTTATTGGTATTCACTTCTGACTAAACTCATAACTGTCAACATTATTGACATATAACTTGAGCCAAATATGTAATCTTCTAAAAGTTTTTTATTTGGGTTGATAAAGGTACAATTCCATGTGAGAATCATGCGTCGCACAAGAACAATCACGTGATTAAGTTGGAGTTGGAAGTCAAGGAGCGTGTAGTTTAACACAGGCTAATCGCATCGCCTATAAATTTAATATTGTCACTGACAGTGATAGATGTCGAAGTAATCAGTACAAATGAAGATATTTCAGTAGTAAAACGCCTGAAGAAAACTTAGACGAGTAATCAATGACAACCCACACCTACGAAAAATTGTCAGATGTTTAGGAGAAACACCTTTGCAGATAGAATGAATACTAGTTTTATTTATTCAAGTGTTAGCACTCAACAAACGGGTTTGTTACAGCTTGTTTGTTATTCTGAACTTTGAAATATATTCTACTACCGCGATACTACAGGAATATACTATGTTCCGTATTTTTTAAGAAAAAACGATCTCATCCATTTAAAACAGATTTATCACTAATTTCTATAGCCTACAGTCGAGTTGACAAGCGTTAAGATAATTCAACCTAATTGCTGCTTTGGGTTCTCGACAGTCAAGTATATAATCATGTATGGACGGACCATGATGCTCATCGCTCTAACGAAAGTGCGACTTAAAACCAAGATACGAAATCTGCAGAGTATTTTTATTGTTAATACGAGCCTTAAACCTTCTTACCTGTAAAAAGTTTCATAGCTAGCTAAACACTTCTTGTACGCAGACCGCACTTGATTGTGCACCGCCTGGTTAACCGGCAACCTCAGCCGTGCCGTCACCGTTCGCCACTTGTTCTGATTGGTCACTCGATTGCCTCCGCCCAGCTTTTGTACCACCCTGAACAGGCGATGCAGGTCGATATCCCTGCCCGCCACCACTGGAGTTTTGTTCAGAGGCGTGCCCGCGTCGTCCATGAACTTGTACAGCTGCGCTACGAACCTGTCTTTTTCTTCATATGATTCGTCGTCAGAACTCTGAAAAGGGAAAAAGCTCTGATTTTCCATAATGTAGAATTCGCTATGTGGCAGAGATATGAAATAACTTGGAATTGACGTGTCAATTTGCTATATTTCATACCATTATACAGTAAATTTGTTATTTATTATTATGTAAAAGCATTCCAATTATTGAAATGAGTCACAATACGAGCTGCGTTGTAAACTGTAAAAACAGTGGAAAACGTGGTGTGGGCAGAGGGGGTGATGTCCCCGTGCAGCATACGGGAGGGCAAGGTGGCAAACGCCGCAATTTAAAAAAAATCCTATTTCAAACTTCAAATAGAGCCCGAGCTGATAGTCGTGGAGCTATTTGGTCTTTCATTGCACTGAAACATACAATTACAGTGCCTCTTAGAAACCCCTCCTCATACTTATTTTTTGGACAGGTCAAGTGGGCAAGATGAATTTTGGGAGGATGAAATAGATTTACGGAAAATATATTCTAACGTAAAAATAACCGTTGATAATTTCGAGAAGGCGGCTGCGCGCCATCTTGCAAAACTTTTTAAATGGAATCGTGAGTCATGTGCTTCATAAACCTTCAATATAAAATCAGTAACTTTAAAATTGCTGTTAAGGTTGAACGTTTTTGTACATTAAATCGCCTTTAACCCAACAACTAATCATCAAAACGTTAAAGTATGTTATATCAATATATTTTTCGACGGGACTATCTGAATGTGTAATAAAATATGGGACAAACTGTTTTTGTCATTTTTTTATGGAATGTTCCATATTTAATTACATACTTGAACAGACCCGTGCAATAAAAGATTGATGTTGTGTAATAGTAAACTTATATAATCACTCAACTCTGACAGCCTTTGAATTTAAAAATGTTCCAAAATGACACCCAGTCATTAAATTTCAACAGACACTTTTATCTCAAAACATAGTATTCATGCATAAATATTACCCCGAATTTCAGTTTGCTATCTCGACCCATTCAAAAAATAAGTAAGGTGATGGGACCTTTCTAAAAAGCACTCTATATCTACACCACCATCAAAATGGCCAAAAACCGAAAGAGGAACATTCAATATTTGCGATTATTTATTCTTTTAAGTTTATTCTGAATATGTTTGGCATTGAAACTATTTGGTGTAATATGTACACTCGCCTTATTTTGAAATATTACAATAAAAGCGCAATGATCAGATACTACAAGAAGTGCAAAAAACAGCCTTCTAATATTATTTAACGCACGGTTTTAATTGAGGTAAACTTTTTCTTTGTAAAAAACATACCGATTAGAAATGTCAGTTGCGAGAGAGACATCTGTAAACTATTTTTAATAAAAAATTATTTCAGATTGACTATATCCACGATTAACTTTAACTATTTTTTATATAATTGAACATGCCTTACATTTTGATACCTAGGATTGTATAAATGAGGATATATTAAAAATGACACGAAAATCACATTTTTAATTATTTAAAAGATATAAAGAGGCTTTATGTGACTTTTACTAATTTTCTAGGCAGGATTTGTTTTGTTAGAGCGAGTGATACTGGGTAAGATACCAAAATTTCGTAAAATCTAAATGGCAGATTTTAAACTCCACTTTGAAATTTCTATTTCAAGGGCTGCAGGCCAAACATCTAGATATAATTTTGCATTCTTATCAGTGGCTGCAGTCGGGCATTTATATTTTTTAAAAATGTACTTGTTTTATTATTGTTAAATAATATACTCTGCAACTCTTGAAGTATTGATGCTACAGACAAAATTTATATGACCTAATTTGTTGCAAATTTAATTTAGATTATTCATGTAGAAGGAATTATAAAGATATGCTTAGGGGCCGTTCAAGTATTACGTAAGCAGATTTATTACAATTATTTACGCCCCCATCCCCCTTGTCAGCAAAAGTAAGCAAAGCTCTTGCCCCCTCCCCCCATGCTTACGTAAACATTTGTCAATTAATGTATTGTTTTTTTTAATATTATAATTATAACGTTATAATTATAATTTGAAAAATAAGAAAATAGATTTAGGATAGAGATTATATTTTACTGATACAGTATTCAACATACAGTAAAGGACAAAAATATTATATCTTACTAACATAACAAACTTATTTTAAATTTTTGAAACCCGAATCCATGATTCTAAGTTTTCGATGACATTGGATTGCTTCGATTGCTGCTCAGTGTTGTGAGTTTGCTCGCTTTCATCGGTGTGCGTGTTTACTTTTTTATGGATATTTTCGATGTGACGATTTACTGACTTGACGGAAGCATGATAAAGACCACACGTTTTGCATGTTCGACTTGATAGCCTCAATTTTACCGTCGGACAAAAATAATCGTAGGGCATTTGCAGGAAATCTTTGAGTGAAGCACTTAAGCGTAGAGCTAAATTGACTGGAATATTAAGAAATTGCCCTCCTTCATCCAAAACCAAGTCATCAACTGTTTGTTTTACTTTTACAGGTGGTGGAAGAAACCTATTGTCTAGTAATCTAAATAGGCCACTTCTTGGACGACAGCATTCTGTATTTCTACATTTTACAATTTGAAGCAAGTATTGGCTCTCACGCACATGTTCTGAATACCATTTAATGTCTGGAAAATCAGGAAGATCTTGTTCACCTGCCCCAACATATTTTGCATTAACATTATAGCCATCAATTTCCATTGAACTCCATACTTCAGCTAATACATTTCCTGCAAATTCGAAATTAGATCTTTCTAAATGTTCATCAATTGTAACGCCACGTTCATCCAAATGAGACCCAAAATGGTCATGAGGCTATATTAAACCAGCCAGTTCCCAACTAAGAGGAGCCATTCTGCGCTCTACTCTGTTATACGCACTTCTTCCAGGAGCATTGGTAGCTAAAAACAATGCATCGAGATCATGTCGCTTAAAGTGTTGTATAGCAAACCCTATGACTTTTTGATAACGTGGATTTTCATCTGGCCCTCCATCAACCGTCATGATTACCACTGGTTTCACTAGTCCATGGTCAGTTTTAGCTAATTGTCGAAACTCTTCAAGTTCGAGAAGCGTCTCGAAATCCTGAGCATGGGTATTAGCAGTAGATGAACTATGCTTTCCACTTCGAATAGCGATGTATGTTGGTCCAGAATATCCAACGGCTTGCGGTTGTCCTATCATATTGGAAGTGATTTTGATACCAGCATAAACAGATGTTATTAATTTATGACGCTCAGCGATTACCCAATCGTTATCAGGCAATTTCATTCTATATTCCATTTGCATTAGAAGAGGTGCTTGCTTATTTGCCGCAGTTACGCCAATAGGGACTCGAGCTTCATCATCTTGAGTTATGAAAAATACTTGATCTGGTCCAAGTATGGATGCTATGTTCTCTAAATAATGGATTGATGTTTCAGCGAACTTGCTATCTAAGTGGCTCCTGTGGTGATCAGTTTAAACGAGCAATTCGTTCCGGTCACAAAATACAGGGTGTTAGTTTTCTGTATATACAGGGTGTCCCAGAAGTCGACGTCAAGCCGAAACCGGGTGATAGGCAAAGTCATAACAGCTATCAGAAAAATATTTAAAAAAATTTTATGTATGTTGTTTTGAAAATTATAGGTCTTTGAAAAAAATATAGAAATTTCACACCCTACGGCAGTCTGTCAACTCCTGTTACTACAAATATTAACTTTTTTTGGATTTCATTTTTACAATGTAATGATGAATAATGCATCTTCAAACTGGTGTCTCAACCTTACTGCCAACTTTTCTCGTTCAGGAAAAATTGCCACATATTTCCCAACCAAGTATTCCAAAGTAAAACTTTGCTCAACTTTAACTGGCTGTACTGGAAAAAAATGTATTACGAGAGTTTGGCAAGTAACCTTAAAAGTTGGCGCATTTAATAAGGATTCCAAAATGGTATAACACTTAGAAGATTACTCGTTAACTTATGCACAATTTTTATTTGAAGAAAAACTGATGAAAATTTTTCAAAATTTCCTAATTAAACAGCGATTATGAAAACGCACAAGGACCCTTAAGGATAACTGTTTGCACAACAGTGGGCGTCAAAATGCTGCTGATGATGATTTACCTTTACAGCAAATGCTCAAACTGTTTTCCTTCAGCCGCAATACACGCTCGACATCTTAAAAAAGATCGGGTTATTAAACGAGCGAATCCACGCTTATTAACAAACTCAGCTGCTTCCAATAGTCTTTGCCGTAGCTCAGCTACATTTTGAATCGGCTTGAAATACACTTTTTCTTCTACAGTTCCCCAGTAAAAAAAATCTAACGGATTCAAATTTGGTGACCGGGCTGGCCACGGTATTGTACCAGTCCGCCCTATCCATCTGCCTGGAAAGTTTTGATCGAGATACTCTCACTGAGAGTGCATAGTGCGCTGGGCAGCCATCATGCTGAAATACTGAGTGGCACGTCCTCCAATAAATTTTCTAAATGATTTTGCAAAAAACCTAAATAAACCTCAGCAGTCAAAGTCTCTGGGAACTCAAACGGACCGATTATTTTACCATTTAAAATTCCTGTCCAATGGTTTATCTTGAAGCGATATTGAGATTTATCTTCTCTCATCAAATGTGGGTTTGCTACGTGCCACTCATGTAAGTGATGCAGGTTCATGTACCCATCTTTCTTAAATGTGGTCTCATCTGACCATAAAAATTTTTCAAAGAACCGTGCATCTTCCCTGTGTCTTTCTAACATTGTGCGACAAAAAGCAACTCGGGGCTCATAATCCCGGGGCAGAAGAGCTTGAACACGCTGTACGTGGTATGGATGGAGCACGTTTTTTTGCAAGATTCTATGGGCTGTACTTTTGGGCACACCTGTTTTTAGTTCTATTGCACACACTGAAGTACTCGGTTCTTCTTCGACAGCTCCTAGCACCACGTCTTCGTAAGGAAGGAAAGATCTTCCCTAACCGTGTGATTGGTTTGGTAGTTGGCCCTCTGAGAACAGTAAGCGATGCACATTTGTGAACACTCGATGATCTGGATGACGAGCTGCATTCGGGTACCTCTCACAGTAAAGTCTTGCTGCAGCACTAGCGTTGCATCTGCATTCCCCATAAATGAGGTGCATGTTAGCATATTCTTGTACGGTGTACACGGACATAGCGGCACTGCACAATCACACTATCGAAGATAGTCTAAGGAAAGCAAATGTTGTTTTGAAGAGCAATTAAACAGTCCAAATCCAAATCACAAGCGATCAACAGTCCAGTTCACGAATCCAAAATTAGTAACAGTACGAAATCAACAATCACGAACATGTAAAGATGCGCAGTAAACGAAGGAGTACTGATCGGTATCAAAGTGTGCAATAGCAAGTAAGTGATGTGCTTCATCCATCCCACATACAGCGTGTTCAACCTCTCCTGCCCCGGGATTATAAGCCCCGAGTTGCTTTTTGTCGCACAATGTTAGAAAGACACAGGAAAGATCCACAGTTCTTTGAAAAAATTTTATGGTCGGATGAGACCACATGTAAGAAAGATGGGTACATGAACATGCAATAACTTACACGAGTGGCACGTAGCAAACCCACATTTGATGAGAGAAGATAAATTTCAATATCGCTTCAAGATAAATCATTGGACAGGAATTTTAAATGGTAAAATAATCGGTCCGTTTGAGTTCCCAGAGACTTTGACTGCTGAAGTTTATTTGGATTTTTTGAAAATTTATTGGTGGACGTGCCACTGAGTATTTACAGGGACATGTGGTTTCAGCATGATGGCTGCCCAGCGCACTATGCACTCTCAGTGAGAGAGTATCTCGATCAAAACTTTCCAGGCAGATGGATAGAGCGGTCTGGTACAATACCGTGGCCAGCCCGGTCACCTGATTTGAATCCTTTAGATTTTTTTACTGGAGAACTGTAAAAGAAATTTCAAGCCGATTCAAAATGTAGCTGAGCTACGGCAAAGACTATTGGAAGCAGCTGAGTTTGTTAATAACCGTGGATTCGCTCGTTTAATAACCCGATCTTTTTTAAGAAGATGTCGAGCGTGTATTGCGGCTGAAGGAAAACAGTTTGAGCATTTGCTGTAAAGGTAAATCATCATCAGCAGCATTTTGACGCCCACTTTTGTGCAAACAGTTATCCTTAAGGGTCCTTGTGCGTTTTCATAATCGCTGTTTAATTAGGAAATTTTGAAAAATTTTCATCAGTTTTTTTTTAAATAAAAATTGTGCATAAGTTAACGAGTAATCTTCTAAGTGTTATACCATTTTGGAATCGTTATTAAATGCGCCAACTTTTAAGGTTACTTGCCAAACTCTCGTAGTACATTTTTTCCAGTACAGCCACTTAAAGTTGAGCAAAGTTTTACTTTGGAATACTTGGTTGGGAAATAAGTGGCAATTTTTCCTGAACGAGAAAAGTTGGCAGTAAGGTTGAGACACCAGTTTGAAGATGCATTATTAATCATTACATTGTAAAAATAAAATCCAAAAAAGTTAATATTTGTAGTAACAGGAGTTGACAGACTGCCGTAGGGTGTGAAATTTCTATATCTTTTTCAAAGACCTATAATTTTCAAAACACACACATAAAATTTTTTTAAATATTTTTCTGATAGCTGTTATGACTTTGCCTATCACCCGGTTTCGGCTTGACGTCGACTTCTGGGCACCCTGTATGTATAAAACTAACATCCTGTACTTTGTGACCAATTGACGGAATCAATCATAAGAAATAAATCTATAATATAATGAATATTACCTCTATACTTTGAGATAGACCATAATATTTTCTAAACAGTAAAGAGAAACTTTTTAGCGATTTCTAATATTTCTAGTACTCATAGGTACCTAAAATGATTTCGTCAATCACCTTAGAAAAAAAATGTAGTAGACTGGATTTATTCTTAGTCGCCACTTGCAAATTCTTCTTCGATTCTCTTAAGATACAATAATATCTAGTTCCTTGTCGGATTTTGCTTGTAATTTGTAATTTTGTACTTCCGTACTTGTATGAGATTTTTTAAAACTTTCATACAATTTTTGGTATAACTTGGATTTGTCTATGTGAAGGTGAATTACCGCGCGCTGCTCACTAAACGTATGCATTATTTGCGGTAATCCCCGAAAATGCGTTTCGTTTTCAAGCAAAGACAATGTGAGGGTTGCCATTCGTGTAAAAAAGTAAATAACTACCGATGTCGTAATCATCATCTAGACTCCCCTACCCCCCATGTCATCCAAAATAAGCAAAGCGTGCCAAAGTTATGTACTAAGGACAAGGCAGCACTTTGCACTCTTAGATAACTATTTTCAAGCCCCACTACTTTAACCTAAAACAGTATAATTATGTTTCTTGAAGAGTCAACTTACATCAGAAAAATTTTCATCACTATCACTCTCCAAGGCAGTAGAATGGAACAGTGTGTTTTTTTCCCAATGTGGTGGCAACTCATTCAGATCCAAAAACTTTATTGCTTTCTGGATAGCTTCCCCTAGAGATGGATTATCAACCTTGGCTCCTGATTCTCGGTTGAACTCTGACACCTCCTTTTTTGGAACTGTGTAACTGAATTCACAAAATAACATGCAAAAAAATAAATAACAGAGATTATTAGCCTCCATTTAAAAAGACGAATGTATACAGGGTATTCTTCAAGTTGGCATTTTACAAAGTGTGTATTATAGCATGAGTAAAAATAAGCAAGTTTTCCTAGTAAAACATACATCAACTACTTACGATATCCAAGAGATATTAGGTTCCGACAAAAACTGAGTTATTTAATCCGGCTCTGCCCTTGTCTTTAGCGAATGGTATAAAGCGCGTCAGTCCACCCAAACGTCGTGTAGGTGAACAGGTTCTTTACAAATTTTTTGATATGATGTTAGTTTACGTCTTACTCTTCAAGATGCTGTTAAGGCTTCCCGAGTGTATTCAGAAAGCTAAGGACATAGGCTGTTTCCAAGAATATCGAAGCCGACACAGTGGAAAGTATAGACAACCCGGAACGCTGCAAACGTCGAAATGGCAATAATTTCGATAAGAATTTTATAAACATCATGTGGCAGAGAGGTAATGAAATTTCTTATCAAATTAACGCTCCATAATTTTTTTTCTATTTTGCTTTTTTCAACGCACATTACCTTTGTTGTATCAAATTTAGTTATTTCTGGAAGTCCAAACGTTCAGATCACCCTGTATTTTAAGACATTCAAATAATCAGTTTTCTCGCATAACTATACACGTGAGCGACATGTTGACCCTTAGAACCATATTCTAAGGACACGGACCCTCATAAAGGCAATTATAGAAAAAAGATCTAATGAGAACATCTTTCCAATTTGAAGCCGTTTTCACGTTGTCTGATCGCACAACTTTTAAAAAGCAAATTTGATCTAAGTCTAGCAAAAACTATGAGAACTTACTATCTTCCATCTTTAAAGGATCGAATCAAATATTCATCTTTTGCGTTTATTCTGACAGTTGGTTGAGCAGATGGAATAACTACAAGGCCAGGAAACCAATTTTCCTTGTTGCGTTTCTTTTCGGTAGATTCCACACTCACAACACGTCCAATTTCTGAAAGGTATCCTTCCAAATCTGGCTCATTTTCTTCTTCGACTTCTCCATCACTACTGTCGTCCCTGCGAGAAATACATATATTTTATCTGCAGGTTCTGAATAAGCCACAATTCGCAAATGGCAAATCAATATCGAGAAGCTATCACGGGCTGAAAATAACAACTCTGTATCTCTACCCATGTAATAACAATGACACTATGCACTTCTGGGTTCTTTATAAGAACTTTTCGACCCGAATGAGATTTATGTACTACTACTTTTAGGATGTTTTTCTTGGAGTAATAATCAAAATATATTTTATTTTTATTAACATACACAGGGTGTAAAATTATGGGTGGATCAATGTATGTTAGATGGCAGGCCTCAACGCCTATCGATTGAACCCATATATACATATTATAAAATATTTAGAGGGCCATAAAATAAAAATCAAATTTAAACACAGTAAGAAGTTTGAAAAATTTTGGCTGTTCCTGATCACCACAGGGTCCGGAACTTCTCGGTATGTTAATGTCTTAAATCCAACCATATCAGAGCTTTTATGAAGTTTTGGGAAACAATTGTCTTCCCTTACCGGGCGGTACATTGATGGTGAAATGGATCTGACCACAAGTGGTTCGAGAATTGAAAAACATTCGCTTAAAAGGACAATTCACTTCACGAAGAAGTCATGGTTGTTTACAAGTCTTTGAGTATGACCTACATAAGGTCAATTCAAGGTCATGTTGAATTGGAAATAAAAAGTACACTATTGTGAACATAGCTTAAAAGTATTGTAATTTATTGACTATTAATATAATAAGTTTTCTCGTTTTGGTCTGTTTCCGGCATATTGAACGGATTGCGTCCACTTTTCGAAGAATAACCAAGTCCAATCTCATGGAAAATATATAAAAAACACATTTGCCTAGGCCGTCGAATGCCAGATTCACATCTACAATAATGTCCATTAACTATTACATGATCATTAAGTGATTTCTCGTTATTTTCATAAACTTGTGGATGAGATATCCATAGTCGATACTATATTGGGCTTCAAAAACGTGAGTGAATTCCTTTAAAAATCGATTTTATGAGACAATTTCTTGCACCAACATGGCACCTCCCGACACTTTCCTACAATATACAAATACAATGCCGAATTGTTAGACAAACAAAGAACATGAAGAATTCGTACTGTCAACTTGGCAAAATGTTCTATATGACAAGTGTTAGTATGCTGGGTTGCCGGCACGTAAAGAAGACGGTAGTGTAGATCTGACAACCTTTTTGTCATTTTAATATCACTCACTTGTGCTAGGTGGCCAGCTGCCGTAAAAAAATTCATTACACATTTCATATCGTCTGCGATTCCAGAAAAAACACAAGAAAAGGCCAGAGGGCCAACTCATACGATCTCAGTGGTAAATTTACTTCACCGACGTGTAAAATAGTCCCAGTCTCAACCGATTCAAAGAAAATGACATTCGTGGTGTGGCACGCACCGCCGCACTGTAAAAACCTCGTTGAATTCGACCTAAAAGACAAGGCGCTCGCTGTTGACGGTGATGCAACATTGTTTCCGAAAAAAGTAATTACAAATGACGTCGACGCCCCAAACATGTGTGTGAAAATGAATTATGTGAAGAACAATACTTCTTTCTACAAGAATCAGGAACATAAGTGAACATGGACCCATTAGAACCGACTAGTATTTGAGAATGTATCTAACTTCAGTTGCTATATATGTAAGTACTACAAGCATTTTGCAATATTTCAGTACTGCATATCAGCGTCCTCAACTTCAAATACTATGAAATGATGTGTTATCAAGTAAATATTAATAACATAACACCTACTTCAGCTGCCTACTCCTCCTTCCGCGTCTACCGCCCATTACGGGGATGCCAAAGTGTTCTGGATGTGTCAATGGTAGCTGATCCAATGTTTCACTCTCATTGAAATGCCTACCACTTTTCAGACACAGTGCTGTTCTCCTCAATGTTGTTATGTCACCATCATCAAACACTGAAAATACAATTTTCTTGATATACCTTATTAGGACTCATAGAGCTATAACATTAAACAGATATAGATATGCCGTATGAGCACAATTTGCAGTGAATCATTTTATATGTGATTTGGAATTTTATCTAGGATACCACTGAATCTGCACATCAGAAACCAGACAGGAATGTTTATTATCACAAGTTGTATATGTTGTAAGATAGTCCAATCATATTAGCAAATTTTTCCGAAATAATTGTAATGTTTAGTTTTATCAAATCAATAAGTTGTTCAGGGGAGTATTTAAAATATGACCGCATAATTTTAGTAGAAAAAATTACACAAAAAAACATGAAAAATTGGAGTTGATTGGTCAATTGGTTCTTTGAAAATTTCGGATTGTTCATCCCAAAGCACCTGTTTTCCAGAAGTCACTACTAGTATATGGAGCAATATAAAAGGTTCGATGAAAGGGCATTTATGCGAAAAAAATAGTACAAGCCTAATTCCGCGGCTCCTCACGCATGGAATTTAGTGTAAAGCATAGGTCATATGTTTTGTATTAATTTGGTGGTGTTTTATTATATATATATATAGAGAAAATGATCATACGGAGGTTGGCTCTTATTGTGGACTTCGTGTGTGATTTTTTTCTCCCTCTCCAACTTTGTTTCCTCAGGTTACACCCGTATCCGGATGTATGAGCATGCGTATCTACTTTTGTAGTTGCATATGTGCATTCATTTCGGGCCTGATGAAGCCAACCAGCAGAAATACGTATCGCTCGGGTTACCTATTATATTTTCTGCTTGAATCCACTTTCCTCCTTTTTGCGGATTTTGCCCATTATTTTCCTTCTTTTTGTTATATATATATATATATATATATATATATATATATACAGGGTGGCGCATCGAAAACGAAACAGACGTATTTACTGGCAGCTCAGTTTTTTTTTGAACAACGCTCAGACCCGTCGAGTTTGTTTTCGAGGGGGACACAAGTTTGGCAAAAATCACGTTAGCATGTGCAGCCCCCTAAGCGGGGGTGACACCACCCCCAAAATCTTAAATCAAAAGGGGGGTCGAGTGATACCTTATTTTAAAGGTCTTTCAATTACCTTTATAATGATATAAAATTAATGTACTTCAGTTCAGTAGTTTTGAAGATTTATTGATTTAAAGCTTAAATAAAACAAATACATCATCATTAGTGGAGATCAATAGATTTGGCAGCAAAGTAATTCAAAAATGAATGAACTGACCCGTTAGGCACGTAAATGTTGAAAATGGCCACCATGACTCTCCATGCAATAATAAAGATTTTGGTCAAAACGTTGCCGCACATTTTCCAATATTTGAGGAGTAATTTGAAGGCACTCATTCACAATTCTTTGTCGCAGGTCTTCTAATCATATTGGCAATGTACCGCCGATCATTCTGATTTTCAATTATGGCTGTTAATGCAGGATCTATGGCGTCTTCCAGTAATTCCAAATTCCAAAAAAGGACCAACTAAATGATCGCCAAAAAAACCAGCCCAAACATTTAATTTTTGTGGCTGCTGTGTATGAACCTCATGATAAATTCTGGGATTAGAATCGGACCAATATCGGCAGTTATGAAGATTTACTACGCCATTCAAGAAAAAGGAACATTCGTCGGAAAAGCAAGTGTTGAATAGAAAATGTTCATCGTTCATAATTCGTTCACTCATATCTTCACAAAATTGTAATCGCCGATCAAAATCGTCTTCATTAAGTTCTTGTACTAGGTGAATTTTAAACGGATGAAAACTATGGGTCTTTAGAATCCGTAGGATCTACATAAACTTGCCCTAAAACCCCCACTTCTATTGCTTCGTTCCTTATGGGATTTTCAATGTTGCGTTTTTTATTGGCGACTGACCCAGTTTCCCGAAATTTAGTTACAAGTTCTAGAACATATTTTCGATGCACGTTACTGTTCTCATGTCGCTCATTAAATATTTCTGCTGTTCTATTAGCGCACTGATTATTTCCGAAAAATATTTCGATAATTTCAACTCTTTCTGCTGTGGAATATACTATGGTTAATTTATGTAATATATAAGTACGATATATTTCCTTATCTTTCTTCAAGAAATAACTTTTATGCCACAAAAAAACGCTCCAATAGCTATTTTCAACAACGAAATTATAATCAAACCATGGGCGTAGTGAAGCAAAGCATTTACTTATTAAGTAAATTCTTTCAGTCAAATTTCTTCTGAAGGTAGTACAAACTAATCTGATGTACCTATTAAAGTTTACTTTAAGCTTTAAATCAATAAATCTTCAAAACTACTGAACTGAAGCTCATGTATTTTACATCATTATAAAGGGAATTGAAAGACCTTTAAAATAAGGTATCACTCGACCCCCCTTTCCATTTAAGATTTTGGGGGTGGTGTCACCCCCGCTTAGGGGGCTGCACGTGTTAACGTGATTTTTTGCCAAACTTGTGTCCCCCTCGAAAACAAAATCGACGGGTCTGAGCATTTAAAAAAAAACTGAGCTGCCACTAAATGCGTCTGTTTCGTTTTCGATGCGCCACCCTGAATATATACAGGGTGACTTTGAAGTTGAGTCATTAATTTTCAGATAATGATTGTAGAAGGAAGATAAACCAAAATATGTGTGTAAAAATAAAAAAAAATTAAAAAAAAAATGTTACCTTGTTTTATAAAGTATCCTCCCGACAAGTATTTCAGTGCGGACCTGTGCGCCCAAAAGCATGTCACAAAAACTGTTCGAAATGATTTCCGTTTTGCTCGACGCACAGCTGGGCGCGTCTTAGCCATGTCTCTTTACAAGCACGCAATAAAATCACTGGTTGATTTCTGATCACTGTACTCATTTCCTCAATTCGAGCACGTAATTCTTCGCGTGTATTAACCGGTGTTTTATACACTAGAGTTTTTAGCCAACCCCACAAACAAAAGTCTAAAGGATTTAAGTCCGGAGACCTTGGCGGCCAAGGTACAAAACCGCCACGGCCGATCCAACGATTATTAAATTGTCTATTTAAAAATTCACGCACATTTCTTGCATAATGGGGTGGTGCCCCATCTTGTAAAAACCACATGTTTTGTCTAATATTTAAAGGCACATCTTCCAGTAAACCAGGCAAATTGTGTTGCAAGAAATCAAAATAATTTTCACCAGTTAAGCGATTTGGTAATTCAAAAGGCCCCACTAAAATTCCATTAACAATTCCCGCCCACAGGTTGATTGGTTCAAATCGCTGTTGAAAATTGGTTTCCCTTATTTCATGGGGATTTTCAATAGCCCAAACGTGAGAATTACGTGAATTAATAATTCCGTTTCTAGTAAAGAGGGCTTCATCACTCACTAAAATTTGATTTAAAAAATTGTCATCATTTTGATGTTTATTTAAAAGCCAATTGCAAAAGTCAACCCTTTGTTCATGATCTTCCGGTTGTAAGGCCTGCACTTTTTGTATGTGAAACGGATAGAACTGATTTTCACGTAGAGTTTTCCAAGTTTTATACTGACTAATCGCCAATTGAGTTGAAATTTGTCGGGTGCTTACTGTTGGATCATCACTTACTAATTCTAAAATTTGTTCTTCTAGTTCTATTTGATCGTGTGGTCTTGGAGCACCGGCATGATCTCCTCTGTGAGGTCTTAAGTCACCTGATTCACGAGCTCTTTGCACTACATTAACAAAGGCACGAGGGGTTGGTTGCACTCGATTGGGAAACCGATCCGCATAGATCCGTGATGCCGCGGCAGCATTTTGTAAAGACTCCCGTAAATAAGAACCATGTCCACAAGTTCAGCATTTTCGTAAACATGTGCCATTTTTGATTTGAGCCTCGCAACAGACACGATTATTCACTTACGCGTTACCGACTACCGACTGATACTGACTGTATACAACTGAAGAAAATAATTGTAAAAAGATCGTTCCAAATTCTTTCGCTTTTTTGTTTCCGATGCGATGAACGGATAAGGCGGATTATATCTGTTGTTGCCAAACACGAGAACATAATATCATTATTGAGACAGGGCGGTACTCAAACTTCCAAAGGGCTATAACTTTGTTACTTTAATTTTACCAGAAAAATGGTAAAGGAAAAAAACATTTCTTTTGATCAGATCTACTCACTGTTAAAATAAATGACTCAACTTCGAAGTCACCCTGTATACAGGGTGGCCAAACACGTGACGTCATAAAAAAAAAATTAGATTCCCCACATCGAGAGGAACCCAAATCACCCCCATATATATGGTCCGATTTTGTTTAGTTTAGGAGTTATGATTTTTTTTCGGATTTTTCGAGAATTTTTGAGTTCTGTGTTTATTTTTACCATAACTTCGTTAATAATTGTGATAAATGCCTGCTTTTTTCACGATTATGTAGCTAAGACCTAAGGCTTAACTATCATATAATCATTCAAGTCATGTAACTAATACTACTTTTTAATTTTTTTCAAAATCTTCGAACATAACAAAAAAGTAAAAAAGTGCAACAACTTTGAACGTTTATAAAAAATTGAAAAAACATGTTCTTACTATTCGTAAGTATCTTAAAAACTTCCTTACGGTATCAGCTATTTACCGTAAAAATTTCATCAACCTAGCTTTACTACATGCTACCGTAATTGTGGCTCAAATAGAACCGAACCCAAAATTGGATAACCCTCTGCTCAATAGAAATTGTTAGTTTCGGAAAAAAAATTTGCAAAAACCACAAAAACACGTTTGATTTTTACTGAACAGCAGATTATTATTCATTTATGTTATTTACAAGAGGTTTTCAAAATGTCTGCCTCTAACAGAAATGCACAGTGTACACCTACGTATGAAATTTTGTTTTAAATCTCTAAATGCTTGTGTGTTGTTTTTCAACACATGTGTCGCTTCTTGAATTTTGTTCCAAAATGAATTTTCATTTGCACATTCTTGGGCGAATGTTATGTCTTTAAAATATCCCCAAACAAAAAAATCAATGGGGTTGAGGTCAGGGGAGCGTGGA